GTAAATAGTTCTTTAAGTCTTTTATCGTTATTGTTTTTGTTAATTAGTGTTAAATAAATAGTGTTTAAATAAATTGTGATAGCGCCGCCCTCTACCAGTAGGTGTCAAACAGACGTCAAAATCAAATTTCTCATGTCAAAAAACTCCTAGATACCAATTTTCATCTAAATATTGAAGTTACTTCAGAAATTATTTGGAAAAAATCGAAATAAAAATGAAACTTCTACACCCTGTATCTCTGAAACTAAGCATTTTAGGACATACATTTATACGAATTTTTTTACTTATTTTTATCTGCAGAATATGCTGCCGAAGTTTTCGGAATGCAGTTCAGAGCTGTATAATACTAAGACGATATAAGTTTATAATAACAAAGTTTTGAATATTCAAGACCGAATGTATAAATAGAAAGTTGCAAAAGATAGTCGCATAAAACAGAACCGACCTCAGTAACACTGAAATAAAGGGACACAGCGACACGAACTTGCATCGAAAGTTTATGGCCGTTTCTCAAAAAGATTCAGTAAAAGCACGCTCTCAAGAAAACACTGCGATAAATGAAAATGCCATCTAGGCGGCTTTCAGATTTATAACGTCGTCGACAAAGTTGCTAGAGCCTTTTCCCGGGATTTGCGAATAGATTTGCTCGAGGCAACGATTCCGGCCTATGCGGAGCGCTCTGGAGGAAAATCAAGTTATCGCTGTTTTTTTAGAGGAAAACGCAAGCTTAATTGAGCAACCCAGACTTGAATAAGAAATGATTACAGTAAAAGCTAAATTGTTTTTTATTCGATTATTCCGATTCTTGAATCGTTTATTTTTTGGTTCGTCAATTCAAATTAGATTCATGCTTTTTAGACTCTCTCTACATATGCTATGAGAGGATAAAATATAATTTGCATATTAGTGGTATACCTTTTTTAATTAACTAGTGCTTACATTTTCATGAATATCTTCTAAAAATTATAATTGTGTATCTTCACAAAATTTCGTTATAGCCGAAATAGCCCAGTTATGTCCCCACTAGCAAAACCGGTGCGTAAATCTATGCTTGCTACTGTAGTTGAACTCATCTAAGTTTTATTGGCTTCAGTAATAAATTATATACAAAGTTAAGACCTTCTGAAGATATCAAAAATATTTACTGTTTTATTTTTTTAGAATGTTCACATATTAGACTTCCTAGCACTTTTAGAATAAATATATAAACTTTTTTTCGTATACTCTCTATATAAACCGGTGTATTTGTATATGTCTTTGAATAAGAAGACTAAGGAAGGAGCATAATGCTATCCATGTATTCATGCATGGTGGGCGGAAAAAGCACTCTAGGGTGGGGATCCTTGACAGTTCTGTTTGACGATTCATTTGACACATTTGAATTTGATTTTAAATTTTATGGATTTGTCAGTCTTTACCGAGCTTATTTTATGTTATTTATTATTTATTCTACTACTGATAGTTGTATAAAGGTAGTAAATCTAGATGGAAATTGTGGCAGAACGTAAATTAACAGTAAGTAAACCGATCATTTATGAAATTCACTTAAATTAACTAAATTATATATTTTTCTTGCATTTTAGCTTTTATTTAATACCAGGGGCCGGAAAGTGAAATAGCAAAAGCGGTTCCATCGTTTCCACGGAAATTTCAAATCAAATAGTTCCAGCCTCGGGCGCTAGGTGGTAGTGCAATTAATTTTTAGGTTAAAAAGTTGCTACTAGTTATTGCCAGATGGCGTTCAATCATATTTTTTTTGTAGTTTCCATAGTTTCCAACGGCCATTGTCATATTATTGTCAAATTCTCAAAAAATATTGTCGTTGTCATAGCGCCAATCATAATATCATAATATTATCAAAAATAATTATCAAAACCATCAAAACGTTTTTCAAACTAATTTGTTATATGTGTTTTTATTAGATAATTTATTTTGTTTGTGGCCCTAAAAATATAATGTAAGTCATTTATTTTTGCTATCATTTAATTACCTATTTATATTTACTCCATTTACAAAATTTTGGGCGTATTACGTTGGTCTTGTTTTATTATAATAAACGATCTTTAAATATTTGACTTATAATTAAAATCTTTAAATAATAAATAATATTTCACATGTTTTTTTAATTTTATTTAATAATTGTATAAATTATACTGTTAAATCTTATTTTTTACACATCGCAACGATACTTGTTATTAGTATTGTTGAATTTGTGTAAAAAATAAGATTTAATCATCAAACTTAATTATTTCAGAGTAAAATTCAATAAATACGCTCATTTAAAAAGCCCGCGCTTCGATCCATTTAAAACAAGCCCTACTCAATAGATGGCGCCACTTCTGTAGGACCATTTTTCAGTATGGCAGAGTCCATTCTCTTTCTAGCTAGGTATATTCTTTGTTTATTACTTGTCAAAGACTAGATGTCAAAGAATAGATGTCAAAGAATTTAAATACGTTAATTTGACTTACCTGCTTCAGTAGCGTATCGGATGTGTGTGTTAATAAATACTTATTATAACTTATCTATTTTTATTAGAATTATATATTTTTATAACAATTTTAATAACTACCAACATTTATTCACAACGTAAAATAAAACAACAAATTATTGAGTCTACCTCACGTCTACCCTACATCATAGTTACATTTTAAATAAAATTAGAACGGCATGATAAACAAAATATTTACTGTTTTATTTTCTTTAGAATGTTCACATATTAGACTTCCTAACACTTTTAGAATAAATATATAAACTTTTTTTCGTATACTCTCTATATAAACCGGTGTATTTGTATATGTATAAAGCGATTGTTTATGATATTATCCGATGGTGGCAGCAACACCGAACAATGCGCCAAGCCTATATCTAAAATTGTTGGTTATTCACTAATTTTCTATTTTACTATGATTATTTTAGCTACCTCAATACAATAAATAATTGTAAAATTAATTAAGATAAAGCCGGTTTCAAGCCAGACTGAATTTTTATTTCAATAGTTAAATTTACAAACGCATAATAATACAAGAAATAAAAGGCAAAGCATAAACTTATTTTCAATAAAGTAAAAGTTACTAAGGAAATATCAATTTTAATTATAGGAAGTATTTAACGAAACATAAGTAGAAAAGAGGATGCAAGCTAGATAGAGTATTATTTTTATATGGTTTCCAAGTTATAACTGTGCATTTTGTGCGGTAGCGGTTGTATTAATTAAACCAATATAATTCCAAAATGGTTTAGGCAAAAATAGACAAATTATATGTTTTAAATTGGAAGAAAACATTTTTAAAATATACTTAAACTCTCTTTATACAGGCTAAAAGTGAAGTTAATTATTCGTATTTTATAATTTTTTCTTAACTTTCTTATCGTTTTATGGTTATTTTTATTTCACTCTCTCGTCACATTTAAAGTTTTTTACTATCTTCAATAAGTAAGCCTGCAGATATCGCATTAAATATCTCTGAAAAGCTTGTACCTACACCAGTAAAAATATTTTTAGATTGTTCCTTACTATTACCGAAATATCTTACAATGTATATAAAATATTGAGAGTGTTAAATCTGAAATAGAACATCTGATATAGGACTTTTTCGATATATTATTACTATATTTTACAAGGTTTAAATTACATATAGAAATGCATATACCCATTTCGTAGTTACATTATGGAGAGAGTAAAATGTAAAGTGTTTATTACATGGACATAGTTGATTTATCTCTTTGTTCAGTACATGTTACTGTCGTAAAGAACACATTGACTATTGTATACTCTTCGTACACACGAAAATTTGTTTAATATTGTTTACATACTTTTAACGATATGAACAATATTATAGAGATTTTTGCTTCTATTGTAAATTCTGCTTCCGTCCTTAAACATATTTCCAAAATGTTGTTAAACTACCCTGTATAACATATAATATTATAGTACCCTTTTAAACTCTTCTTGCGCTTAAACCATACTATATGCTTTTTTTAGTATCTGGTAACGGTGGAATTCCTGAGAGCTTTCGAGAGGCAAAGCTCTTGGAGAGTCGTAAATTCTGTTTTACTTATCAGTGAAATGTTCCATTATTTTATATTTTTTTGATAAAGTGCAACTATTTTTAAATCGTCTTTCTAATGGTGCGTTTAGACTTGAGCACGCACGCACTGATCCTTCGCGAATGCTCAAGTGTAAACGGCTGTGCACGCACGCTCACTCTGAATCTGTCTGTGCGCGAGCAGCCGCGAACGTGAGCCCTCTGGTGTCGGTTTTTGGTCCGTGCTCAAAGGGATTTTATGTGTGCGCGAACGCTCAGTTTGCACCGGCAATTTGTTTTGTCTGCGTGCGTCCCTTCACCAACACAACTCTGCTGTTCGCGCATAAATGAGAGCGCGAACGAATGCCATGCGCGTACGCTCAGCTCGTGCGTGCTCAAGTCTAAACGCACCATTATATTCACAATAATCTCATTTTAATTGAAATCCAATCTATTACAATGTCTTTCCTGATTTCTTCTTCTTCTTCTCGTCCGTTAACTCTCGAAAGAGTATGGTGACATCATGTCTCAATTGCTCGGATCGTTGTTCTCCATCCCTCTCTATCTTGAGCGTCTATAGAAGCCTCTTGCAGGCCGTGACCAATAATTTCTTTGGTTTGGTCCCCCAGCGCGTCGGAGATCTTCTTCTTGGTCGTTTGATGATTATCTTCTCTTCGATTATGATTTTTTCCAGTCCATCTGTTCTTCTCGAAATGTGCCCGAAGTACCTAAGGTAATGACTGGTTTACTTTGGTTGAAAGTCTTGTTTTAACTTTCAGCTGCCTTAGAATTGGTACGTTAGTCCGAGGTCTAGTAGTGTCTAGACCAAGGAAGTCTTGGTCTTGCATTTGCTAATCACATTAATTAATTATAGACCTTTATATCGTCCATGGTTTACTAATTTCATGTTTTAGTAATTCCAACTTTTTCTGCAAATATACCTTATTAAATACTTTACTTTATATTTTTTAGTACCTGGTAACGGCGGAATCCCTGAGAGCCTTCGAGGAGGCGAAGCGTTCCAAGCTGCCGCAAATAATTCAGAGCGGCGAAACGGACGAGACGATCAAAAGGGCCATCGAGAGGAACACGCTTCGCCGATCTCTTATCCGCTACGAGCCCAGGAGCAAGAAGCAACCGTACAAGACTGACAATTCTTTGGTGGAGAGGATCAAGCAGTTGACTTGTAATGTGGACGACAATACGCCAAAAGGTAAGATACACGAATTTTTGGAGTGTTTTTTTTTCAAATCAAAACACAAAAAATCTTGTTTGAAGGTGGTAAACTATGTTTTATTTCGGATATAGCTTACGATATACTCGAAAAAGACGTATATCTTCTTACGTCTTGTTTGTATATTGTATACTGACTAAATAAAATTTTGGCAAAAATGTTTAAATTTGTTGTATAATTTAAGATACCGAGCAGCTCTTCATTTTACTTTATAGAGCAAATGATTGTAACAGATATTTTATTTAGATTAAAGCTGCAAAATTAGTTTAAACCGAATTTTATTATCGCTATGTTGGTCACATTGCGCCGTTTTCAGCAAGGTTTATTTGACAATTATCCTAATGTCAGCCATTATTTTGTATCGTGTTGTATGTTGAATCTTTGTGAGTAATTCTCGTTTTTTGCCTATTTTCATAGTCTTTTTTTAAAAATGTTTGTATTGCATTTCTTGAAAATGTGTTTTGAAAATATGCCGAAGCATTTAAACAGTCTAAGCAAAGATCTTGTAGTTTCCCTGATAAACTATTTTGAACGAGAACGTGGCAGTAAAGGTCCTTTATTATCCTTGACTGCAGTCAGAGAAGTAAGTTTGATTGAAAAGCCACATTACACCATTTTCAAAATTATTTCTACGTTAGTTTAAATTAAATTAATAAAAGTTAAATCAATTAATTACTAAAATATTAGTTATTAAATTAAAACTATAACGTAATTTTAAAAAAATTATATAATAAATATATTGTTTGTCACTTTTATTAAGATTCATCTCAAAAATCCATCACAATCTGGCAGCGCTGTCGCCACCGTTTGTCACTCAAAATTGATCACTGCATCGGAAGTTGTTTTGCGATTACCATATGTTATTTATCTTACTTTTATACACTATAACGTTTGTTTAATAATATTTTTTATCTGAGCACTTTCTAGCATCCTTTACTAGCATCCTTTACTTAAATCTACTATCTAATAATAAATAATCTACTAGAATCAAAAGATGCATACAACTTATCTGAGATAGGAAACTATCGGAAACTAGAAATAGCCATCTTAACCGATAGTCAAGCAGCCTTAAGAGCGATTAAATCAGTAACCATCAATTTGGAGTTGGTCAAAGAATGCCTAGAGGGCTGAACAAATTAGGCAAAGAAATAAGTAATAAAAAAAGTAATAAAATAAACAAGTAATAGTCCTCCTACTCTGTGTACCAGCCCACTACTGGATAGAAGGTAATGAAAAATAAAACGATCTAGCTAGATAAGGAACGAGTACTCCACTAACTGGACCAGAACCGCTGTGCTTCCCAAGTGGAAACCAACTTAAAGCGGAAATGAAAAACCTGGAAGACTCATCCGTAACCTGGAATGGGAATCCTCCAACGGTCTAAGGTACTCGTAAAAATATATCAGGACTTATAACCGAAGTGTCCTGTTAAAAGTCCGAAGAACAATCTTGGCACACCGTCTCCTCAATAAGCACATCAGTAGATTGAAGCTAAGAAACAACGGCAAATACAGAGTCTCTGGGGAAAATGGGGAAACACCAGAACACCTCATCGCCGAGCGCGCCGAGACGACAACCGTGCCAACAAAATACTCATGCCAATACTTTTTTATGATGATATCGGAGATGGAGAAATAACCTCTGTAAAATCGTCTCAGGTAATGGCTTTTGTCAAACGCCTGAGACTATATGACGTATAACTGAAGAAAGGGGGACACAATAGATCTCTAAGGTCGCGGTGATTAACTTTCCCCTCACAGCATTGAACCAAAGTGCCGCTACAGAAAATAGATATACCCATATTAACCAATCAATTTGTTCGTATAATGCAATGTTTCAAAATGACGAGAAATTTGACAAAAATGACAAGAGATTTAAACTAAAGCTTTTTAAAATAGAATTTTCTGAAACAATTAATTTAACAAACTAATTTTAATTAATAAAGAAATATATTATAGAATGGCTTTATATAAGTATGTTTTAACAATCAAATTATGTATTTCTTTATTTGAATACCAGCCTTAAATCGTTTCTAATTTTGTCATGAGTAGGGTTAAATTTGTCAAGCCCAGAATTATTCATTACTGAAATACTGACGTTTCTAAACTAAGCAGATAATTTTCTGTGGAAAATGTGGGCTTTTATCTGGATGCTTAATCTAGATAAAACTACTGCTGGAAGGACAAAGACCTTAATGCCTTTTATGGGTAGCTGTAAAAGATGGGTTACTCCATTTTGTTATCTATTCATCTTTCTTAATACAGCAGAGTATTTTTCAAATTTATGATAAGGCTGATAGAACTATTTGTCGGAGAAAATATATTCAAATATATAAGCCGAAATTTTTGACTAATGAAGTATGCTTAGTACTTGATATTCAAAAAGCTCCAAAAATCAATTTCAATTTAATCTGGTGAATATTAAAAAACTTTTTGATAAAACAGGTTCGTTGCCATCAATTTTTGTAATCTAAAACGTTATTTGACAGGAAAGAAAAAACTGCCTTTACAGCTTACTTTTTTTTAATATCCTTTATGACTGTAAAATGTTTTTATTAATGTTTTATTATTATTGAGATTACCTATTTATTTTTGAGTATTATTTTCTTTCTGTTTTCTCAATTTAAATGTAAATGAAGACGTGATAATTTCGATAAACAACTGGATCTGGAATTGTAATTAAAATAATACTATTCCGAGTTAAAAAACAAATCTTTACCCATTACATTCCTTGAATTTTCTTAAGAATATTAATATTCAATTTTGTTAAAACGAGTTTTCTTTAGCTAAACACTTATTTCTAAATAGATTTTAATTTCTTTAAAAGGTTCTCTCATTTTCATATTAATGAGCTTTACATGTGGGCATGATGGCATGCCAATCATTGTACAATACTTACTCCTTCGCATTTTTGAATATTAAACATTCAGTCTTAGGTGTGCGTCAGTACGACGCAGTGTGTGTTATTGTAGTTTATTTAATTGATTTATTTATAAAATATTTAATATTTTATAAAACCTAAGGTATATTTTTTATATTTTTAAGTATTTTAGAGGTTTAAAGTAATTTGATGTTTAATTATTTTGATTTTCAGATGATTCTAACCAAGAGCAACCTTCAGATGTATCCTATGAACCTTCACAAGATGTTTTAGACAGTAGATCAAGTCCACCAGGAGAAGAATCAAGAAATTCACCGGATGTGAATACGTTATCAGCAAACAAAACCCATGACAAGAGTTTTTCTCCATCATCATCATCAACAGCATCTTCTAATTCCAGTTCTATGTCGATGAATTCAAATTACCATCAGGTACACAGATACAATAATTATATTCATATTAATCTAGTTTAATATTGTTAACAATATACAGAACACTCAAAATCTATAATGTGTAATTTTCTTTAAATGTTCAGTCATGTTCCTATTTGAAAGCCAGTTTCATTTTCAGTATTATTATTTAGAGACACAAAAAAATAGTAAAATTAAAGTTGCATTGTAAGTAATACAGTTAATGTTTATTCTAGATGAGAAAGTCAAATACAGGAGAGCCAACTCTAATTATTAATCTAAACCGTGTTGATAATGTGCCTGACATACAGAATAATTTTAGAAGAGATGCTAAGCCCTTGCCTGATATCGGTATGTATACTTTTACTAAATTTCCATGTCTAATTTAAAAAGTAATTAGAAAGCGTCATAGCAGTATAAATAATAAGTAGGGATACTTTCGTATTACCAAAGTTTAATTGAGATAAGCAATAGCATAACTGTATTAGTAGTAAAGAAAACAGTAGCTATATATATCATCAACTAAAGGTGCGTTTAAACGAGTCAAGTGAATAATAATTGATCAATTCACTTGAATTAAATTCGCATGAATGTTGTCGAGAAGTGGGTTCTCGAGATATTTGGAATCGAAGTAATCAAACCATGCCATCATTAGCAAAAATTGACTAGATAGTTATATACCGGGTGCGTCCCAAAAGTGGCTCACCTCTATAATTTTATTTATTTTTTTAGATAAAAAACGAAATTTGGTATGTTAGTATATGACATAAATTAGGATTCATTGATGTATTCAATTATTGTTTTCGGCCACTTCCTGTTTCACCGGAAATGACTACAACCTTTGATTTTTAAATGACACCCTCGGCATTTTTTACTTTATTCGATAGAATATGTCACTCTGAATAGAATGACATATCATATGATATAAATTTTGACATTTTTGCATAATATATGGTTGATTTGAAATTATAACTTGCGGTTCGTAATGAAAATTTGACTCGAAATACCAAGTGTGTGGTATCAAATTATTCGTCAAAAAATGTTTTTTCCAAGTATGCTAACAAGCCACCATAGTTCCATTTGAAAAAATTGGCATATGAACACCTAAAAATACGGTTTGGGCATTTTCTAACTGGCCAGGACAAGGCACTAAAAACATTAGACGATCAAATCTATTTTTCCGAGGCTTCTTGATTAATAATTAGTGTTTTTAACATAGCCATGGCACTCTAGATTGAATTTTAAAATACGATTTTTTATTAAGCGGGAATGTCAAAAGTTGACATATGATATGTCATTCTATTCAGAGTGACATTTTTTATCGAAAAAAATACAAAAATACCGAGGGTGCCATTTAAAAATCAAAGGTTGTAGTCATTTCAAAACAACTGAATACATCAATCAATCCTAATTTATGTCATATACTAACATACCAAATCTAAAAAAATAAAAAGATATTAGAGGTGATCCACTATTGAGACGCACCAGGTATAGCAGAGGCTCAATAGAAACTATTTTATCATATGTTTCTCTAGAAAATAAGTAAGATTAATTAAAAAACATAAAAATTTCACATATTTATTATTTCAGTCAAATATCAAATAACTATTTAGTCGCAGACATGTATTGATCATTTACATTTCAAATATCTTGAGAATGGTTAGTCGTAGCGATTTTTCCCAAGAGACCTTTTTTACGTGGAAAACGATAAAAATGTATATTTTTTCACTTAGTAGTTTTATACAGGTACGGACGAAAAGTTATTACTCTTCAAACCAGTTAAAAAAACTTGTAGGTGGCGCCCCCTACAAGTATAGGAGTCATATTTACATTGAAATCAAATTTCTCATGTAAAAAAATACCCAGACACCAATTTTCATTCAAATATTTATATTAGTTCAAACTTATTTGGAAAAAGTCGAAATAAAAATGAAATTTCTACACCCCTGTTTTTCCGAAACGAAGTATTTTAAGACATAAATTTATACGAACTATTATACTTATTCTTAACAGAAGAAGAATATGCTGTTGAAGTTTCCTGAATACAGTTTGGACCACCCTGTATATTCGCAAATGCGAATATTCGTTATACCAATAGTATCACCATGTATATAAAATATTATAGAATATTTTTATTAAAGAATCTTCCCCCATTACATTAAACATTGATGACGCCTATTTCGACCAATTTATATAGACAATAAACAGACGAAGGGAGACATAAGATTCAACGAATGTTATTTTTTACGCCGGTATTTTTTCTCGAATGCGAATAAGAACCTAATATCCCAAATTCTCGGCGTTCTGTTTTTCTTCCATTTTCTCCAATAACCCCCCTCGTTTGAACAATAAAGGCCTGGGTGTACGTCTTAGGATAGAAATATGAGATGACAATATCGCAAAATGAGTCGGTAAAAAACCGTGTTCGGCCTGAAACGATCTACGGGCTCTTCTGTCTAATAAAGTTTATTGCCTCCTGTGTCTGAGTTATGCTTTATTCTGCAAACTCTTCGTAAAATAGGCTTTGGCAATCAAATTGCCTCTTGGAGTATTAGTTTAAGAGCTCTTGGTTAAGAGTTTAAGAGTACATAGGTGCGCGTACATAGGTGCGTGCAGATGAACGACTAGTTTCAGCAGGGCTGTCAGATCTAACGATTTTTTACGTTTTACCAATTAGAAAATATGGTTTTCAGAAATGTTAACTAAAATCTAACTTAATGGTATATACCACTTAATGATATATACCAGTAGGGTAATTAGTTTAGTTTTCACACATTATAGAGGAAGGAAAAAGATTATACAGAGCAGATCAAAAAGAAACTTTAAATATGTTTTTTTTTATTTTTTACCCATTGAAACTCGAAAGTATAATAACAGGTATCATACCAACCATAAATAGAGTGTATCATATAAAAATGTTTTGAATTTTTACTAGAATCGCTTCATAAAAAAGACTAGATTTAAATTTCCCTTTGATCCAGTCTATATACTATTTTTTTGTTTTTTCTGCACTTGTGCAAAAACAACACTAAAACACTATATCTTATTGAAAATTTTGAGTTGAATTTGAGGGATGGGATATATATATATATATATATATATATATATATATATATCTGAAAAATTATTAATTTGAAAGAAAAGCGGCAACAAGCGGCAGAAAATAATAATATTTTAGTGCACTCTACTGGTCGCAGCGACCAGCCAACGGCCAGGTTGCTGCGCGTAGTATCATTAGATTTAATGGTATTTGGTATTACACCTGTCATGCTACCTAGCAGCGCCCTGGTCGTCAGTGCGTTTGACCACTAATGGTTTATTTTCTTTCGAGTGGGAGTCATATTGACATTGAAATCAAATTGCTCATGTAAATAACACACAGACACCAATTTTCATCCAAATATATATATTAGTTAAGAAATTATTTGAAAAGAAAATCGAAATAAAAATGAAACTTCTATACCCTCTATCTCCAAAACGAAGCATTTTAGGACATACATTTATACGAACTTTTTTACTTATTTTATCGGTAGAATATATTTCCCGAATACAATGGGGATCACTCTGTATATAAAAAATATATTTTGTTCGAATATCTTCGTTCGGAAAAAAATATAAAATGTAAATAACATTAGTAAACTAAAACAAAGAAATATGAATTGCTTATAAATTTTATTACAAAATCAAACAAAACGAGATCTTCTTTTAAACTTTTAACAATATTTGCATTACATAAATTTTCTTTTATTTTAAACTGAAGAACAATATTTTTGAATTTCCTTCTTTCACAAATCGGAATTTAGCCAATAGTACAGTAAGGAAGTAGATATATTTATTTTAGAAGTACTTAGGATAGATTCAGTTTAATGAAATAAATTGTCTGGATTTAACAATGGTGGTTTAACTAGGATTATAAAGGCCAGACCCAACTATCCGTTTAAACTTATTCTTAATCTATGGTTTAAACATTACTCGCTATATTTAAAGAATATACGCACAGTTTTGTGTTTTTACTTGTTGTAAAAAATACTCTAATACTTGATATTATCTACCTCGGCTGCTATAACTGTCTGTGGACGTAGGTTCATACTGTTAATGAGGCTTCAAATATATTGTGTTATGTTTTCCTATTCTTCTTCAAGGACCAAGCGAATATTTACAAATTCGGCCAGCTTCAACAAGATCAATGACTTTTGCAAAATCTACGATACTAATATTTTATTGTGAACAATAATCACCAAAGTCACCTCGTCATTATGAAAAATAACATCAAAAAGTTACGATAATAATTGAAGAAATTGCAAAATATTTGTGGCCAGTTCATTTTGCTCTTAAAATTAACCAAGGCATGTGTTGACATAAGTCAAAAAACAAAATATTCAGGGAACATGGTTCTGACGGCAAAATAATGTTTCATGAAAATTAAAAAAGCGTAGGGTAAAAAACAACTCTTCGATTAACCTTGTATAATAAGTAAAATACTAAAGTTTATAATAAACTGAGTTTACGAATTAAAGTTGATATACAGTTTGTTAAAAAAACTCAAGGAAATAAGGCTAAAAATACAAAATGTAACATATTAAAAACTTTATCAAAACATTTTCCGTTGTGATTTTTTTTTCATCTGAGTATGATCTGATTGTAGATAAATTTGACAGAAGTCACAAGCAGTATTATTATGTGAAAACATATTAAAACGTTTATTTTGATAACTATCTATTATTGAAAGAAGGCGTCCATTCTTCTCAAAGAGACCTGGTTTAAATTAACAAGAAGTAGAAAATAGACTCAGAGTCTCGGTCTCAACGTTTATATTAAGTTAAACAGTGAATTATCAATTAAAGTCAATCCACACACACCGTCACACACTTTCACATTTTACGTATTAAAACAACACTAACAGTGTTGTTTTGAACTATTTCATTGTTATTTTAATATGTAAAATTCAAACGGTGTGTGTGGATTGTAGACTTCGTATGAGCGAAACACGTGTCACTGTTTAACTTAATATAAACGTTGAGACCGAGACTTTGAGTCTTTTTTCTCCTTCTTTTTAACTGTTATTTATTATTAAGGTTTAGGTGGTCCTCACAACCACGACTTGCCGGATATACCTCGCGCTGTCGCCAACCCACCTGATTTAAGCCACAGTGCCATTACGAACAAAATGAGTTCCTCCTCTACAACAAGCGAGTCTCGAAGACAGTTCCTCTCTACCCTTGCACCTCTAACCGCTTGCGTTACTTTAGGCATGAACCAAAATGAAGATTATTACTATCATTTAACCAACCATCCCCATGTTCAACCAGGTAAGGATTGTTTTTTTTTAATAACTTGGTAACGTCATCATATTTGTTTACGTAATAATAATTCCTGTAGGTGAAAGGCTATCTGTAGCTAGCTCCGGCACAGAATACAGCCTAGAAGACATTGATGAAGGTTTGAAGAATGAAGATGAAGAACATAAAAGGATCGCTCCTGATGTATTGGCAGGAACACCATCTGCTTCGGAGTCAGGAGACGAACTGGCGATGTTTGTACAACAAGATGCTGGCAGAATTGAAAGGATCAAGAAAAAGTTAGTTTGGTTTGGTTTGCACGAAAAATGGGCACCCTAAAAGTTCATGTATTTCAAAGTTTTATATTATATTGTGTTTTAGTGCACCGATTTTGATAATTTCTTAAGCAATTTGTAGCTAGATTATTTTACTTTTTATGTTTATTTCTAACTTAAAAATGAAAGTTCCTGGAGTCTATTATACGAGGGAAAACAAAATCCTGATATTTGGTAAAAGTTTGAAACACTCTGTGGAATATATTAACAAAACAAGGAATTTAAAAATCATTTTGTCATCTAGGTACATTTTTTATCAATAGTTTGTTTTTTGGTTCATCTCGATAGCTTAATATTTTTGGAAATATGGCAACCCCTATTTCTTTTACCATTTTTGTGTTTCTTATAAGATTCTCAAAAAAATAATGCAGTTTATGTAGATTTAAATAAGAAACACAAAAATGGTAAAAGAAATAGGGGTTGCTATTTAAAATTTTAGGGGTAGGTGCCCTAGGGTCAAGGGGTTGAAAGTAACACGACAACAAATGCCTCAAAAATTGTCCCCCTTGATATGTAAATTGACGTGTTTCGCCAAATTTTCATACTACCATCGGTAGAGGCAATATTAAATACTGTTCGTTTTCAAATTGTCACCCTGTATACCCAGATTGCAGGTTGTGTAGGTTGCATTGAGAGTATATTTTGTCGAGGAACCTTCTTGTAAAATTCGATTATTCACCTAACCTAAATTATTGAACTGTCTGCGTTGTGCTGTATTTTCGGTACAATTAAGGCGCTATTGTGCTATTGTGCAGCGTTTGTGGTATAATCTTATTATTACTTATCTAAGTAAGGTAACAACAAATTGTTGTTAAAATTTGTTATAGTACGCTAGATTAACAAAATAAACGTACTTGGGTATATACCGGGTATATAGTATTTACCCAGATTCAGTGTACCCTGTATTTACCCATTTGTATATACCGAATGTAAAACATCGGGTATTTACCCAAATTTCAATATACCGGGTATTTTTCCAACTCTGCTCAGTATTAGTAATAATTTTCTGACATATTTTATATTCATTTCCTTCATTTAATGGGGAGTAACTCTGTAGCATTTTATTATTTGAATAAAAATTACGAAAAAATGTTCATTCAAAACAGTGTCTTTTTCAAAAGCGAATATCTCCAACAAAAATAAAGCTATTGAGATGAACCAAAAAATAAATATGTATTTAGATGATAAAATGATTTTTAAATTGGTTGCTTTGTGACCATATTCCAAAGGGTGTTTCAAATTTTCACCAAAATATCAACATTTTGTTTTCCCTTGTATATTTGACAGATGGGATCCTTCATTTTTAATTTAAAAAAGAGAGATTAAAAAGTCAAATAATTTACCTACAAACTCTTTAAAAGATCATCAAAATCGGCCTACTAGAACAAAATATATCCAAAAATGTGCCCGTTTTTCGTGCCTCTGTGGGTGTATTATTATAGCATTTCTCTTCAGCTATGAACCTTAAGTAAAAATTAATAGTAGAATAACTGCAATATTTTAATGAAGGTTTACCTAATAATTTTATTTACTTTAGGTATCACCCCAATGATCAACACTCTTCAAAAGAAAGCAAGAACGATGAAGATGACGAGAATGACGATTACGGATTCAATAGAAGGCCTAGCGTTCGGGGTATCAAACCACGGTTCGGTACAACCACGGAAATCTTACAACAAATTCAAAATCAGTTACAACCACCTGCTCCACCACCAGCCAGAGTAAATTGATGTAATATTATGTTTTTAATCATCTTAATATTTGTCTTTTATAGGTGGCATGGCCATATTACTCAGAAAGTGGTTTGACTGACAACTCGAAACAGAAGAATGCCAATCAGAACTTGCCAAACTACCAGTACGTCAACACGTCGGAAGACGGTAAACCTAGAGTCTATCCTCCCCAATATAGACCTACATCATTGCAAGACGAGAATCCTTACCAGAATTGTGCCAATCAGCGGTGTTCTTCCAGACAAGACTTATATCAAAGGTATTTTACACTTTAGGCATAGAAAAATGAAACAGGTTTAGGGGATTGGAAAGTGCCCATAAGAACAATGTAAACACTATTTGGCGCTATTCTTGCAACGGTCGCGACCCAAAGCTTTTGATAATTTCGGATCGGTTCGGCTTTTCCGGAATTATATCGCCAAATATTATTTATTCAAATTTATTATTATTTTCTTTTATTTTTATACAATACAGTGTGTTGCATACAAAAAACCTTATTTTATATAAGGACATGTATGTGACACAGTTTTTTTAGTTTTTAATGCCACTTTTTCACAATTATCACGGGTTTGACTAAGTAAAATTTAAATTAAACTCACAAGATAGCAATAATAACTTTCAGAATGGACGCTTTAAACGCTTTTCGGTATTTTTTAAACGAGGGCGGTTTAAATTTTAAAAGATTTTATAATTTTTGAAGATTCTGACTTTGACAAGAGAAAATTATTACTGTTATTGTTTGGCGGTTGTCTTTAACAACCGCTATAGCAGCGCCAGATCGCGTACGACGGTCGCGACCCAAAACAATTATATATTTTGACGGGCTTTCCAATCTAAATTTATTTCCTTTATCTTTGACTTTAGGTTATATTTTTGTTTATATGGTGACGGGCCGCTTTCTATTAAATTATAGGAGTAACATGAACGTTTATTCTTCTGTGGTTAGAGTTTCCAATGACTGTTACCAGTCAGTACCGGTAAGCAGGCAGAGAAATGGAAGACCTCAATCTCCTCCACCCATGGATATGTCAAAACAGTATCATCAAACAATGGTTTATATACCATACAATCACATTGAAGGGTAATTTATTTATCTTGAATGTTTGTCCTGTAAAAATAAGTAGTATTTACTATTTGTAGGTACCAACCTGTGCAATATTATCAGCACGCTGGATCGCCCGATTATGTTTCCAGAGTATCTAGTCAAAACCAGATCAATAAACGATACATTGAGCCTATTTACCAATCTCGGATTCACCACCACATGGAAGAACACCACTATAATCCAAATATGATGCCACCAATACCGCCAAAGGCTATCGGTATGAGGGGTATGCCACCTTATCCAAATGGGCAGCCCCCTCCTCCTCATTTATTATCGAACCGAAGTGAATCTCCGTTGCCAGGTACTAAACTACTGGAAGCAGAGCTCTAACTTGTTGAACATAATATAAAAACAATTTTTTTATTGTTATAGGGCAATTTTCAACCGCTCGGTCAACTCAAACACCAGCTCCTACTATGTCTGTTTGTGGATACTACAACTCAAATCCTAGATATCGTCCCATGGTTGGACCGGTCTGGCAAGGCGAAGGAAACTATGCAACTAAAGTAAATCGACACAGTTTTCCTACAGTCGGACCAAGGTATTTTTGATTTAAATACGAAAAAAGGAGTAGTCTGTGAAGTTTCCGATCTTACAATGTACATTATACAAGACGTCTACCGGAAAAGATTAATTTACGAGCGGTGAAATCGCGAGTGAATGATTTCGGGAGACGATAATGCAATTTTATCGTCGTGTATAAAACAATATTTGTTTTCCATAGCGAGTTACGTTTTAAAAAATATTCAGAAATTATTATTTCAAGGAATTTATTACGAGTAGAAAAATATTGTGCTGGGTTGGCGTTGGTTTCTAGGTAATTTGACAAATAAATAAAGCTGTCTCTTTAGTTGTCAGTTTTGAGTCAATATTTTTTAATTATTTTCTTTCTTGTCGATTGCTGATTGAATTGGAGCCAGAAATGGCTCAAAACGAAATAAGTAAATTACCAACAGATATTCAGACTGAGGCGACAAACGCCATATCCAAACTACTTCCATTTAAATCCCGAATAACTTATGAAAAGAAATACAAAAATTTTCAAAAATGGAGGCAATTAAGAAACGTTCGAGAAGAAATAAAGTTTTTAACCTATCCTCGCTGTTAAAGTATCATTTAATCTACCCTTGCGGTTAAAGTACTATTTTTCATAGATATAAGGTAATTTTAACAGTTGCTATGGAAAAAATGTTTTTTTTTTCTTCATAATCTCTTTAGGAAACCGCATTATTTTTCCAGTTATCCAGTTCTATCTTAACAACTAGCTGTTTAGGACAATAATGACTAGGGTTTACGGAACCGGGAATTTCGGTACCATACCTCTAAGCATCCGAGATTTTCCGTTTTTTTCCGGTACTTTCTGTATTGGCTAATTTTTGTTCAATAATGGTGCAGTTTGTCAATCAGCAAGCAAGGGTGGTTTTAAAAAGTAAAATCAACAACTAACAAATTTGTCAGGTTTTGTTGCATGAATGTCACATATCGTAAACTTTTCAGAATACCTACCTTAACCTTAGCTTAAGCGGGGTTTCCACATGCAAGTATTACTGGCGCCATTCAACTGGCGCCAGTTTTATTGTATGTGGAAACCTGTAAAATCGACTGGCGCAAGTTTAGTGGCGCCACTAATTCATGTGCCAGTAAAGTTCAACGCTCCTGTACTTTTTGGCGCCAGTTTTGTGTGTAAACAATACAGCGAGCATCTCTAGTTGTAAAAATGTCGTTTTTTTTTTCAAAAAAGTGGTCTACTGAATTAATAATAAAGTTTTTGGCAGCCTACGAACAACATCCTTGCTTATGGAACAATAAAATAAGTGATTATAAGGACCGAAGTAAAAGGGATGAAGCGTTAAGAAGAATTGTCAGTTGAGTTATGTCTGATTTTCTCAGCAACTTTGATGTAAATTCCGCAAAGGCTAAAATTCGAAGTATTATGAATGCTTACACCCTAGAGCACAACAAGGTGTTTAAATCTCATAAAACTGACCGTAATAACATGCCAATTTTTGAATTTTTAATTTTCTATAGAATTTTTAATTTTCTATAGACTTGTGGAAACGGGTAATAGCGCCATTTAATTGTGGCCCCAATAAACTGGCGAACACTGGCGCCAGTAATTCTTGCATGTGGAAACCCCGCTTTAGCTTCTTTTCAGAATACCTTCTTGGCTTATCTAAATAAAATTCATTAAATAATATTTTAAAAGGTACCCACCATCTGACAGTTTATCTCTGACTGACAGTGATAGTCAGCACAGCGGCTCATTACCGAATGGATACAGACAGTCTGCAGATATGTCAGCGTACGTTTCAAAAGACTCCATTCCTAATTCTCCTACAAAATCCAGATTTATTGAGAGGGGTGTTCCGGAAGGGGCAGCGAGCGTATCTCCTCAAGATATTTCAGGTATTGTATCATAATTTTTTTACCAATTAATGTGTATGCCGTGACAAAAAAAATGTTGATGGAGCCAAGATGGAGCCAAGATGTAGCGCAATTAAACACCGGCTTTTGCCTCACGTCTTTTGGCAGTTCTCAGCTCAATTATAAGACAATATTTATTTAAGATTAAAACTAATTTTAAACGACCAATCATCTGGAGAACTAATTTTCTACACTCTATTTCAGGGGTGAGTCAAAGTTCTAGCAGTACTATGACGTCACCGACTTCACCTCAAAATCCGCCAGTGCCAACCAATCAAAAGCCATTGTTTTATGCCATGAACGTCTGAACAGATGATCTGAACTATTTTTCTACTGGAGAAAAAATATTGGGAGAGCTACAGTGGCAAGCTTAAAGGAGATACTGACTGCGTAATTTTAAGAAATTGTTTGAATCTGACGAGCTCGAATTGATAAATTGAATACCTCCTCCTCTACATATGACTTTCACAAGTAACCGTATATCTAGATTTAGATTATTGTAAGATATACTATTCAGATTGTATGTTTTGGAATTTTTACGTGCTTTTGTATAATAATTAGTAGAAAAGCACGCGATAAGGTAGTTTCGATTGACTTTTCTAAATATTTAAATTGATGTATAATAGTAGTTGAATAGTTTGACTTTTCTTAATAAAAACAGGTGCGCCACTGTATTTTTTGAAATAAAATAGTTAATTTATCTTAGTTACTCGTAGGTGAATATATCAGTGTCCGAATTAACCAAACTAAAAAAAAACTAAACGTGCCCAATTGTTTTTATTAAGGCAAAGCATCAAATGGAACGTATAAGAAAAAGTTTTTGTAGGTTATAATAACCGTATATTATATCAGGCAGAACAAATGTTGCTTTACAAGCAACTGGATGTTTATTAATTAAGTAATAAATATTATACTAACTAAAGTATACTTACGTATTATACATGTGCTTGTTATTTCTAAATACTTGTTGATTTGTTCGTGTATTATTATAGAGTTAGTTTTTTCTTTACTTATCAAATCTCTATACTCAGCTAATACCGTATATGATCTAAAGGATTTATGATCAAGCTAATTTTGAACGTTGACAGATCGAAATGAACTTGATTGTAAATAATCTTTTGAAAATATATGTATTGCATCTTTTTTTATTGAAGGTACTAAAGGATATTCAGTTATATGCGGGTTTCAAAAGCATTTTATTATATTTTTAAGGAAAATTACATAATTTTTAACCATTTCGTATGTACAAGAGTTAATAATATTATTAACCATCATTTATATGAAATAGGAATATATTTTCTCGGTTAAAATTAGTAATTATTATATTATTTAAGTCTCACAGGCGACACGATGTGTAATTCCACAGTTTCAATAAATGCATGTCTATAAATAGATAATTTGAATAAAAATAATAATAAAAAACTATGTCAAACCAGTTTGAGAGAAAAACTTTTGAGGGAAAAATTTAGATTATAAAAGTTTGAGTAGTTTTTGAGTTTCTAAATTAGTAGAAAAAATCTAAGGGTTCAGGAAATACTCATGCTCTTTCTTTACATTTGTTGATGTGTGGGGAAATATCAATTTGTTTCAGTTTTTTGCATATACACTCACCGGAAAAACGGACTTTTATTTTTGGAGATATTCGAATTTGAAGAAGACATTACTAATATTTTTTCGTAATTTTTACATTAAACCCACAAACACGTCCAGACTATGCTGCAAGATTTCTTTGATCGGCCGTCAAAAAACCGACAGAGCCCAGTTAGCAACTAGGCTCCGTAGGTTGTCGTTCACACTTAACAAAATTGGAATGTCTCGCGGTCGTCTCGCTCTCGTAGCGGTAGGTCTGGACGCATCTTTACTGGGCCCAAGTCAATCTTCGCCTTAAAGCCTCGTTGACGCGGTCAAAGTGTACTTGGACCAAGTCAACCAGATGCTACCATATAAATATACCTATATAGATGTTGCACGCGGCTCACTTTTACGTTACTTGTATGGTATCGACTGTTTTATCAAAGTCGAATTGGAAGGCTTCGTAGCATCCAAGTAAGTTGCTTCCAAATGTACTTGGTCCAAGTACACTTTGACTGTGTCATCCCGCCTTCTAGGCAAGTACGCAGAGTTCCATATATGTGATCGTAAGTGGACTGGCTATCAAATGAATAGGCTGCTGTGATCGAACCATTCAAACATAAAGCTATTATAACTTAATCAGCACATTCTAAGTCGTCTGTGAGACTATTTTAAACAACTCTACAAAATTAATTCATTTTGTCTGCAAGAATGCTTAAGATTCTGTTGATTCTTTTTTCGTTAGTAAAACCAAAAAGAATACCCTGACCAAAAATATTTATATATTTAACGTAGTCTTATTTTCATAGTTTATAGGGAACTTAATATTATAAGATCTTGTCATTGCTGTTTTTTATTTCCTTGTTTATTACTTTAAATAGACAAAAAAGTGTATGAAAAACAAGGAGATATTAAAGGCTCAAATGACAAGATCATAACAAAGAAATTTCCATTTTGTGGCATGGTACTTACTAGACAACTATAAGTTTTTTAATGTTAAAAGACGAAATGTGTAGACTAGTTCTTGTTGCCAAAAAAATGAGATTCCAATACCAAAGTATTACTAGTTAGTTAGGTGTTATATTGACCAAATAAGAGAAAAATATTATATTTGAAAAAAGTTGTGTTTTCAAAAAAATGTAACAATTATGATACTCCATTAAAAACATGCCAAAATAAAACAATAATAAAATAACACTATTACTAGCTTTACTTTAAAGTTTCTAACATTTTATATAGCAAATTTATAATGGTAATTGTTGCATTTTTTTCTGTTATTGTCTTCAAGAAGAGTAATTAAAAAAAACTTTTTACCAAGATTGTGATTGCAAAAGTGACAAAGTTGCTTTAGGTTATATTACTAAAAAGTATTAATTGTAGTAATAAAAAGAAATTAAATGTGTTAAGTTTAAGTATTTATTTTAACAATAGTTGAAAGAGTAATTACTTTGTAAAAGAAAAGAAAAATATTTATTTATTAATATTTAATATTTACCAAGTGAGAATCTAGAGGAAATAATTAAAAAAGAAGATAAAGATAAACGGTCTAATATAATTTTTGTATATCTAGACTCAAACTGTAGAACTAGAATTATTATTACTGTTGCTCATTGAAGTGAGGAATTGGTTCTTTTGTATTTTGTAAGGTACCGTTTTTTTTCTGTTAATTTTCTTAAGTTTATTGTGAGAATTTCTTTATATTTTATACTGTTAGTAAAACGTAACTACTACTGATACATTATTTGTAAAGCCCTTGAATGATATTAATAAAATAATTGTATAAATAAATAATGTAACTTTTATTTTTAAAATACTCGATCATAATTACCCATATAACTTATACCGAGATTTTAACGTGTAAGACAGTGATATAGACAGCTTGAATGAACAAAGAAATGTATTAAAAAGAGATAAAAAATGCGGTATTGCCGGATTTTGCATCAAAATTTCAAGTCGCACAAGTAGGAGTTTAAGAAAAATGTTGAGTCTAGGGTTGGAACTTTATTTTCCACAAATAGTTACTGATTTTACTACAGCTGTAATAGATACTTAAACAACTGTCTAACAGAAATGGGCATTATGGAATACTTTAGATATATTATCTTTGTTTATCTCACGGGGGTGTCACTTGTATGGGAAAATAGGCAACAGTCAAATTTAAACGTGCCAGGATAAACGACAAAGAAAGCAACATTTGCCAGGCATTGGCTTTCTTTGTCACTCACATTGCTTAAATCATGATACCGCAGCCATTTTGTCAACAAAGAAGCTGGCCGGCTGTCCTGGCAAGTGATTTAAAACAATTTTGCTTTTTACAATATTAAATTACCATTTGGATGTATTTAATGCGATTATTCAATTAACTGGTAAGTCAGAAATTACACACAAATACTTTATTCGTAAATACAACTAAGATGTAAACGTAGTTTTGTATTTTTAGATTTCAACTTTTGCAAAGACCCGCCGATAGAACTTGCCTGGCAGCGTACCTGTTTAACTAAACGTATTATTTCCTGATAATAATATCAAAACACGTAAGTACCTCTATAATTTATGATGACAAATGATTTTGATTATGTTTTATGTTATTTAAATACTTTCTAACCTCAAATAATAGTAAGATCCTTGTTTATATCGCACAGCCCGTTCAAAACTGTATTGTCTTCAAAAAATGTTTACAAAACAAACAATTATTACAAAAACAATGTCCTTTTAATCTGATTTATACCTCAGAAGGATGCCAGTAAAATTTTATTAAATCAACATTATATTATTTGGCCATTAATATCCAAAAAGGAGCATATTGCCTTAACTTAAATTTTCTTTTACTTCTCTTGACAATGTTCTCTATATTCTCTATTTTGAGTTAGTAAACTTTTGAACGGGATGTGCGATATATAAAATACATAATATATCCAAGGGTATGATCTGATAAAAGTATTTTTTGATGCATTTTTTGGTTTTTTATGCACGTTGGCTTGGTTTATGTTTTATTCAGCTTATATTTATTTGGTATAATAGTTTTTTGTCTTTGGAATGGCATGTATTGAGGCTATAGATAGTGTTTCATTAGATCATAAAGGAATTTAAATTAGCACATATTTTTTGTGATATTAGTGTGTTATTTTCATAGTGCCTTATGCATGTTATTATATACTTATGTATTATCAGTAAATAGATGATAACATACTACTAAAATGTATTTTTAATAGTATGTTTATCTTTCCAATTTCCTAGTTATTTGCAAAATGTATTTTGAACTAATTTAAGTCATTAATTGATCATCTTTATTTTTCAGGTTCCGGGATATTCTTTTTCATTGTTAAAAAATATATATATTTCAATATTATTGTAATATAAATCGCAGCTCTAAAAAATAAATGATATTGTTTACTAAATGTGTAATTTATTTACTATGAATTTTCTCTGAAAATAATAAGTCTTTTATAATATCATTGATTTGCTGTGTAAAGTTAATAGAGATATTTTTTAATACTTTAAATTATATTAAAGTAATAAAAAATATGTTTATTAACTTTAAACAGTAAATCAGTTATAAAAATATTTTTTTAAAAATTTCCCCTCTTTTAAGCCCCGCCCGTCCAATTCCCCTCAATTTAGCTAGTACTGCCAGGCTGCACCAGGTGGCGTCTGTTTCCATTTTTTAACATGAAGTTAGCATTTCTTTAATGTACCTATTCTCTGGTTTATCTATTATTTGATTTCTCGGACGAACCGGCAACAGTGTATACCGCTTTTTATTTTGTTTCTCTGTCTGTCAACTGGTCGTATATATTTATCTCTGTCGTATGCATTAAAGTACAGACCACAACAAGACCAAATAAAGTGATCAGGGCTAGTATGTTATTGCTTCTTACTTCAGCTGCTAATGAAGAAATATAAAAATATTCTTGCATTTTCTGTATATCTAATATTTAGTAGTTTATTTAGTAAATATTTTAGTAAAGCAGATGAATGAAAAACCGAAATATATTAAGTAGGTCTATTTCTTTATTAGTTCCAATCTACTCGTTTAAATACTAAGATTGCAACTGACATATATACAACTGCCAGCGTGGATTCCGCAATCTAAAATAAATTGTTACAAAATCAAGAAAAGTATAATATTTTTGAATTTACCTTCTCAAAACTGGAAAGTTGAAGACCACTTTTGATCACTAGAAGCATGGAAATATTTGCTAATGTGCCTATCAAGGCTAGTTCCATGGTAAAACTCATGGTTGCGTTACAAACATGGTAAAACTCCGAGTAGCATAGGTAGTAACTTCCTAATATTATGAATAATCCAATATTGCTTAGTAGCAGCAATTTCTCAATCGAAAAGTTCATTTTAGATTTTTGTTAATAAGGGGTGTTTTGCTTCATGTCGTGAAAAATTAACTTCTGTTTAGGTAAACAATTTATCACGAGCGTGTTGGTTTTTATCAGGTAAACAACTGATTGATAATCTTATATCTGAACTGGATTCGTATCTTATCTAATAGTTGTCAGTGTTTTGTTGACATCTTACATCGTGATATTTATGTAGTAATTTTATATTTAATTTGAATCACCAAAATGTATTATTATCAAATATTTGAGAATAAATACCCATCTATGACGTAAATATATATAAATATTATATATTATAGAAAAGTTAAGTAGAGATATTGAAAGAATCTAATTTTTACATTAATATTAACAGTATTAACAATATTAACTTTTTCTTTTTAACAATTATATAAAAAAACATATTTTTCCGTAGCGCCTTTTTTGATCATATTTTATACAGGATGGCGCACCGCATTCGCCTCGATGCGAAAACGAAAAGATGTAGAAACAAAATATTTTATGGGTATATATAGGAAGGCAACATTGGCGTAACTACAGGGGTGCCGGGGAGCCGCCCCCCCCCCGTTACTGCTGGGCACCCCCCAGAGAAATCCTGAATTATGACTCTTGGCTAAGTATTAATTTTTATTTGCTTGTGATGCAGTAAACTGACGTTTTCTAGTTTTGTTTAGTTAATTTTATTTTGTTGTGTTCAAAAAATGTGTTAATTTTTATTTTCTTAGAAAATTTGTAGGTATTTAAGTAATCTACGGGAACACGGTTTGATAACCAAGTCTATGAAATTTATTGATAGAGAAATTCATGTAAACGTTTTATTTAGAAAATGTGCTTTTAAAATTATTTCTCATTTTTAAAAAAACAAAAGTGCTAGGCTCCCCCCCCTGGGCTCAACCCCAGCCCCCCCCCTCCAGGCCCACCCCAGCATAAGTTGCTAGTTATGCTAATGGAAGGCAATCTGCATAATTTAAAATTATTTTGAAATGTAATGGATATGTCACAACTAAGATCCACCCCGAAGTTATATTTTTTCTTATGGAAACCCCGGTACTTTATTTCCTATTTGGATCCTTAAACACAAAATAAGGCATTTATTATAAGGGTTAAATATGTTCACAAGCTTTGGTTTTTGAGATATTTAAAGATATTTACACACGTATTGCCTCCCCACGTATACCCACAAAATATTTTGTTTCTACATCTTTCCGATTTCGTATAATCAACCGAGGCGAATGAATGCGCCACCCTGTATGATGCGCCACCCTGTATATTCTTCTTTTATAATGTAAGAACAAACGACAGTGCTGTGATTTTTAGTATGTTTTTAGTATATTAGAGAACTATATAATTTTATAGACACACCAGAAACAAAGTATATTAATGCCGTATGCTCGAAAAAATCACGTCAACTTGGCTTGGAAATGACGGTTAATTTCAGTGCTATCGATAAGTTTATAGAAGAACAAAAATGGAGATTAAAAAAATGTTTAAAATACTATTTTCTTTGAAAAAGTTAACTTACACAAAATGTAACAGTTATCAGATATAATTATAAAAGTTTACAAAAAATAAAAAATAATATATTAACAAGAATTCAAATAGATGTAGTTAAATTATTATATTAATATACTAATAAGTATATTCATCTCGTCTGGCAGTGTAATGAGGTCTGTTGATAGTCCACAGCATATTAAAATCTAAGTCCATATGCTTTAAACGTAAGAATGGAATCCACCAAATACAGAAAAGAAGCTATGAGTCCAAATGCCTAAAAATAAAAAAATATTAATAATGAATTAAAAAAACAAAATCACTATTTTATTAGCTATGTTAAAAACACTAATTTTTATTCAAGGAGCTTTGGAAAAATAGATTTGATGGTCTATTGTTTTTTGTGTCTGTTAAAAGATGCCCAAATCGTATTTTTAATCGTATCTCAATTTTTTTTTAAATGGGTGGCGCATTAGCATATTTGGAAAAGGCATTTTTTACGAATAATTTGGTACCACACACTTGATATTTCGAGTCAATTTTTCGTTATGAATCACATATTACAATTATTTCAAATAAACCATATGCGAATATGTCAAAGGTTGATATATGATATGTCATTCTATTTAGAGTGTCGTATTCTATAGCTTCATTCAGAACCTCCCGATCAGTGGAATAATAGTTTCAATTACACTTTAAACTTTTTAGTTTACTATCATTCACAATGTCTAAAAAACACAATTAAAATTAAAGTCAAAATGACATTCCCCGCAAATTTTGAAGTATAATTAGTGAAAAAGTCAAAAGTTTGTTAACTTTTTCCACTAATTAAAAATTACTACCACTAATTATGACGTTCTGAATGCTTACATTATAATTAGATGAACAATCTTCTACGACTAATTGAAACTACTAATTTATTCCACTGATTTCGAGGTTCTGAATGAAGCTTATCAAATAAAGTAAAAAAATACCGAGGTGTGATTTAAAGAAAAAAGTTGTAGTTATTTCCGGTGAAACAGAAAGTGACCACGTCAACTGAATACGTCAATCAATCCTAATTTATGTCATATATTGACATACCAAAATTTATAGGGGTGAGCCACTTTTGAGATGCACCCGGTATAAGTATAGCCGTATAGCTAAACTATAATAAAAAAATTAAATTAGATTTAATTAAAATATATATTATCTGTTTGTTAGTATCTTTTAATAACTTTTTTATACTCTGAAAAAAACTTCATTATTTTTATAAAATATAGCGAAAAAGTATGGCACATTTTAAATACCCATACGTATACGATAAAACTAAGTATGTGGTGATATTTTATAAAAGGTTAAGTATTGTAACTTACCCCAGCAGCTTCAATCGCAGACCATCCTCTAAAATCAGACAAGAAGATCGAACTAACTATAATGTTATAAAGGAAAAGGATCGCAAGAACAAAACATTGCAGTTTGAGACTGTTGTTTAGTGAATGTGCAGATTCCGTTGAACTTAGTCCGAATATGACTGCAGATAGTATAATTCCTATAACGGTTCCTGCATAGAATGCTTTTACAATATCATAATTATAATGAAATTTTGATGCAACTATACAAACTGCTATTAAGCATGATAGCTAAAATAAAGAAAATTGAATTATTAGAAAGCTTAAAAAACCGGCACGAAAAACGGGCAATTGAAATTCTTGTTATATTTTAAAGTTTAATATATTTTGATCTAGTAGGCCGATTTTGATGACCTTTTAAGCAATTTGTAGCTAAATTATTTGAATTTTTAGTATCTATTTCTAAATTAAAAATGAGTTGCCATAAAGTTCCCATCTCTGCCAATTATACGAGGGAAACCGAAATTTTCCTATTTTGGTGAAAGTTATATTAAAGTTATAATATTGTATCGCAAAACATTTTCCGATGCAGGTCATCAATCATATCTACACTGACACTAAAGTCTATAAACTTGATTAAATGAAATTTTGGCAAAAATGTTTAAATTTGCTGTATAATTTAAGATACCGAGCAGCTCTTCATTTCTACTTTATAGAGCAAATTATTGTAACAGATACTTTATTTAGATTAAAGCTGCAAAAATTAGTTTATACCGAATTTTATTATCGCCATGTTGGTCACATTGCGCCGTTTTCAGCAAGGTTGTCGTTTATTATTTGACAATTATCCTAATGTCAGTCATTATTTTGTATAATATCGTGTTGTTGAATCTTTGGAGTAATTCTCGTTTTTTTGCCTATCTTCATAGTATTTTTTTTTAAATTGTACTTTTAAGGACAAATCATTCTTTTAAGAATTAAATTTTCGATTTTTTGTATTGCATTTCTTGAAATTGTGTGTTGAAAATATACCGAAGCATTTAAATAGTCGAAGCAAAGAGCTTGTAGCTTCTCTGATAAGCTATTTTGAACAAGGACGTGACAATAAAGGTCCTTTATTACTCTTGAGTGCAGTCAGAGAAGTAAGTTTGATTGATAAGCACATTGCACCACTTTCAAAGTTATATCTACGTTAGTTTTATTAAATTCTGTGATTATTAGTTTGTGCATTAAGAGCACCCTCTTACTTGTTATTAACACTTAGGGCATTCTAAGGTGTACATCAATAAATAACTAAATAACCCATAATAACGCTTAGAATAATCTTCATAATGGACTATAGTTTTGTCAATATGTAATAAGTAAAATAAGCTATAAAAATTATTAGTAAAATATTAGTTATTAAATTAAAAATAAAACGTAAAAATCTTTAAAAAATGATATAATAAATATATTGTTTGTCACTCTTAAATTAAGATTCATCTCAAAGATCCATCACAATCTGGCAGCGCTGTCGCCATCGCTTGTCACTCAAAGCTGATCACGTGCATAGAAAATTGTTTTGCGATTACTATATAAAAAATAATGTTTCAAACTTTCGCCAAAATATCAACATTTTGATTTCCCCGTTGTGCCCGTTTTACGTACAGGTGAGTGTAATAAACAAGGGTAATACTATCAAGTTTGCTTCGTTAACATAAAGACCATTCTATTAAATTCATTTAGATTTTATTTTAATAAAGTCAAAAGAGAACTTTGTAAATGCTCAAAATAATATACAGAATAATATAGATTAATATATATAATTTTTTAATGGAAAATTGGATTTTAATGATATTAATGTCACATGCCCTGAGATATCCTGATAACTTATAAATCATTTCAAGTTGAGCCCCCTTTTCTTACAACTACATTATAAGTATCCCTAAGTTCATTCTAAGAAAATTTTAGTCATGTTTAATCTACAGATAGTACATATTCGTTGACTCGCAATAAATTAACTAATGTATTTTTCTTGTACCAAGCTATATTTATCCTGTAATAAAGCGATATTATTTATTGTTATTATTTATTTTAAATTTCTATAGTGCATTTCAAAAATTCCACAGAAAAATATTCCCGTGATAACCCATATGCACGTCCCTGGTGAATCTGTCGATACTTTTTTAGCACTAATAAAATATGTAGTACTGATAGTAATTTTTACCCTGAAAATTTTGCTCAAATCTCTAAATGTATTTGGAAGGAAATTATAATAAATCGAAAAAACAATTTAAAACTTTAACCCTCTGTAGCTGAAGCAGAATTGGATATCTATGTAGATATAAAAATAAATATTATTTTTACGTGAGGAATCTCAACACGATTGATGACACATGTTTTTTAAAACACCCTGTATAAATTGGAAATATGTGTGGTGTAGTATTTTTTAAATTAATATAATATAGCAACTCCTTCCCTCAAAGCTCCAAATATGTTCTTAGAAAAAAAAATATTATTGGCTCTAAGACAATTCAGATACAATCAGGATGTATAAACAGTTAGCCAAATGCAACATAGTTACAACCTAATCAATAATATATCCTCCTAAAAGTATATATTGTTTTCCAATACCCTCCAGTAGGTACCAATCATAATTACTTTACATCTACCTAAATATCAAAACAATGCCTGATTACAAACACTTGTAAATTTACAGTACTTCGAGAACTTATTATTAGATTAAGCAAAAACAAATTCTAAGAACTACAAATTCACTCTTTTTTTAATCACATCATACACTATTCTATACAAATAGTTTTTACTTACTATTTCGCCTAATTTTAGTATTCCTAATAGAGATCTGAAATGGGACGAGCCGTATACTACTTCCTGAAATAATAATATAATAAAAATATATTATATCATGATTATTTAGATATTAGTACTTACCACCATGTTTACGTATTAACAATAATCAACGAAATGTATTATTAGTTTGTAACATAAAGATTATAGGTCTGTAATTTGATAAAAGTTATCTACCTTTTCATGATAAGGTGTCTAATCTATCGACTAAATTGGAATTGTTTCTCAAAAATCATATTAGTATATAAACATTTTCGGAACAGGTGATGTAAATGACTCACAAAATGTTTTTCAATTTAATAAATGCTTTAAAATTCTACGAAATACTAATGTATGTAATATGCATATAAGTCTTACTCCTACATACTACATACATATAAGTAATGGTAATATGTAAGAAATTCAGCCCATACTTAGCTATCCTCTTGGCAACGGAAACTTTATATTAGATACCGACGCTAGCAATGTTGGATTAGGCGCTGTTCTGTCTGAAATCCAGGATGGCCAAGAAAAATAATTGGTTATTTTAGTAAGACCTTGTCAAAACTGGAAAGGAACTACTGCGTGACCAGACGACAATTACTAGCCGTAGTTAAAGCAGTGGAACACTTCTACAAGTATCTCTATGGAAGAAAGTTCTTGTTAAGAACAGACCATGCCGCTTTAAAATGGCTGTTGCAATTTAAGAATCCTGAAGGGCAGGTAGCTAGATGGATCGAACGATTACAAGAATTTGACTTCGATACAGAACATCGAGCTGGGGCAATCCATCGAAATGCCGACGCACCTTCCAGAATACCTTGCGCTAAGGACTGTAAGCATTGTTCCCGAGCAGAAGACAAAAGAAGCGAAACTCCTAAGAACAACTGCAATTAATGATATTTGGCAACCCGAAGATCTTGCAAATGACCAAACCAGTGACCCAGAATTAGGTTTAGCAATTAACTGGAAAAACGCAGACCAAAGACCAACGTGTGGGAGGATGTTTGTAGATATTCGCCAAACGTGAAGTTGTACTGGGCCCTGTGGAATTCCTTGGTAATAGATAACGGATTGCTTCGCCGTGTGATCGAGAGACCAGAGGGACAAGAAGAGAGAAGACAGATCGTCATTCTAAAGAAGAGGATCTCGGAAGTCTTGGAGGAAGTTCACAATGGAACCAGCGGTGGACATCTTGGTGTTACAAAGACACTTGGCAAACTGCGAGAACAGTTCTATTGGGTGAACTGCAAAGGGCTTGGTGCAAGAAATGTGACGTTTACGCTGCTATCAATGGGCCACAAAAGCGCGGTAAAGCTCCAATGTCTTCATATTATCCACATTATCTTAGAAAAGGTTTTCCTATTCATAATTTTATTAGAAACTGAAATAGCGTATTGAGGTAGCTACTTTTTATCACCTGTACACTTGATATCTATATCTTGATTGTGTTTTTATATTTTTCATATTATGTAGAATTGAACAAGAAAAGAAACACATAATTGAATCATATTTTATTTTATTCAGCATCTAAATTTTTAACATGAAGATTAACAAAAAATGTTCAACTTTTTTTTTAAATAATTTGTTTACCTGAAAATACGTATATAATTGACAACCTACCCTTTCATTATTAACTATAAAAATCTTATTATTTCTGACGATTCCGTTTTAATATCAATTGCTGTCATGAATCATAATTCTTAAGACAATGAGTAACGCAATAAATTTATTAGACTTACCTAGTGTTCAGTAGATTTAAGGATAAGAATCATATACAAACATCAGACAAAATAGATACACCAACTTTGATTTGTTATAATAGCTTTGTTCGGGTTCTTGTTATTACCGATTCTAAACCGTTCTAGAACTCTTCAGCGCATGCGCAAATGAAATAATGTCTTCATATTTCCTTCTGCGCATACGCATCACAGTTCTAGGACGGTTCAGAATCGGTAATAAGAGAAACCCGAAGTAAGCTATTAAATCACTTACAAATTACAAAAAGTGCTTGTAACTTGTCTATTAAGATGCTCCAAGATTTATCAAAGATGTAAAAACGTTTATATAGGAATTAAAGAACTAAACTTATTTAAATTACTCAAAAATAAAGATAGTTATTTAATATTCTTTATATAATAATCAACATTTTTGTCTGACGTTGTACAGATTAACCGTGAAAATATTTGTTAAATAGGAAACAAATAAATTATTGTCTCACAATAGTTCATTCGCAATCACATTCTAGTCTAACACAGTTTAAGCCATATTTAATTAAGTATTTGAAATACTGCAAGTATTTAAATACATTTATAACATCTATGATAAATATTTTTCTTGTTTAGTTTTAATGATTTTGTAAAAAAACACAATAATATAAAACGACAAAAAAGAATACTTAAAGTTCACAACATAGTATACGATTTTTTAAAAAATAAAAAAAAAATTATAATACTGGAACTAACCATAATTAATTATTAAAATTGTCTTTTTAAACATAAAATATCACAAAAAGTTTTTTACGCTATAACTTTTGGGTGTGTTTCCATTAACACAAAATATGAATATAAAAATCTAGCTCAAATGTCATGTAAATGTAAACAAAAATTGTTAAAACTAATATTTAAACTTGTAATACATTATGTTTATTCGATTTTTGATAGGAGCGTGGTAGCCTAAGTAGTTCTAGAACGAACTAAAATAATAGAAAAACAAGTATTCTAATTTAAAACACAACGTAAAATGATTTTTTTTTATTTTGTACTATTTTAATTTTTAACCTCTTTGAATACCAAGTAGTCGTTCTGCTACGCCTAGATAGTAAACGGTTTGTGCTATTCCAAACAATGGGGCGATGACGATCATACGACATGCTCCTCCTTTGAAGAATGCAGTTGGCCCTTCATACTTCAAAATGTTTCTACATTAAAAAAAGAGACAAGTCAAAACTAAAGTAGATATATACAGGGGGGTGACAGTGAAATAGGAAAATTGGAAACAGTCATTAGTGTCATTCCTGTCATTCTCCTCACGACAAGTATGGCCGCCTAGACAAGGACAGCATTGTTTTTGTCTAACTATTGTCTAACTTCACAGTTTAGAATTGACAGATTTCAGTTTCAGAGACAACTTCAGATTTGTAATGGAACACCTAATATATTAATTGATTTTCGGATTCTGGGAGAAAAATAAAGGTAAGTTTTATTAGAGAAATATACAGGGTCCGGCAATAGTGCGTCGGGCATCTGTAGCTCCTAGAATAAAAAACTTGAGAATTTTGTTTAAGTGCAAACCTAAAGTATGTACCAGGATGTATTTCAGGAAAATATTTTAACTTCTATAGGGTGGCTCAAAAAGTGTGAACGGATGATTTTTTTAAATGAACACCCTGTATATTATTGCATTTTGGCTTCCTTCAGATCACTTTACATAACCCTAAGATATGAATAAATATATTTCGATAGTTTCAGAGATATTAAAAATAAATCAAAAATTTTTCAGCCCTTCTTAAAAATTATTAAAAATACAGGAACTGTTCTGAAATCAAAACTATATTAGGTATTACTTTAGATAGTCTGCACTTATTTTTGCTATAAATATGTAAATCGTAAATTATACAGGATGTTCAAAATTCTACACCAAACTTTCTAAAATATAAAACAATTTTTCTTCGTTTTTTTCAATGGAACACCCTGTATATTATTTTATCAATAGACGGAGAATTAAAAAATGAACATTTTTTGTATTTAGAGTATTTCAAAATTTTTAACGGTTTCGCAGATATTTGCAGTTTTATATTTCATATGGCATTTTCCACAGTAAATTTTTATCAAAGCCACCCAATGATTTTTCTCTCGTATTTTATCATTGAAAGCGCCATATGAAATAGTACTGCGTGTATCTGCGAAACCATTAAAATTTTGAAATACTCTAAAATTAAAAAATGTTCATTTTTTAATTCTCCGTCTAATAAAAAATAATATACAGGGTGTTCCATTTAAAAAACAAAGAAAATATTTATATTTTAGAAAGTTTGGCGTAGAATATTGAACATCCTGTATGATTTTACGATTACCATATAATATAGCAAAAGTAAGAACAGACCATCTAAAGCAAATACCTAATATAGTTTTGATTTCAAAACAGTTCTTGTATTTTTAATAATTTTTTTTAGAAGGGCTGAAAAATATACATTTTTGATTTATTTTTTAATATCTCTGATACTATCGAAATATATTTATTCATATCTTATGGTTATGTAAAGTGATCTGAAAGGAAGCCAAAAATACAATAATATACAGGGTGTTCCATTTAAAAAAATAATTCAGGTCCACTCACACTTTTTTGAGCCACCCTATAGAAGTTAAAATATTTTCCTGAAATACATCCTGGTACATACTTTAGGTTTGCACCTAAACAAAATTCTCAAGTTTTTTATTCTGGGAGCTACAGATGCCCGACGCACTATTGCCGGACCCTGTATGACTAAAATGTAAGGTTTTTGAGATATTTGACATTTTCTAAAAATAAAGAACAATTTTTAAATTACAATAAAGGTTGTCGCCCACTAGACCGCTGAGGCGGCGCGGCACTGGGAAGAGAATTTTTCCGGCTGCGAAGGGACTGCGCCCACTATAGCGCGCTTTTTGAAACGCGGCAACGCTATTTAGTTATAGTCGAAGTGTTTTTACTTACTGTAGTTTAGTTTTTAAAGCAATGAGTTCAAGTACGGACGAAAGCGTATTTTTTGTGCTCTTCCAACAGAGGAAGAGGAAGAGGGGGCGAGGAAAAAAGTTTGGACTCATACGATTAACAAAAAAGAAAGAAGTTTGGAGAATTTTACCATCTTTTCCAGATTTAATAAAAAGACAAAATCATTTTTTCAGTATTACAAAATATAAAGGAAACATTTTACGCACTCCTCAATTGAGGGTTTTAGAAGAAAAAACACCGGGTATATCTACTCATCATATTTTTTCAGAAGAGACAATGCGATCAGGGTATTTTTGATAATTCTTATTTATTCTGATGTGTATTAGTTATGTGGTCAAAAAAACCCTGATCTTTTTTATATATTTAGGTAATTAGAATTTAAAAATTGGAGATTGTCACTTTGTTAAAAAGTGGAGATTGCGAGTTTTGCCTCGACACCCCTCAATTATATTAAATCTTTGATAGAAAGGCATTTCGTCCATCTGTCTCTAGTGAGGGAAGACTAAAAAAATATCATATTCCTTTATGAAAATCGATTTGCCTAATTTACCTTTAAAAATACAATTCTGCCATTGATACATATCACTAGTTCCTAGTCAAAAAGCCAACTGAAAAGACTCGAATGCAAAATTATTTCCCTTGTGAGTACGCACACTGCAACGCGCCGAAACGCGGAGACGGAAAAAAGTTGCTAGAGAAGTCTTCCGATTTCTTGACGGAAATCCTGCGGCGCGCTTCTGCGCTGCGCGCTCTAATGTGCGTTGGTCCATTTAAATACATGGCAAGCAGACAAAAGAAATTTCCACATGGCGCCGCCGCGTCGCGCCGCGGTCTAGTGGGCGACAACCTTTAAAGTTACCTAAATTGGAATTTAGCCGGTATAGCTTAATATGTAGTTAAAATAACTAGTGTACTTTAAATCAAATTAAAACTTGACCAAAAAATTATACAGGATGAGAGAAAATTAATATTGAACATTAGTCACGTTTAAAAGCAAGTTACCCTTTTATTTTAAATGCAACACCCAGTATATTATTCCGATATTGAACGGGCAATTCACCTCTCTTCAAAATACTGTTGCCTACCCCACAACCCACAAACAAAGATTTTCCCAGATATTTTCATTTTTATGATTTGGTGTCAGTAGATCTTTATTATTTGTTAAAATTTAATATATTTTTTTAGGTGGCTGTGATACGTCTGACGTTACTTCACACAACATAGCTGTCTATTAAGTCCAACTTTAACAACTAGTTATACTCTATTATATATGAGTATAGCTCGTTGTTATAACCGATTACTTGGACCAATTTAAGTTAAATTATTGGTCGCTATATAAGTGCGTCGTTATATGCGCAGTCGTTATAGGCAACACGCCTTCAATGCATTTAGCATAGAACTCAGTCGGGACCTTAATATGTCGTCGCTATCGCTGTCCTCCTTTCACGCCGTTGAGCAGCTCTGAACTGTTCAAGAACGCGATACTCTCACTCCATTCAATTGAGTCATAAAGTTCCAGAACTGTTCCGCGCCATATGGAGGCACCAGGCTATCGCGCACCGCTCCTTTCAGAACCGTTCTCGAGTAGCCCCAGGGCGTAAAGCCCGGAACTCGAAGTTCGCGAATGGAGGACAGTATATAACCGATATGTCGTAAAATCCGATATCGTTATAAGCGATATTCACTGTACCAATGCGGTGTTTTTTTTAAATACATCCTTGCTTGTTTTATATTAACACATACTGGAATCGTTTTTAATAAAATAACTCTATTAGATTTTTTCAGTTTTATATATTTTTTTCCACAATATTTTGAAGTAAGGCTAGTTGGGGTAATGGTAAACAGGGGCAATTGTAAACAGGTCCAATAACTTTTGAATTTGGCGGGTAGGGAATAAGTCGACTGGCTACAGTGGCGCCCACATCTATGATGTGTATTGACTCGATTAAGAGTTTCTAGTACTATTTGTTTATGGTACAAAAACATTTGTTGGAGAGCTGCTTTAAAACTTGTAAAACGTTTTATACCTTAGCGAAATTTTGTTTAAAAATTTCAATTTGTGAATAAGTTAATATAGGTAATTTATATACTTAGTGATTTCATTTAGTGCTGTATTAGTAAAATGCATGTTACAATTTGAGATTAACTTTTACGGGAAATGAAGTATAGAGGTGTTTACAAATGCCTCAGTAAAATAGGATTGCGGGGCAATTGTAAACTTGATTTTGGGGTAATAGTAAACACGTGTTAACACTGATAAGCTCCAAGACAGATATGAAAAAGACCCAAAAAAAGAGAAACGTTAAAAATGCATTGGTTAGGTTTGTAGGAAGGAAGATAATATATTCGTTTTCGATATAGATGTTTTTGAAAAACTTTAATATTTTTTGTACACTTTTGATGAAACAGTAATAAATAATTTGTCTTTATAACAAAATGTTTTATTTTGTTCTCCATGGGAAAAATTGTAAACAATTAAACACATTGATAAACTTATAACCCAACTAAAAACGAACTTGTATAGTTTCTTGGTTCATTATTACCTTATTTAAAAAATATGTTTACATTTACCCCAAAATAGGACAAGTGATGGCACGAATAGTTGAGGCACACTCAGTGATAAGGTGTTATGATGTTTCAAAGGGCGATACTTACACAAAAGCGTTTCCGATACCCGTATAAGATCTTTCCCCTTCGGCCTTTTTAAGGGCTTGAAGTCTTGTTTTCACGACGTCGAAAGGATTAACTGCGAGTGCTGCTGTCGATCCTGCCGCACATCCTGCCAGAAAAGAGCACCAAAAAACTGCTTCCCCTAAAATGAAATATCATTAATCAATCCATGGTATATTCAAAATTTAATAATTATTTACGAATCTAATCACTTTCAAAATGCCCGAGAGCGCAGCGAGAAGGGCTGGGGCCATAAAACTTCATAAACCATAGGGGCTAAAACTTTTACAAATTCCATCAGCCGACTTTTTTATATAATAAAATAAATTGTTTTGTCCTTAAGCCCACAATAGATTGCAGAAAAAAAAATTGTTCGTTTGTACTCACTGACAAACAAGATATTTTTTGGAGAAGGCATTATATCTAAGAGACATTCGTAAATATCGCATAGAAGGAAAACCTAACCAAATCTTCTGCCTAGATGAAGGACATTTTGTTAAGAATATCTGGCAAGACAGAGTTCTCGTGAAGAGTTTTTAGAAGGATTACCGACTGGTTTGAAAATCCCTTCCAGGAAAGGACGCAGCCTATTTCATTTGAAAACGGAATGTTGAAAAAGGAGCTGGTACAAATAGTACAATGACAGTTAAAGTACGTGGAATAAATGCGCTTCTGTTGCCAACTACAGCATCTGTTGTCATTGTAAATTAAATCCCATCGAAGGTACATGGGCAGAAATGAAAGGATTTGTAGCTTGGAATGACACAACGTTTAAGTTAAAAGATGTGGGAGAAGTTATGAATATGTCGATAATGTCATAAACTACGTCATAAAACAGGAGTAAAAATGTGGAATGTTGAAAATCTCTTGGAGAAGGCATCAGAATTTCTGCTAATTTCAGTTGGAAATTCTGATGACTCTGACTTCAGTGAGGATGATCTATAATTACATAACATTAAAACAAACTAAACTATATAACAAAACATAGGGTAGTAACAAAATATAGAGTGGTCCGAACTGTATTCCGGAAACTTCGGCAACATATTCTGCAGATAAAAATAAGTGAAAAAGTTCGTAGAAATGTAAGTCCTAAAACGCTTAGTTTCGGAGATACCGGGTGTAGAAGTTTCATTTTTATTTCGAGATTTTTTCCTAATAATTTCCGAAGTAGCGTCAATATTTGGATGAAAATTGGTATCTGAGAGTTTTTTCACCTGAGAAATGTGATTTTGATGTCAATATGACTCCTACTTATAGGGGCCGCCACCCTGGTTTGAAGAGTAACAACTTTTCGTCCGTACCTGTATAAAACTATTGAGTAAAAAATTTTATATTTACGACGTAAATAAATAAAAAAAGTTATAACAAGTGTTCAAAAAGACCATCTTCTTGTGCTAGACAGAAGCCTAGGCTGTCGTAAAATCCCCGTCTGACATTGGCTAACATGTTAGGGCTAATAGTTTGGAAAGCCTCTCGTATTTTTACTTGAAGCTAGTCCAGATTCTCAAAAAATATAAATATCTCTAGGCAAACAGCTAGGTTAAGAAAAATATGTGCCACGGCACTGTTTGGTGACATCGTCACAATTTGCTATATATATATATATATATATATATATATATATTAACTAAAGTATATCGACTCCAAACTGCATTCTGTAAAGCAAGCCGGTGAAATGGGTATATAAATCTTCTGAAGGAATTTGCATAAGTCGCTCAGTTAGCGGTGCTCAAGCGTAGTGCGCAAGACTGGATTTTGAATTATCGATCGGATCACCACACCAATAAGAGACTAGACGCTAGCACCAGTTCAGTCGTACGTCTCCGTCCAACTTCGTACGGCTTTCGTTTGCGTTCCCGTTCGACAATTGGCTAATCCTCAGAGTAAGGGCTAATCGATATTCGGAATTTTGGAGTTGCGCTGTTGCGCCAGTATCTGCCTAACAGATTAACTTATGTGAAATATACATGAACCGGTTATCTAGTTGTCTCTAACTCGGCTTCAACTCCAACACATTGCAGGGATAGGCGATAATCAGTATATATTTGATATGTATATGCAATTTGCTCTCGGGTGTTATTTGTCATTGGATATTACCATAGTTACGGCTTTACTCTATGGTTACGGCAATAAAAAGGATGCAAATACTTTCTATATAATATATAATAGCTATTTTTTTCAAATTTTCAAACTTAAATAACTCGGTTATTTTGGACTTATCTGAAAAATCTACGAGATCTACCAGCAATGAAAATATTTGCACTTATTTAAGACTCACCCTGTATTTTCTACCCTATTATATAATTAATTATTTACCTGATCCGTCACTCTTCCTAGGCCCCAGATCATTAAGAGTTGCAAACAAAGGGAAGTATATCACAGAAAACGAAACGTCCCGTAACATGGTAGCACCAATGCCTTTGTACAAGCCCAAGATGCCATGCAGTCTGAAGAGGCCTATGGCCAGTTCGGTGGCTGATGTCTTTTGAACAGTCTTTCCAACTAGAATTTAAAAAAAATATATAATAACTTACTGTTACCACTTTTATAAATATGGTATTCGTGAAGATTTATTTATTACCGTTATTTTTGTTCGTCTTTCTATGTACCGGGTGGCCAACTAAGAATGGACGCCGGCTGTATCTCAGAAACTATTTATCGTATAAGTTTGGAAAAAAATTCTAATAAGTAAACCGGCCACGAGAAATCGCTGGAAATTATTTTTAAGTTCGAAAAATGTCCGCTAGGGGGCGCATCTCTGATAGCCATTCAGAAAACAGGATTTTTATCAAAAATATGCAGGTATTTTAAATATTGCTATTAAAATCATCGAGAAATCTGTAATTTTTTTATATAGCGTGTTTTGCTAGCTCATCTCATTAAATATAAGTGGTGGAGGAAGGTTAGGACTTGAAAATAATTTACAGCTATTTCTCTTGGCCGATTTACTTATTACAATTTTTTTTCCCAAAATTATACGATCTGTTTCTGAGATACAGCCGGCGTCCATTCTTAGTTGCCCACCCGGTACACACATTACACACAGTGTGATAATTTGAATGACTCTGTATAAGTGTATATCACAACTGACATGATTTGCCACAAATCAATATTTAATTCGATTTAATTAAAAAAAGTAAAAAGTTGTCCGATACAAATTTGTTTTTTAAAAATAGTTTTAAATAAGTTTTAAATGAATTTAGACTTGTAAGTTACATGTAGCTGATAGACCTGATAGAAATTCATCATCAATATCAATATATTATATTTCTATCAATTCATCGACAGTCATTTCAAACGCCACTGTAACGCCTGTCAACCGATTATATGATGTTTTCTCAATTTTTTTTTCTTCTGTAATAATAATTTATTTTACGTTTCCTTTGTTATTTTTAAATTATTGTTTTAATGTAGGACAAATGTATTTTAACTTTTTTAGTGGCTGACCTAAAAATAGCAACTAATGTTTCCCAAAACTTGCCGCCGAACTTTATGGTTTATAAGAATTTTAATACAATTTATTTTTGATCTGTACTAGATTTTTACCTTGTCTAATATAAGTTAGATATAAGTATAATATTTACGGTTTTCACTATGTATTTTTCAAAACTGAGAAATTTTTTAAATGTTTTAATTACAAAAAAATATAGTTTCATTAAAAATTACACTAATTAGTAAATTATAATATAGTTTTATACTGAAGTTCAATATCCTAAGTTTTTATGTACATAACCAATTACGTTATGTAATAAAACAATATTTATTTTTGGCATCAGCGTGTTTACACTAATTAGACCCAATTAGACTATTTTTTCATTTAATATCATTGACACACGACATGTCACTCATTTTAATTTTAGAAATGTGGGACACAAAATTATCTTTGTAATTAAATTTTAGTATAATTTAAAATAGACTTTCTTGTGTAAAAAAATATTAAAAAAATTAAAATGAGTAACATTATGAAGGCTTACGTATAAATAACGTAACAATATGAAGGCTTACGTATCTACATATATAAAATGCTAATGTTTATCTGTGTCGTCTCTACTGAAGTAACGACTTGCTCTAGAAAGTTGCTTTTTTATTAAAAGCTAGCTAATTGGCTCTTCTAAAAACTGCCGTCGCCGGATTTTTTGTTTTTCATTTAATTAAAAAAAAATAAAAAGTATTTTTTCCTGATGTCGTGGCGGGTGCGCCAGGTTTCAACTAGTAAATAATACATAGACGTAAGTGACTAGTGAGTGGCTGAGAAAAAAAGTAGTCAAAGGGTACCTTACGATCGAAATAAAAACGGTGTCAGAGTTGGCTTGGAAAAAATAATAAAATTCTTCTGCAATTCATTAAAAATAGTTTCAGGGCAAGCAGAAATTTAAATAACAGTTTTATTAAATACCTAATAAAAAATAATTAAAAAATAACAAGAAGTATTTTTTGAAATAAAGTTACAGCTATTTTAAAATCTCCGTTATTTGAGAAAAAAACGTTATATTATTTAGCCAGATGTTAATAATTTTGCAAATCAAAAACACAATCGAGTTCAGAAGATTTTTTCTTATCGAGAGCAAAGTTAATAGTATTAAAAATTGTTATAAAGATACTAAATAGTATTAAGTAACTAAAAAGGTGATTGGCCAACCGAACTAGATATCTTATAATGTTGAAAAGATTTGAGGAATATGCAATATCATTGGCCGTTGATAAATTAGTTGACACAATTAATAAATAGTATTTGATATAGAGATGGAAAAATACAATTAACGATTTTAGATTTAAAAAAACTGTTTTGTACAGACCACCCACAAAGCTTATTTATATTTATAGTTTTTAGGACTTGCTTTAAATATACAAAAAATTGCTTGTAAAATCGGTCACATGACTTACATATCTAACAAATTTAGCAATAATATGTGATTATGATTAATATATGAAAAACAATTATTTCTACTATAGTATTGCTCTTTAGTAAATAATCTCACCGGCACAAAATTCCTCCACCCTAAAATTTTGATTAAGTTTGATGTTTCATAACTTTTGAATTTGTAATCCGATTTGTATGATTATGGTACATCGTTTTTTGCAATAAACACTGCCTAATATTTCCTATATTAATGTATGGCTCCGAGTCCTGGACGATGAGACAGTCAGAAATTAAAAAAAAATTGACGCAACTGAGATGTACTGTTGGCGACGAATGCTCAGAAATCCCTGGACTGCCCGGCGAACCAAATAATCCATAATCCAAGAACTGAACATCACAGAACGCCTCTCAAACATCAGATAGTTCTCTGTTATCAGAGATGTGGTGTATATATTTAACTACATTAAGAATACAATAGTGGAATCGGAGAAAGGTAATTTTAAGGAAAAATTATTGGAATATTTAGAAAACCGTTTCAAATTTTGTTGTAAGCCAATTCATTATGCTGCAAATCTTCTTGATCCTCGTTTTAAAGGAAAACAATTAAATGATGACGAAGTGATATGATAGCAATAGATTTCATTTCCCAAATGGCAGGTCTGTCAAATATAGATGTAGGAGAAGTTGTGGCTAATCTGCTCCACTTCAGGACAGAAACAGGATTTTTCAGTCGAGATTCATTATGGAAAAGTGCCACCAGTACTAATCCAGTTATATGGTGGAAAGGTTTGTGTACATCACAGCCGCTTATGAAAATTGCCTCCCGGATTTTAAATGGGCCTCCATCCTCTACCTCTTCAGAAAGAAATTGGTCCTTATATGTTTTTATACATACTAACACAAGAAATAGATTGACACAGGATAAATTTCAAAATGGTTGCTATTCAATCTAGTTTAATGTGCTTAAATCTATATGAAACTGGCAAATATATGTATAATCCCAGACCATTTCCGCTTTTAGAACAGTCTGAAAACGTTGTGGATTTAATTCAAGATGAAGAAGAGGGTAATGTGGAGGCAGATTCAGATGCCGATGCTTACTCAGAAGCCGAAGACTCAGGATCGGACACGGAGGAAGATCTTCCACTTAGTTTTTTTGCTAAATAATGTTTCTGTTTTTTGAAATGATAATTTAAGTTTGATTTTTAATATTTTTTTACATTTATTTTGTTTAAAAACTTGAAACCAAAGTTATTTTTATATTATAAGAAGAAAAATTTTATTTGATTTTGACTATTGACCCTACAAGAATGTGTTAATTTACGTTTATTTGTTCTTCTATAAATATAATTTGTGGTTTTTCAATTTTTCCGTTTTTTGCCAATGTGAAAAAAACGGTAAAAACCGTGTTTTTTCCCAATTTTTCCCGTTTTTTCCCAATCGTTAAATCTCTACCCAGAAATAAGTGCAAGTGGTAGATCTGGTCAAAAGAAACATTTTTTTTTTCTTTACCATTTTTCCATAAGTCCAAATTACCATAAGTTCAAAATAACCGAGTTATTTTACTTTGAAAATTTAAACAAAAAATGCTTTTTTGCTTAAATTTTGAGACCCACTGGAACTTTTCTGGATTTTCTTTCATCTTCTGGATTTCATTTTAAGAATTTCCAAATTTTTTTTCAAAAAATTCCAAATTTATTTTTTTTTTTGCAAAAAAACTCATAGGCGTGTTTCTGAGGCCGAAATATACTACCAGTTAAAATACTTGCACTTATTTCTGGGACACCCTGTTTTTTTTAACAGTATTTAAAAGAAACAATTTATATAAAAATTGAAATAAAATAGAGGGAAAATATTTTTAAATTAATTTTAAGTAAGCCCAGTCCTGTTGTTTAATTTGGCTACTTTTATTTATGTAAAAAATACCAAATTTGATTATTTTCGCTGGGTCGTAATTCATTCGAAGAACAGTTCCAAAAGAAGATATACAACGAAAATAGTCGTTAGCTGTTTCCTATACAGATTTCATAACAAAGAAAAAAAAATTCCTACCTAAGAGAGCTTGGGCTGCAACCCTACCAGCGTCCTGCATCTGGATTTTTAGCAATTCCATTGGCGTAGTTATAATAATTTGGCATAGTCCCGCCAAACCACCCGCCACCATCTGACGAAAAATAGGCAACGTTCTAAAATAAACCCACTATAAAACGCCACTGCAGTTGTAGTTATCGCTACTTACTTATCTCTGGTTTGCAAATGGTATCTGAAGAAATCGTTCGCGGCTAATTTAATGGCTTTTTCTGGAGTGATTAGTAGAATGTTGACGGCCGATCCCCTGTACATTCCGAGAAATCCCTCTTGTTTGTATACCTTTCGAAATGCATCCACCCTGTATATAATAAGAAAAATTAACTGCAAAATATTTGAGTATCAGTATTTTCAGTTTAAAAAAAACAAGATTTGGTGTATGACATAAATTAGGGTTGATTGACGTATTCAATTGTTTTTGGGCACTTCCTGCTTCCCGGAAATGACTACAACTTTTGATTTTTAAATGGCACCCTCGGTATTTTTTTACTTTATTCGATAGAAAATGTCACTCTGAATAGAATGATATATCATATTGTCAAGGTGTATGTAGCGCAAAACTGTATTACTGATTGCATAACTGCATTACTGCTACATAACCGCAACGTTGAGGAAACGCCAGAGTATAAAAGAAAATTACAGAATTCTTTAGAACGTTCGAGAAACACTCGCCAGGGGGTATATAAAGGCCCGCGCTTTGGCAGTTGACAGTTTGAAGTTTGATAATACCGCGATTTAAATTGTGAATTAATTGGCGAAGGTGCCAGTACTGTTAGAGTAATAGTAGTTGCGTAAATTGTGTTGTAAATAGTATAAGTTGTGAGTACAGAGTGAGAAAAAAATAAATTCGTTAAGTATTTTATCGTGAGTTTAAATTAGTGGACCCACGGAATCCATAACAATATGTCAACTTTTGACATTTTCGCATATGGTTTATTTGAAATTATAACTTGCGGTTCGTAACGAAATTTTGACTCGAAATATCAAGTGTGTGACAAGAGACTAAAAACATTAGACGATCAAATCTATTTTTCCAAGGCTCCTTGATTAAGAATTAGTGTTTTTAACATAGCCATGGCACTCTAGATTGCAATTTAGAATACAATTTTTTATTAAGCGAGAATGTCACAAGTTGACATATGATACGTTATTCTATTCAGAATATCATTTTCTATCGAATAAAGTAAAAATATACTGGGAGTACCATTTAAAAATCAAAAGTTGTAGTCATTTCCGGTGAAACGGGAAGTGACCAAAAACAATTGAATGCGTCAATCAATCCCAATTTATGTCATAATATACTAACATACAAAATCTCGTTTTCTTATCTGAAAAAATAAAAAAGTTATAGGGGTGAGACGCACTCGGTATAGAAATAATTTAATTTCGGTAAAATACCATTGGGTTTAGTTTTTAACAAATACAGGGTCGCTGATATGTATGGAAACGGTCGATTATTGGGTAAAATATACGATAAGGCAAAAATTTAGTAAGTATAAAAGTTATAGGGTTTTTAAATGTCTATTTGCGAGTAATAAATTTAAGTATACAGGGTCGGTCATAAAGTCGTGGCAAATCATTTTTTTTTAAATGGAACCCTCTGTATATTATTGCATATCTCAAATCCTCCTTCAATTCTAAGCAAAAATAGAGATACACAAAATAGAGACAAAACTATATATATAACAAAAAAATAGACACAAAAATAGAGATACACAAAAACCAACTGTTTCCGAGTTATGGACTTTTGAAAATATCACTTAAATTCACTTAGTATCCTTTGCAGTGGCGATATACACAGATTTATTAGAAGTGAACCTGCCTTATAAAATACATAAACATTACTTACATGCTATCATACATTTTCTCGCCATTTGGACCGATTTGTTGATTCTGTAACCGGGTTTTGACCAAATCTAGGGGAAATACACATGTGACGCCTATAATGCCTGCTATACCACCGTTGACAATTTTTGGAAGGAGCCTGTAAATGACCGGTTTTGGATGAATGAAATGCAATCACTAAAAAGCGCTATGGTAAGTATACAGGGTACTACAAATTCGAGGTACGAGCATTGGTATCTCGGAAACCGTAAGAGATAAGAAGATGGTTAAATTGGGACAAAGTTGCGCTTTAGAATGTTCACCAAGATACCATCAAAAAAAAATTTAATTTCAAGGATTGCTGAGTTTTTTGGAAAAGACGGATTTTTTTGAAAATCAATTTTATTTTTTCCTGGCGTTACTTTTTAGAAAATCCAAAAAACTAATTGCACATTATCACGGCTACTTTATTAGGGCTATCTGATAGTGTTTTTAGATTTTCAAATTAGCTCATAATTTGTGAGATACAGAGGTCAACTTAATTTATTTAAATACGGACCTGCATTTTTTATTTCAGATTTTGAAAGAACTCGGTCTCCTGAGTACAATGATATGCCACACTTAATATTTTTTTGTTTCGAACATTTGAACACAATTTAATTAAACTTATTTCAAGTCCGGCTCTGTTTTTTTTAAATATTTAATCTATTCATCGTTACAATATTGGTAAGCTTTCAAACTTAGCAATGACGTGGAGTAAAACATTGAATACAGATAATCAAATGCAACTGAATCATAAAAAATAATATAAAATTATTGGGCATTCCTTGACGTAATTTTTAAAAGTGACAATACATTTCAACATTACAATAAAGAGTAGAGAATGCATTCGGAAGTATAAGAAGAAGATATGTTCTAAGAGCTATAAATAAGATTGAACGAAAAATACATTAATTTGTGCATTAGGGACGGTGGTAACCCTTTCGAACATGTAGAGCATTACTAGTTTGCAGAAGTTGATTTATTTATAATAACTACGATTAATATTATGCATATTATTAGATCGTACACTGAGATTTCAAAATCAAAATAAAAAAAGTTATACATAATATTTTTAAATTGCTGACCTGGGTATTATTTGTTTGAATCTTTCAATTGGCTCGATTCAATGTTAATTAGCGCTGATCCATATTGTTGCGATGAATATAATCAGATTAAATAATTTAAAAAACAAGAGTGGGACTTGAAATTATTTTAAATAATAATTAAATAGTTTTGTTATTGTTAAGGTACCTAAAACAAAGAAAAGTATCAAGTGTGCCATATCATTGTACTCAGGAGATCGAGTTCTTTCAAAAATTCAAATAAAAAATGCAGGTCCGTATTTAAAAAAAATAAGTTGGCCTCTGTATCTCACAAATTATCAGCTAATTTGAAAATCTAAAAACACTATCAGATAGCCCTGATAAAGTAGCCATGAGAATGTGCAATTCGTTTTTTGATTTTCTAAAAAGTAACGGCAGGAGAAAATAAAATTGATTTTCAGAAAAATCCGTTTTTTTCCGAAAAACTCAGCAATCCTTGAAATTTTTAAAACTTTTTTGATGGCATCTTGGTGAACATCCTAAAGCGCAACTTTGCCCCAATTTAACCATCTTCGTATCTCTTACGGTTTCCGAGATACCAATGCTCGTACCTCGAATTTGTAGCACCCTGTATAATAAATATTTGTCTAAAGGTATCCTTTATGAGTTTAATTTAATACTCGTACTATTTTGTACAGATATATGCCGAATAATCGAATAACAACCACATAGTAGCCACTCATATGTCATGCAATTTCTGTAATGCCCGTTCCGTTTATTCAGACGGTACAGTAATATGTTATAGATATCAGAAAACAAATATGCTTAATAAATAAATTTAATTATATCGAGATATTAGATATTTATTTGATTTTTTAAATTATTTCATCTGCCCAAAAAAGAGCATCGAAACATACTGACACATATAAAAAAACGTTTAAACGGTATAGAAATGGAGTAAATTATATAATTCCGAAAAAATAACGTAAATTAATACCAATAACTCCATTTGGAAAAGGACAAGTTTAGGATGAGAGGCCCTGTTCTTCCATTTCAATCCTTAATAAGTATTTATAGAACAAAAAGAAACAAAAACCTAAATATAGAAAAGAAAGACACAAATAAGAAAAAAATAACAATAACACAAATAAGCGGCATAATTACAAATAACACCAATAAGCTACAATTATAGGTAGGTAACTCCCCGGGATAAATTAATACAAAAACGAAAAATTATAAACTTAATCGGGGTAGAATATTGTAATTAGACAATATCTGTATAATTACGCATATTGTAGTTAAATAAGAGAAAAACAATACTCAAAACTGTTGAAATCGAGGTTGAAATATTAAATACCAATACCATTAATTTTAATACATTCTACTAGAAAGAATCTGTGATGTTTAAACATTTCAATCCAAATTCGAATAACCGGTCCGCCGTGTTTTGTAAATATCTAAATTTTATCCAAAATTGATACATTATTCAGTCAAAATGAATAAAAATATATATCTCATCTGACATAGCAGTATTTTATTAATGATATAATCAGTTGCATTGTTTATTGTAAAACGAGGGACAAACCGCTGGCGCTGGTGGTATTTATTGTACAAGCACTTGGTAATACTTGTATTTTTTTGGTACTAATTTGGTATTTTTGGTACTAATTGGATATTATTTGGTAATAAACTGGTATTATTTGGTAATAAGCTGGTTTTATCTGGTATTAAACTGGTATTAAACAGGTATTTTGTTGGACATCTGGCAACGGTGGATGTGGATTAGACGCACGTGGCGACGGCCGGGCCGGGAAGCTGATTGCATCATTTCCGGCCCTATGTTCTTGCCCATTTACATTGAAAATGAGCCGCCTTCGCGCTTTTTACACAATCAAAAATTCTTGGTGTTGACCTATTTTATATGATGTATTTTAAAGTTTTTATATTTAGTGTCTAAGGTAAGTACCTACTTAACAATAAAATATTACCTCGTAATATACATACTTAAGAATAATTACTTGTGTTTCGAGGTTAGGTTGCTGGCCTGTTTGAAAAATAGGTTATTTTTACCCGATATTAATTGCCCAGCTTGCAATTTTTCAATGCATAAAAATGGTTTTTTTATACGAAAAAATGTCAAGAAATTAAAGAACTCGCATCATGGAAACATAATATAGATCTCGTTAGAATTTCTTATTTTTCTTGTGCATATAATTACATTTTTGAGTTTATAAGTAACAAATAGCGCAAATAACAAAAAATTCAATTACTTTTTATGTCTAGTTTTTATTTTATAAATTTTTGAAGTATCGATGTTAATGGATCCGATAAAATGACTTTTTATATGTTTTTCTGACCAAATTATCTTAGTTTAACATGAATAGGCCCTAAAGCTCCAAATATTTTAAATTCTTTAGATACTAAAAAGAATAATACTATTTTGGTATTTTTGGTTCTAATTTGGTATTTTTTTGGAAATAATTTGGTATTTTTGGTACTTTTTTCCCAAAATTGGTATTTGTTGTATACCATTTTTGTCAGCGGTTTGCCCCTCGATGTAAAAAAAAGTCTAATTTACGAAATACTTTTTTTATAATATACTTTTTTATATTTCCTGAATTAATTTTCAAAGAAGTAGCCAATATACAATATAATAATTATTATCGAGTTTTATGATTAAGCGGGCATCTTATGATAAAAAGTAAACAATTGAGGGGGTGGCTGCAATAACCAGGCAGGTGAGACAGCCACCACCATATTTTTTTACGAAAATGTTATTTTTACTAAGTTACCCTAAAAAAAATTGGTCTCTCCTACCCTGCAATAATCAAGTGTTTCCATATAAAATATATAGGTATATGACAACGTTATTGGAGCTACCTTGCCTTCAGTTTGCAGCAAGAAACGGGCTTAGAGCTGTCTGGTTTGACTAGCAAAATTTGGTAAAATGGCGCTCCCTGGTTATTATTATTAATTATCTCATTCTCAGACAGATTTCGAATTCAGATAATACAGAGGATAAAATTACAGTTTTTTAAACATAGTACTTAAAACTATCCCATGTTATTACAAAGCATTTTTTGGAGTCGGCGTATAAAAATACTTTGATAGGTACTTAGGGCAAGAGGATTGGGAGATATTCCAACACAATAAAAATACTTTTTTACTTTTTCACCAGGAAAATGACCTGTTAACATAATTTTTATAAAAATATTTTAATTTTGTTGTTTTTCATGCAATATTAATTATATCTTTTTATAATAAAAGAACCTTTAATGCAATATTAATATTTAAAACTTAGATATAATTTTAAAATGAAATAATAATAAAAAATCAAGAACCTTGGTATACTTAAAATACGTGTATATTCTTTTAAAAGTATGAACTTGCTTATTGTTACAATTAACAACTACTAACATACTCCATAGTCTACAGTTACTCTTAAATTCTTATTGGAAGAATACCACACATAAATGTAGGTACATAAGTGTACTAACTACAGAACCCGTATATAGATACCTGACATGATATAAGATTTTTTAATACACAGTCGTTGTTTTAATTCACACGTTGTTTTACCATAAAATGACATTTTTTGATATGCTATTAACTTTTTTTTACTTTCATCAGTGGCGTCTCTACTATATTTAGTTTAAATACAACTAAATATTATTGAAGAAAAAAATGGTACGCCACTGTTTTTTTTTACGTACCAAAAAAAGTCAAGACATCAAATTTGTTCCAAATTTAATGTAGATTTTAAAAATAATTTTTATTAAAAAAAAGACAGTGGCGCACCATTTTTTTCTTCAATAATGTTTAGTTTAAATACCGTATGGACGCCAATGATGAAAATAAAAAAAGTTAATAGCATCAAAAAATGTCATTACACGTAAAACAACGTGTAATAAATTTAGTGATTTTCGACCAACAGGGCCCTGAGATATTAAAAAAAAACTCTTTTTACGAGTGAAATTCAGGGGGCTGTAAAAAGGGAGGCCACTCGCCAAAAATAAAAAATACGTCACCTATTGTGTTTTCAAGAATCTATGACCAAATTTTGTTGTATTAATTTCCGGACACCCTGTATAAAATGCTAATGTTTATTTGTTGTCTCTACTGAAGTAATACCAAAAGGATGCAAATACAGAAACGGTGATAAGAATAATTTTTTAAATTTTCAAACTGAAATAACTCGGTTATTTTGGACTTATCTAAAAAATGGTAAAGAGAAAATATGTTTCTTTTATCGAGATCTACCAGCCCTGAAAATATTTCACCCTGTATTTAAAAATAAAGAAGAGTACGGGGACGGGGTCAAGTAAATAACGTCTAAGCGTACAAACATAGTGGGGCATCTCGATGCAATGCTCGCCACGATGCATCGCATCGAAATGCCTCACTATGTACTCTAAGCTTGACCTCGCCAAAATTTTCATCAATTGTCATTCCCTAGCCGATTCCGACGCAGTTTTTTTTTCGATCGTATGGTACATATAGTTAAAAAGTTGATTGCTTACGATCATATCCTACATAATAAATCAATAACAGTGAAATAACCCGAAAAACTATCCCGTGTGTGCCACTGTAAACAAAGTGTAGATAAATCATACTCTAAACATATCTCCTTATCTATGAGTACCTATGAAAGGATATTTTTTTGGTAACAATAGTTACTCAATGAAGTGTCTGATAACTAGATAGCTTTATCTTTTGTGCATTTAGTTGCATTATATTCTCACATCTCAGTCGGATTGTTTATAAGATAAATTAATTCTCTCTAAAACACTCTCAGGATTAATTGTATTTTAAAACTTATTTTTAATGAGATTAAAAATGCATTCAATAAATATCTACATTTTATTTTAATATTCCATAATTCTTTATTTTTTTTAAGGATTTAAAATTTTAAAAAATCGAAGCAAATAACTGATACGTTTTCAATTATTATTAAGTAATACAATTCTATAAATAAATTGTAAACATTGGAAGCATGTACGTCCTAATTGTTTTCAAAACATAATAATCGTATGTCCGACTCAAAATGACTGGCAATTAAAATAATCCTAAGTGACGTATAAATATAATTCGCGGTAATTTTGGCCAATTTCCAAGCTTATTTCCAACTATATTATGTACCTGTACAGATATCTAATAAGTTGTGTGATGACTCAAAATCGCTTAATAAAAAAACAGAAAATAAGTTATACGTACTTATAATAATTCTACTTACGAAAATGAAGATTGTTTTTCTGCCATATGTATAATTTCCCTGTAAAAAAAACAAATTAATTTTAGCGTTAATTCATGTAGGTCAAAAATAAATTACTTGTTTCATTAATAAACGAATATAAAAATTAAAATTAGCCTTATATCAAAAGTGTGGACAAAATGTAGACATTATCATAATACTGTTAGATAAACATTAACAATTAACTGCCAAAGGGTTATCAATAAGAAGAGTGTGGCACAACCGATTTAAAGATAATATTTATGAAAATTTAAATATGTAAGTTATTTTTCTCACCCTTTCAACATCAATAGTTCTATTTATTCCATAAAAATAATACATAAAAATTTAATTTTAGAATGATTAACAATTTTAAAATAGATATAAAATCCCCATGACATTTTTATTAATCTAAGCTTATCTAAATCACAAGATTAAATTAAACAGTAAAAATTTGATAATCCAATTAAAAGATTTAGTGAGAAAATCCCCAAAAGATTTTTAATTAGGTAAATTTAAGAAAAAAATAAATTGTAACAAAATCAATATCAATTTAAATATAGATATTTTATGTATAAAACAATACCTAATTATTAAAATAATTTGCAAATAACTAAAAATTATTAAATAAGGATTAACGTAATTGATCAAAAGCCCTAAATAATTTTTTTTCATAGCTTTATTGATCAAACAAATGACCTCCAGGATTCTGTTTTAGAATGAAAAAAATCTATTTACCTTGTCTTAAATTAACCCAACACTTTATTATGAAAAAAAAACAATATTCTACTGCCTACTTTAAAAAGCCTGACCGGACAAACGAGCTTCACTCCGTTGTTTTAGCGTCACTGAATTCATAAACTGAATTCAATCGGAATTCCACTCATATTCCCAGTAATGAATTTTGCATACCTGCCAGCTGATTGTGAGAAACATTCGCTCGATAGGATTTTACGTGTGTTCGTTTCAGTTTTGTACTGCTCCCAGTTCACTTATCGATTTAAGATTACAACGTGCATGCTTTAACAATCCCCCTAAAGTCCAATAACACAAAAAGGGAACGAAATACGGCTGCAAATCTGAGCTACTGACATTTAACATTTAACTGAATTTTAAGTACGTCGGTTTGACATTGGACCGTCGTAAAAAGGGGACTGTCTGGAAAGCATTCAAAATAGTTTGGTTGAACTACTCAGTAACAGATGGCAGACAGATCGTCAATATACGGGGGTAAGTGAATAAATAGACAAATTCAGATAACTCCACAAACTACAATTTCCTATTTTATAAATTAGAGAATTTTTATTATATTATATGTTTTTTTTGTATTTTATTAAGTTCTATAGAATTTAAAAAAAAATATAAAATTATCGATTTTTAAAAACCGGTTCACATTAACTAGGCACACTATTTTATTACAGAAATGGACAGGGGGGGGGGGAGAATCGCTTGGAGTTCGAGACGTTTCCGCTTCAAAAGCCAGACGACCCGTTTGCGGACGCTCTAAAAATGTTACCATTGATCCATTGATACCCTGAATATTTTTCTTTTTTTTACAATGGGACTTAATATATGGGGATTGCTTTGCAAATATCTAAACCTTGCCTGATTTCCGAAGCATTTCATTTTCCGAAGCATTCTTCGACATTGTTGTAGATGCCAGAATATATGGGGTTCATTTTTTAATTGGGTTCATTTTTTAACACATACACATACACAAAACAGTTTTAAAACACAACAACAAAACAAACAGCAAAAATTAACAAGTTAAATCAACAAAAACCAATAACAAACAACAATAAATAATCAACAACAACTTTACACTCTTTACATGGTTAATTACTCGTCGAAGTAGTCGAATATTAGCATAAATGGATTAAGCGCCAACGTCACCCGCCGCCCGTCACGTATTTTCTGAACAAAAGGAAGACGAAGAGAACTGCCCAAAAACTCATTCACATCGGTCTCCGATAATAAATTTCGGGGCGGGGGGATTTACATCTGCCGCTAGGCTGACGTCACGTTACCATGGAAACCGTGCAGCCGCTTGACTCCAAAATACAAACATTTTCACTTGCACTTCTGGCTTGTAATGGGCCTATAATGCTACTTTTTCGGCCGGAATTAACGATGCGGTGGACCTATTATGTAGAGGTCCGCCCGGAAAAAAATAAATAACTTATAAAAAATTACCATTTTATTATTTAGATACATGTAAATATATTAAACTAAATTGATATTTTAAGCAGTAAAGTTTTTTTCTTTAATTTGAGTATTTTTTTCGGCGAAGTGCCCCTTCACCTACTGCACCTGACGAGCCGCCACTGGTGTGTTAAGTTTCCCTGATATACAGGGTGTTTCAAAAAACATATGTATGTAATAAGATAAGATTTATTTTTCATATCAACTTAGGTCGTAATAATCTTTCGATTTATTATTATTTTCTTCCAAGTACTTTTAATGATTCGAAGGAAATTTTCAGGGTAACTGTTACCATAAGTGCTACATATTTTAATGCTAAAAAAATGTCGATAAATTCATCAGGAAATATGGGTTATCACTGGAAAATTTTTAAAAAATATAACATGTGCGCCATTGACTTTTTCTTTTTTGATATCAAAATTGTGTAGGTGGTTCAATGACAATTAAAAGTTAATCTCTTGATATTTAATGGCTTCCAAAATAAAACAAAACACATAATGGCAGTATACTTTTAATAATTCTTTTGTTTCTTTTATCATTAACAATGACGGCCTTTACTAATAAGAAATGATCGATCTTTTAATGAAATCTTTAATTATTGGAGTAAATAATGAAAATAAATATGTAAAGTGGTATATATTTTTCAGAAGCTCATAGCAAGCTGGATCATATTATTTATACAGGGTATGCCATTTAAAACAACATAACTTTATATTTTCAAAATATTTTTTTACGCATTGTATTCTACGTAAAAAGTTATACAAGAATCAGTTTTCATCTTCTCGATACCTTACACAGTAATGGAGATACGGGGATTGTCTCAAATTGCTCAGAAACGAAGAGGGCTATGAATGTTTTTACAACATCTTCCGTTTGACAAAAAAGTGGGATAGCTTTATGCAAACTGCATCCTCCTAACTTTACTAATAACGCAGATACCGTATGATTTCAACCAAAATGTGACACTCTCTACAGAAAAGAGGTTCAATTTAAAAAAAAAATAAAACTTTATCATAACTTTTTTTGGGACACCCTGTACACAAAAATATTTTTAGGATATGCATATCTATATAAAAAATTATAACAACGACACCCTGTATGTGTTCTGTTATCAGTGAACATTCAAAAAGGAATTCTAATCATAAACAGTCAAATAATAATTTATTGTAAAATATTCTGAAAATATATTTTATAATATTGTAAAACTATTGTCTAAATAATACCAAAAAATTTATTTTAAACCATTTTGATTCTCTAAAGCGATATTATTACTAATCCGTTCTAGATTTCTTCTATTTTCTGTTTGGCCCTAAAACAGATAATTTTTTTCTTATTCTATAGGTAAAAACAAGGGTAAATTATAGGTAAAAACGTATTTTAGAATCTAATGTAGGTAAGTATAGTCTGTCCTGTGAGAGGATATATGGCCGTGGTAGTAGTATTTGCTGTAATTTTTTGGATGTTATCTGTCGAAATTTTGGCTGGTTTGACAGACTATAGATACATTAGATCCTGGAAAACAGTTTGTGTCATTTTTACATAAATAAGAATGGAACTATTCCGTTTTGTTGTAAAACAAGGTACATAAATATGAGGTAAATCCGGTAAAATACGGAACAGTTTTACAAAATTATAGACGTTTATTAAATTTCGATATTATCTGTAGGTATATAATTTTTATTTTATGATTTATTATTGATCTATGTTCTCAATGGATATTAGGTAATGTACAAAATGAGCTCTTAAGTGAGAGCTCCCATCAAAGTGACGTAGCATGTGACGTGGCACGTGATCTGGCAAGTAACATGCATCTAGCAAGTTACGTCGAAGTGTGTCAGCGCACACTGAAGTAACACTGTCAGAAACTTGTCATTTGTCGTTGTAACATGCCATCACACTGCTTCAGAAATAGAACTGGTTCCACTTTTCGCCACATGCTATCAACACGTTACTTAAATTTGACAAAAATGAAGGACGATGTGGACTTCAATATACGTTTGTATCACTGATTATGGGTTTTATATCTAGCACATCAAAGGTTTTTTTTTCATTCTATAAAATGCTTGAAATCTTTCAGGATATTCAATAGATATTTAGTTCCTTAAAAACACTAAATCCACTGTTCCTTTGTCTCTTTTTGCAAAAGAGGTGTATCCAATAGCGACGCTTTGGATAATTTTAGTTCATATTAATTAAGTCAGTGCCACTGCCACATCACTTATATGTGCGCTTCCTGAAAAATCATGCAACGCTATTGCCATATAATTGTCATGTATGTATGTGCAGCGTCATATGCTACGTCTACGTCACTTTGGTAGGCGCTCTCTCCATAAAATTGCAACACAGCTCAAATTAATTATCTCAGCAAAAAAGAGATTGAATCACATATAGTTGATAAGTAAACCAGAAAAACCTGCTTTCTGCGCTGGTCAATAGGATAACAATAATGACAAATGTTTTTCAGAAACTGTTTCGTAATTAAGGTAAAATCGGAATACGGCCTAATGAATTGATCTTTAAACTCATTTTTTTAATATTTTATATAATGTTTTTTATATTCTAAAATAGTGCTTACTCTTGTTGGTTCATAGGCATAAATAATTTCATTGGCCGCAAGCTCATTTTGGTATTCTCTTGGTTTTATCCATTTCCTTATAAACGGCGCCAATAACTTGGGGTCAACATCTCTCGGGTCGTTTGGCTTTGTCAAAAAGCTAATTAGCATTGCTACGAATATCGCCACAAAACCACCCATTAGGGTGTACCATAAATAAGACAAACGGTATATCATATATTGTTCGCTAAAAACAAATATACCATAAGAAATATGAGTATGGTTGAGATTTTATTTTTTATTATAAATATATCTTTTGATAGATTACTGAAACTGAATCTTAATGCCTAAATATCAAAATTAAATATGTTGACTTTGTTTTCAAACTCTTTTATAGTTCATAAACCAGCTGCTTTACCTACTCTGTGTGTAAAACATCGGTAACATTAACTGAGGGGTCAAACTGCATATTAACCGAAGAAGATTGCTTCGGAGTAAAGCTATAGTGACAACCTTCAGTTGTGACAGGTTTTTCTGGAAAGGTGAGATCACCAGACGCGATCAGCGTTTGAGTCCGCAAACAAAACCATCCCATAAAAACTAGTGACGATATTCCACCATAGAGAGCACCCTAAAAATTACTTATATAACAACTGATTTTTTTAAGATGCCATGAAAAAATACAGTACTCTTGAATTGATCCATGGAATTAGCATTCCCATTGTAAATAATGCCAGTGATGGTCCACTGGCAATTGCGCCAATACTCATTGTTAACTAAAACAATAAAAAAAAATAGATCACCTTATGGATTCTCCGTAAGAAACCAACTTTAAAACTTACTTGTAATACCGATCCCAATTTTTCAACTACAAACACCAAGCCTACGCAAATTGCTCCGAAAATAATTACTGTAAGTTTCAAGACAAAGTTGTAGTGCTTTTCGTTGATATCTTTATGAAAAAATGGACGGTAAAAGTCTTCTAGTACTACTGCAGCCATTGAATTTAAACCAGTAGATAAAGAACTAGAAAAAATATTTTGGATAAAAAAACAGAATATCTATTCCAAGTAGGTATGCAAGAGCTATATATAATGTTAACTTTTTGTAAATGCATGTATTACCTTAGAGCAGCACTAAAATTTCCAGCCAAACATATTCCAGGAAGTCCAGGTATACTTCCAAAAACTGTCATTACAAGTAGTGGAAGAAGTTGGTCCTTTTCACGTACCAACTACAAAATAATGCCTATAGAATAACATACATTTCAATTAAAAAATTGTGTAATTATTTAATATGAGAACCTCTCAGTTCTGCCAAAATTGAAATTAAAAATCTATAACAAATTGCTTCAAATAATTTTTCAGGAATATCAAAGATCAAACTAATAATAAATTAAAATAGTAAAGTTAAACAATTTTTGTTATCTATTAGAATCAAAGGTGTCAAACTAATTAGTGGTCAAAAAATCAAAATATTAAAAAAAGCTTGAAGTGTATTCCTTAAAAACACTGTATATTCTAGATTACCTACTTCTTGTACAAACGAAAAATCAATATAAGAGTACCCAAGACGAGTCACGCAACCAAACTTATATGGAATCATTTACTATTTGTTATAATTTTTTAGACGTATGAACATTTTGTGTTTATGAATAAAACTCAGTCCTTATTAAGTAAAATTATCCCCAATTGCAGCTCTCCAAAGCCTATAACGATTGATGCTAGCACTAAATCATTAAACCTCCGACTCGTTAAAGTTTGTTGAAGTGGTAACAATGGAGTTTTTGCTCCCAGCATAATCATAATAACTCCCCAAGGAAAGAGAACCCTAAAGAACATTCCAGAACAGTTCCTTCTTTATATGTTGGTACAGATTTGGCCTGGAGCTCTCGCCCAGGCTTTCTCGCTCGTCTTCTTGGAGCTCTGAGAATCCGAATTCGATGTTCATCTGATCTTAAGCCAATTCTGATCTCATCCGAAAACAGAATGTTTTGCCAATTCTCAATTGTCCAGTTTTGATGTTGAAGGCACCAATTTAGCCGGTCAATTTTATTTTTCCGAGATAACTGTGGGACTCGTAACTTTCTCCTGCTTACAACTCTCGAGCACGAAGCCTTTTTCTTATGGTTTAAACTGAAACGTTCACACCTGTAACTGCCAGAAGTTGTCTTTGTGGCTCTGAATGAGAAACATTGGGATTTCTTGTAGCAATTTAGCACACAAAGCGGTCTTGTTGTTCAGTGGCTCTTTGACCATCTGGGCCTGTTCTTGAAAGTTCCTAATTCCAAGTACCTTGCAGATGTTTTCGATACAACACCCTGGGTAACGCCTATACTATCTCTGGTACGTCTTTTTGGAGCATTCCTTGTTCAATGAGAGCAATTATTCTATTCTGTTCATTCTTCTTTGTTCATCTGTTAATCAAACATAAGGATTTTTTTTTTGGATCGAATGAAAATTATCGGACAGTCGCTTTTACTGCTGAACACAAAACTCACAAGAAACCTTAATTTTTTCCTTGCGAAAAGTTTAATCAGAAATAAAGAGTGGTTCCATATTAAGTTCGGCTGTGTGTATTTCATGTAAAAACATTAATTTAACGTTTAATTGAAATTTATTATACAATATTGAGTTACTTCTTTGAAGTATACTTGTACTATGTAAAAAATATGTTTCCTTTTATGATAAAATTAGAATAGAATATACGGCAAGAAAAATAATATAAAATTAAACTAATTTTAATTTTATATAACGCAGAGAAAGGGTTAATTTTGATTAAAGCTATTTTTCACAACAAATAAACTTGTATACACTATTGTCTTTATTAAAACCATATTTACCATTGTAGTTAAAGGATCACATTTATAAAAAGTTGCATATATTAGTAAACCCATATAACAACACACTAATATTATTAACACAATGCCACCAAAGAAACACCATAATGCTCTAAAACCATGTGAATTAAAAGATACCTAATTCTTCATTGTTATTATAATTACCTTCTTGCTGACGTTAAAGTAGGTAATGCCAAATACCTCTGAACCATATTTTGGTTTACTGCTCCAGCTTGCATTACGTAAGCAAAGCCACCGATCATTAAAGACCACAGGGTATGTCTTGCTAAAGGGTCAATGTCGAAACTAAAAATAAATTAAAATTGGTTTCACTGAACTCTGCAATATGGAATAAAATTTACTTAGGACCCTCAATTCTTCCAGTCTGTAAATTTCTCTGTATTACATTAGTAATTCCACCTATATCTAATGTTCCTTTAATAGCAACCAGAAGAAGGGCACATATCATTAAAGTAATTTGAATTACATCAGTCCATACCACTGCTTTGATTCCACCCTGAAATTTTCATTTAAAACATTATTTGAATTATATTTATATGTAAATAAATATACAGTGTTTTCATGATATTTGGACACATGGGAAAAATTTTAAAAACATATTCTTTGGGGGACTATTTTCAAGACATTATTTATCTTCCAGTAGATATATTTTTAGTAAACTCAACAAAACATTCAGTAATATCTAAGATCTTTTTTAAGTAGCGAGAAACTTCTTCTTGTTCTTCCTGCTCTATATTAGGCAGATTGCCTGTTCATTCTTCACATCATACCTACAGTCTCAATCGATGGTAAGGTTATAGCTCCATCTTTTTCTTGGCCTTCCCGTGCTTTTCTTTCCCAGTGGTGATTTGTCTCGAGCTGTCCCTACTATTCTTCCCTCGTCCATTCACCTTATATTTTCATTCTATTCGCGCCTTCTGCTCAATACCCATTCATTAATGTTATCCATCTTGCGTGTTTGCCTTATGTTGTCGCTTCGTTCTCTATCTAAGCGTTCCACCTGTGATTTTACGCAAGAATTTCCATCTCATCGGTTTCCAAGAACCGTTTTGTTTTTGCTGTATCCGGTCTGCTTTCTGCTGTGTAGGTCATTATGGGTCTGACGACAGCCTTGTATATTCTCGACTTGACCTCGACACCTATGTATTTATTTTTCCATATAGTGTCGTTCAGGCATCCAGCTGCTCCCATTGCTTTTATTGTTTATTGTCTTACCTTGTTTCAATATCGCCATATCCGGATAACTCTATATCCAGATATTTAAATTTCATTTCTTGCTGTATTATTGTGTTTATCTACAACAATCTTGCATCTGATGGATCTTGCCTCTTTGTTTTGGATACAGAGATTATAATATTATAGTATTTTGCTACTAGATTGAAGCGATATACTAGTCTTTGGATGTCGTCCTCGTTTTCTGTGACTAGCACATCAGCGTTGTCGGCATGCCTTTCTCTACAGGTATTGAGTCAGTGAGATTCCCGTGGATCTTAGCCTGGGTTTTCTTAGCCCTGTATATATTTTCTATGACTTTAATTAAATTATGGGGTATTTGTCTGTCAGAAAGTAAAAGTACAACATCTTCTAACTGAACCCGATCAAATGCTTTCTGCAGATCTATGAAACACATCTAAGCTGGTCTGTTGTACTCAATCAATTTCTCTGCAATTTCTCTTATAACAAAGACCGCATCAGTGCGTGATCTACCCGTTCTAAATCCTTGTTGCTCATCTGATAGAGATATAATGTTATTAAACTTGTTTGGTATTATTTTTGTTGTTAGTTTTAATGTTGTGCTTCTTAAACGTAAGGATAGGTAATGGTATTTGTTCGCCATTCGTTAAGTATTCTTTGATAGAGAAAAATATGTTCAATTAGTTTATTTAGTTGCTATATATGTTGTGGAATATTAGCCCTAAAAATGTTATAATTTAAACTTTTGTGTGAGGCGGTACGGTTTATGAGACTTTTCCACACACAGATTGCTGACAATAATAAGCATGTCTAAGAAACTTGAAATAAGCTTGTATTCTAATGTCCAAATATCTTGAAAACATTATACATATAACTATAATACTAACCATTGAGGTATAAATTATGCATATAAGACATACGACAGGTGTTATTAGATGAACATTGATTTCAGTTACTAAAAATAATTTCAAGTTAGTACTTAGATAATTTATAATATAATTTTATACCTTGATTAAATGCCAAAGCAGGTACGTATATTACTAAAGGCAACCATGTAATCTATACAAAGCAAGAAAAACTGATATCAAATACATTTTATTAAAGATAATGATAATGATGCTTACTGAACTAATTGCGAAAAGTACTGAAGCAAAGAAACGAACCTTGGAATCAAATCTTCGTTCGTGATACTAAAAAGAATAAAATAATATATATTAATATATTAAGTTAAAAATTGTTGCTATACCAAACAACGAATAAAAGTTTTGCGTAGGTATATTTGTTATTTTAAAGTAGTTAATAAATAGCAATTATTCTGTTACTATCAAATAAGTCACCTTATGCGATAATGCTAATTAAAATTTAATTATAATTATAAAAAAACTTAATATCAAATAAAATCAGAATAGTTTTATTAGACTTTCCTGAATGAGCCTTTTGAATTTATCACACCGAAATACAAAAATTTTCAATTCTATCTGCTATAAATATATTAATTCTACACGGAATATTTTACACCATTTTGTCACAGTAGGTATGAGCAAACGTAACAAATTTTAAAATAATATGTTGTTAATAAAATGTGCACGAAAATAACATACATGATGTGTCTGTCAGAGCCCATTAAATTTACTAAAATAGATAGTTTCAGCAGTAAAACTAACCATGAAATTAACTACATACATACGTTTGTTACTTTATTATTAATGATTACATTATTTATATTAATATTAATTAACTTTTTCGTAGTAACTTCTGTTGTTTTTTTTTTGTTATCATTTCATTTTACCTCATATGTTGATGTCAGTTCTAGTCCATGGAAGACAGGCAGATAAACGCTTGACATCACAATAGTCATAATGAAGAATCCTCCGATTATATATCCATATTGAATGCCATAAACATAAACTTCTGTAGGTATACCCAAAAGTGATATTCCACTTATGTAGCTATTCAAAATTAAACAATGTATTATTAACAATAGAAAAAACATAATGCCTGTAGATGAGAGAATATGTTTGTTCTGTTGTTAATATGTTTTTTCATTATGTACAGGGTGGGTCAAATTCGACGCTTTTAAATGGAAACACCCTTTTCTATAGGAGATAGACGAAAACTAATATCGGTGTCTGGAGCTCAATTTTCATCAAAAACGTGATGGTGAAAACCGCACATCAATATCTGTTACTGTTTCCGAGTTAGGGGGTGTTTTTCAAAAATGTGCATTTTTAACAAATCGCTGTAACTTTTTTGCTATGGAACATTTTGTATTTCTATGAAAACATTTCCAAAGCACCTTTTTACGTAGAATTTAATGGTTTAAGTATAATTTTTTTAAAATTAATAATTTAAGAGTTATCAACATAAACAGTCGCAGCGATTTACAAATCACAATCGCAGTTTCAACTGCGATTGGAAAATCGCAGTTTTGCTCATCTCTATTGCTTACTTAAATTTGACATGGGGATATCATCATCAGCAGATTCAGGATAAGGAAGATAATAGTCTGCTCCCTTTTTCAACCTCCCATTTTGAATGTAAAAGGCTCCTCTGCCAAACATGACATAAAGGAAATGAAAATGGAGATTAAAAAACTTGTGCACTTGGACACATCTACCATCATAATATAATAGCAGATAATAAGGCTAATGATCAATGAATTATACTTTACAAATAATAAAAGAATTTGGACAGATGACTGAGGTATATTATAAGAGGTCCAATGGAGCATGTATGCGGTAATATTTTTGAATTTCCTTCAATAAAATTATCAAATCAGATCCTAAATCTAAAAACTTTAGACTTATCACAAGAGGTATTTCGATTATTTATCAATGTAAACTTTTTTCGAGAATGTTCTATAGCAATTTAATGATATAATTGGATTTATTGTCAACTCTATCACCTTCATAAAAATATAGCAATTATTCAATAATACGCTTTGTGACTTATTTATATCTTGGGTTTATTTACAATGGTAGATATATTTCTATATAGGAACTTTTCATGAGCTGTAGTTGTTTCCTAAAACAACTTCGTAAATAATTTTTGTCAGGAAAAAAAGAGCTAAAGTAGCTTCTATTTATATAAACAAAAAACCAAAATTGATTCTTACTAACTTTTTTAAAAGAAATTAAATTTGATTAGATTTGAAGGTACCATAAGCTCAGTGTCTACTTAATAATGTCTGAAGATGCTCAAACTAGAAGAGAAGTAGCATAGTTTTTCAATTGTGTAAAAACATAAAACACAATAAATAATATTGGCGCTATACTTTTGTAGTACAGTCAATACTTATCGTCTAATGACAAGTCTAATAACGCTAATTATAAATACTTTTATTTTATATTTTTCTGTTTTTATGACGAATAATTCCATAAAGACAATGGAGATAAAGTAAAATACACTATAAGTAATGTGTGGATTATTATAAAAACAACGGAAGTACAAAAAAAATTATCAAATGAAACATAATAGCAACAAAATTTAATATGTTTATTGAAAAATAGCAAAATAGTAGTTATTTATATTAGTTTAATTTTTCTTTCATAAAATATTCTTTTACTCACCTTATAAAATTATATTCAATAAAGCTACACTTGTTCAGTCAAAAATACATATTATGTATTTTACCTAAAAACAAAAACTATTAATAACTTCCTTCATTAATACATTCATTTCATTCTAATTGAAACTCAAAAATAGAAAAAGCTTAACTACGTTTATTTATGAAAGAACTCAACTATGAATTGAGGTAACCCGTTTAGGGACAGTGTTAAAATAGAGGTAATTGTCACAGATGATCATCATAAGCGGAGTTGGTGTTGAAAAATAAAATGAGTTGTTGAAAACTTGTTTTAGCAAATGTCATGTCAATATTGTTGCGGTATGTAACAATTTTCTTGTTGTATCGTTATTAACACCAGCTGAGAAAATAATTAAAATAGCAAACAAATATTGTTTTAATCAACTTGTATGTTATGTTGATGACTTTATTTGCAACACAAAATTACAAAAATAATTAAACCAGCAAAGAAATAGTTTTACTTTCCATCTTCAATTCATATTAAAGGTACTCCCATAAATATCTCAGTGCATGGAGATCACTCATGGAGATGTACCACCCTATCTATTTACAAATATTTTTTCCTTGATGTTATAAAAACTACTATTGTTTTGTGCAGTTTTCCTAGAAAAATACACTGTATTATATTAGATAAATGTAATCGCAATAGTTATGCATAATTATGATAGTAAAATTGTTGTTATTCAACCGTGTTTCCTTGACGTGACCGAAAAAAAAATAATTATTTAAAAAAGTATGGACAATATTCCTTACGAGTAGCAGTTGTGTTGAGAAGATGCAATTTACCATTTAAGTTACGATGTAATTATTAATGTTGTATAGATTTTACAAACATAAGCTTAAAATAGACCCATGTGTACTGAAAATCCGAGAATATAGATTTTGTTGTTTAAGTCATTGTTGTTTAAGTCTATCTGAATATTAATTTGTCAATATGAAGCTTCATTCAGAACCTCGCAATGAGTGAAATAAATTAATGTTTTCAATTACACTTTATACTTTTTAGTTTACGATCATTCACAATATTTAAAAAACACAATTAAAATTAATAGAATATCCTAGCAAAGAGCTTGCGTTAGTCAGTTATATCCATAGAGAAAGCCTAATATTTAGCTTGTAAAACAATCAACTTTTGATTTCTAACCACAATTTCTCTTGACGGAAGATAATCAAAGGCCAAAATGACATTTCTCGTAAATTTTGAAGTATAATTAGTGGAAAAGTTAAAAGTGATAACTTTTTCTACCAATTGAAAATTAAAGGAAGAGAGAAATTAAAGGAACAAACTTCTACGGTAATTGAAACCACTAATTTATTCCACTAATTGCGAGATTCTGAATGAAAATTAGGTTTTCTCTATGGATACAACTGACTACCGCAAGCTGTTACTAGGATATTCTATTCATTTTAATTGTGGTTTTTAAACATTGTGATTGATCGTAAACTAAAAAGTATAAAGTGTAATTGAAACCACTAATTTATTCCACTAATTGTGAGGTTCTAAATGAAACTTAACACACTTTTTACTTGTATGGCACCTTTTATATTTGGGTTGCATTCCAAATTTAATTCTAGTATTATTATTGTATATCAGATTATCACATAAACAAACTAGGATCATAATATAATATTGTAATTTGCTGATATAACTTTTAGATTGCAATGAGAAAAGCACTAAGAACCAGCTTATGGCTGCTCAAAGGGCCTTGTACATCCCTCAATGTCGGACCCCAGGGGTCCACGACATGACAAAAAATTCAATCGTCAGATCCGAGGGTAGATCTAATTTTCAGCCTGCTTCCTTTTTTGAGTTATTCTCACTCATCATACAATCCTGACTGAATTTGACAAAAAAAAGATCCAGGTCTTTAACAAAAGTAAGTATCTGAGAAGGCTTTACCTTGGTTAGTCCTCCATCTTTTATATTATTCGTACTAAAGTTTATCGCACGAATGGTTGTCGTCTCGTGGGCACGGTGTTGTCGTCTAGTGTTTCTCCATTTTCCCCACGGAATCTGCATTCACCATTGATTATTAGCTTCAATCTACTGAGCTTTTCATTGAGGAGACAGTGTCTTGTTAAAAAGCTCCTGGGCAATCCGAAGATTGTCCTTAATAAATTCAAGGATAATATTTAATTTTTCTCGGTCGTAAGTCCTGAGAAATTTCTTGTGTATGGTCTTCTTCCCATTTCAGGTTACGGATGGAGTCTTTCAGCTTCTTCAGTTCTGCTTTAAGTTGGCTTCCACTTGGGAAGCAGAACAGTTATTCTGGTCCAGTTAGTAGAGTGTTTGCTCCTTTTGTAGCTAGATCGTTTGCTTTTTCATTACCTTCTATCCCTTGGTGGGCTGGCACTCTGAGTAGGGAGATGTTATTTTCTTTGCCTAATTTGTTCAGTTTCTCTAGGCATTCTTTGGCCAATTTCGAATTGGTGGTTGCTTAGTTGATCGCTTTTAAGGCTGCTTGGATATTGCATAAAACGGCTATTTCTTGTTTCCGGTAGTTTCTATCTAAGATAAGTTGTATGCCTCTTTCCTATCTCTGTTTCTGCTTTGGTTTTGGAAGTATCAGTATACTACGTTATGGTCTTTTATCTTTTGTAGTATTATAATGGATAAGAAATTTGACTAAAGAACAACCAAGCCTAGAAGATGAGCTCGATATTGCTTAATATTTTTATGTGTTAAAAATACTTACAGAGCAACTACAGAATATGATAGACAGATGAGATATTGATAGTTTTTTATGTCAATTTATAAAATAAAATTCTCCATGGATTGATTTTTCTGATTTTAATTGAATAACGTAAATTTGCAGAAACAATGCTTGATTTCCAACAGAAATTATTTTTAAGTCAACGCTAAAACACATTTGATATATTTCCTTTTTTATTCGGCAAATATCATCAAAAAGTTTTCCACGGCACTGTTAAAATGATCCTTAATAGAAATAGAAAAGGGAGACATTATCCAATTTAACTTTAAATAGGGGCTCCAATTACGTTTGTGGGCTCTCAAAAAAGATATTGTAGAACAAACATTTCCTTAAAAATACTATGAAAACGTTTTTCGCTAATTTAAATGGTTACTTCGTTCTAGCAGATTTAATTTAAGCCAATTCAAGGCAAGTATGAATTATTATTTAATATGTAATTTTTTTGAATTTCGTTTATTTAATGTACATATTTTTTTGGTTTATTTATTTATTTCATTTATCCTAAATTTTTAAATAAAGTAGATAAAAATGGTAAAATCTAATGGTGAATTTTAATATACAAAATGTAAATAAAAAATATGTGCGAAATAATAAGAGAATATTTTTCAGATAAAATTTCTCGATTTAACGTTTCCCCACAAAGTTTTTGGTTATACAGGGTGAGTCTCGAGACCAGAAACACGATAAGAAGTTTATTTATTATAAATTTGATTTTTTTTGGATTTTTTTTAGTTTTTAGTTAAAAAACATAATTTCTTGAATAATGTAAGCTATCTATGGCAAAATATTTTTTTTTAAATGGCGTAGTTTAAAACTCGAAAAAAAAATTGAAAATAGATTTGTATGTCTGAAAACGTTCTATTCTTCTTTAATCTTCCAATAATTAGTGTTTATTTTTGACAAGTCTTATGTCAATGTTTAGTAAATGACGTCTAGAGATAGACCTCGCCAAAATTATCATCGATTGTCATACCCCATCCCTCTTTGACGCCTTTTTTCATCACAGTAGTGTACAACAGAAAATGCATAAAAATAGATAAAAAATAATAGAAATATTCATACTTGACGTATTCTAGATATGTCTGATTAAAATATAACTAAGTAAAATGTTAATTAAATACGTTATCAGAATATTCGGATCCATGATACATGTTAATCTGGACAAATATTGTTGTCATATATGCAGGTATTATTTTGCAATCTATACTAATATATAAAATCCTTAAGTGACTGACATACTGATTAATCACGATCCTGCTCAAACTACTCAACGTAAGAAGCTCAATTTTGGCATACAGGTTGATTCTATGGTGTAGAGGTTCGATAAGAAGGAATTTTTCGAAATTCCAGTTCCAAGAGGGTGAAACCACCCCTCAAATATTACAATAATTTTATTTAAAAAACGGTCAAGTTTCCGAAAAAACGCTTAAACACGTATATTTTATTTTGTTCTTTTACATATTTTAAGATTTTTTAAAAATGTATACAGGGTGTTTCGAAAAATCTGGCCATTGATTAATCACGATCCTGCTTAAAGCGCTTGACGTAAAAAGCTGATTTTTGGAAAACAGATTGACTTTAGGGTGTAGAAGTTCGGTAAGAAGGGATTTTTCGAAACTCGAATTCTAAGGGGGTGAAATTATCCCTCAAATATTAAAATATTTTTTATTTAAAAACCGGTGAGTTTTTCGGAAAAACTCTTAAACACGTATGTTTTGTTTTGTTGTTTTACATATTTTAAGATTTTTTATAAATTTATACAGGGTGTTTCATAAAATATGACCATTGAGTAATCATGATTCTGCTTAAAATGCTTGACGTTTAAAGCTGATTTTTGGCAAACGGATTGACTGTGGGGTGTAGAGGTTCGATCAGGAGGGGTTTCTCGAATCTCAAATTCCAAGAGGGTGAAAACGCCCCTCAAATATTACAATATTTGTTATTTAAAAAACGGTCAGTCTTTCGGGAAAACGCTTCGACAAGCATAATTTATTTGGTTTTTTTACATATTTTGAAATTTTTTAAAAAATCATACAGGGTGTTCCAAAAAGTTTGGTAATTTCTTAACCACGATTCTGCTTAAACTGCTTGACTTAAAAAGCTTATTTTTGGCAAACGGATTTTTCGAAAGTCAAATTCCAACGAGATGAAACTACCCCTCAAATATTACCAAGTTATATAATAATATCGCCATATTGTTTTTCCTCATGCTGACATAAATGTGAGAAAATTTTATCCAGTTTGTATGTTAATGCAAATTCTTGCTTTGCTTTAGATAGATAGATAGATATTTCTTTATTTATTTCCAATGTTTACAATAAAAACACATAAAATAGCGCGGGTACACGCTAGTCCTTTATATTTAATTTCCTTCTTCATTCGTGTAAAAATACCTAGCCAGTTTTACATAAAACGTTAAATGCCGAACAATTATTTTGCTACTTTTTCGGACTAATAAAATGGACTCTTAAACCACATTTCTTGATCCTAAACCATATAAAACAAGGCATTTATTACCTAAATGAAAATCTACTAATTAGTAAGAAAAATTAAATGTTCGTTTCGGATATGGCTAATCGCTCTTATTAAAAAATGTGTTATCGCTCACTCCTACTAAATATCTAGTTAATATTTTGTATAAGCACTATCTTAACCGAAGATAAGATTAAATTGAATGAAACTCGTCAATATGGTTTTAACTGCGGTATGGCAGCGAATTTTAGCGTTCGGCCAAGTATTGTTGTGCAAAGTTGGTTAACAAAATGAGCGTAAGTCTCGCATTTAAGTTCTGTACAATGTAAAATACAGTTTATTTCCATATAAAAATATCCACATTCAATGTCAAACACGCCATTGTTTATTTATTACATTAATTATATTATCAGTAGGATAACTGGTTATACGACGTAAAATGTGTTATATTTCTAATATTATTCTTTCTCGAGTACTGTAAACATTACTGTTATTACAAATTTTTCTTTTGACTCTAACTAAACCGTGAATTATTTCATTACTTTTAACATATTGATATTATTGTAAAAAAATATCAATATGTTAAAAGTAATCAAATATGTTTGTGTATTTTTAGAATACTTATCACACTGGTGTCAACTATATTTGGTCAACCCCAGGAATACTTCAAATAGCTGAAGGGGTAAGTATTAAAAAAGTGCTAATAATTCAGATGATTTCTTTTTAAAAATACGTTGGCTTTTAGTGTAATTTTTTTTCCATTTTGCGTTTTCCTACAACGTTAATTGCTCATACAGGGCAAACCAAAATCAAAAGAAACATACCTATCAATTTGCACAATTGATTCATTCACCTAGCAAAAAGTACAATGGTGCATTAATATACAGGTCTATTGTATTTCAAAATATTGACAACCTGTGTTTTTTTTAAGTTAAATTTTTAAGAGATGTTTAATTTGCAATTCTACTGATACTAATTAGACTATGTTTTCTTGTTAACTGCTTCAGAAACACAAAAGTTTCGGAATTAACTGATATAAGCAGGATTGTATTATTTCAAAACTGCCTGACCCTACTAACTTCTTACTTCTTGAATTAGGAGTCTTTTTGTTAATCTTGGGGTACGAATAACTGTTTGGCCAAATGTTCTGAAATGATCAAGTCGATTAAACAGTTGTTATCATTTGTTCTTTATATTTTTGTTTACACTTTGATTCAAGCATTTTCTATACATTTCAATATCTTTCTATATTTGACTTGGAGCACAGCTGGGAGGCTGCAATTTCTTCTAAGTGTTGACAGGCCAACTTCCCAAGGCATGAAAATAAGTTTGTTTTTCTAATTTGACATGTGATATTTTGCATTTTTTATGGATATTTGTTATTATTGCTATGTTTATTTGACAAAACAGATATAATTCACATTATTTTTATTTTCTGTTTTTGTTAGGAATTAAATTAACATAGGGTATAAAAATATTCGACTTCAGTGTCAGTTATAGGACATATTGCAGGATACGAGTGGAAATGGCCATTAATTGTCCGTTGTTTTCCGAAAATAAATCAAATAGTATATTGTTTTATTAGGAGTAAAAATGACACTTTTTGTGGTGAGGTTGTACGTTTAGCGAGTCCCACATAAATAGGGTTACCAGACGTCCGGATTAAAGGCTGATTCATGGTACACTGTGACGGGCCGGGGCCGTGCGACGGTGAAGGCACGGCCAAACATTGTCAAATGTTATTTATACTTATGCATTCATGCTAAGCCGAGCACGGGCCGAACTTCGCCGGAACGCGTCCGTGCCCCGTCCGAGAAATGTCGGTGTACATTTTTCCTCGGATCCGCTACGGTCCGGCCCCGTTGCGGCAAACATAAATGAGTCGCCCGGGCTAAATACTTCGTTCGTCTACGGGCCTATAGCGACTGTTTTCTAGCCGCACCCAACTTTTAGCGCCACATTATAAACTAAAAATGTACCACTTTGGTACAATTTTTTAAAGCACAACAAAATACATCTGCAAATGACTTTAACCGGTTTGGTCGCTGTGAATTTCTTCATAAATTTCTACATAAAAAACTTCCTGGAGAAAGACACAAATCGAGACGAAAAACATGAAATAGAAATTCAGAAAACCCAATTATAAGTATGTATAGGTTGAAGAAATCTAAGTAATTCTAATACTACACACAATACTTGGAAAACTTAAATTTTATTAAAAAAAAACGCAAATATAGAAGCATGTTAGAAAAAGTAAATTTTCAAGTTTTTTCTTTGGGTTATTTAATATAGGCAACGCTATGGACATTACAACGTTTATAATACGTCGTTAATTAATGCGGATTATCTCCGAATGGTATCGGTAAGCGCGTTTAATGCAATATCAACGACAATAATTATTAAATATCTATTCATTTTCGGTGCGCGTGGGAAATCATTATTGTACCAAATTATCCTGGATTTGAAAATGTAGTACCACTGTCCGGCCGAATTAAAAGTATCAAATTAACATGGGGTATAAAATATTCGACTTCAGTGTCAGTTATGGGACATATTGATGGGATACGAGTGGAAATGGCCATTAATTGTCCGTTGTTTTCCCGAAAATAAATCAAAATAGTATATTGTTTTATTAGGAGTAAAAATGACACTTTTTGTGGCGATGTTGTACGTTTAGCGAGTCCCACATAAATAGGGTTACCAGACGTCCGGATTAATCCGGATTGTGTCCGGGCGGATTTTTCATAAGCGTCCGGATTTTAATGCTCCATTAAGAAATATCGTAATATTGCAAAATAATATATTAGTTTTAATAAACTTAGTTACTTAAAAAAATCGTCGATAAATTCAGCAGTTTAATTTCATTGTTTTTTGTTATTTTTGAAACGTCACAAAAGTATTGATTTTTGCGTAATGATTGACAACATAAAAAAGTCATTTTAACGCCTAAGCCTAAAAATAAAGCACTTTACAAGCAAGCATAAAAGTACGAAAATATATTATTAAAAAATCAAACTTTAATGAAAATGTAAAACACCTATTTTTATGAAAACTATTAATATATGAAATAAAAAAGTTTTACTAATGCTTTTTAAAATTTAATTGAGATCTTATATTCAGGTCGGCGATATTTTGTGTTCTTTCATACCTAATTTTTACTTTTATTTATTTTTTAGTTGCTCAATATTATATTAATAGTGTCATCCACCGTTATCGATGCATCGTTCAGAGCCAACTTTCTTTGTGGAATTGCCATATTCGCAGTACTGTCAGTTATAGTGTTACTGGGTGTCAATATAACTGGAGTTCCCGCCAAATCTGACGTTCCATGGTTCTGGATTCAGTTCTTTTGTGCCGTAAATTTGGTTCTGTTGTACTCGATCAGTTCGACGCTAGTTATTATTCAACTAACTAAAGGATCTATTATTACTGGGGTAAGACAATAAATTATATTCTTAAATTCGTGTATTAATACAAGGTGTGCGTCGGGCATCTGCAGCTCCTAGAATAATGCAAACCTAAAGTACAGAATATCTAGCTACGCATTTCAGAAGCCTCGTTACATGTATAAAATCTGTGTAAAAGGAGACAGGCTTTAAAAGTCTGTTTCCCAAATCAGACATTTTGATGTGGTAGCTAGCTACATAATAGAGGGCAATTTAAATTTCCTTTTAAAACAGTTTTCTACATAAACAAAATTTAAAAGAATTTATGCAGTGTTGCCATTTTGATTCATTTCGAGATACTCCCCTGATAAAAAATATATCTAATTTGCAGCCATCATTAAAACATATTAAAATACAAGAAATGTGCTGTTTTTCAAAAGTATGCCATGTTAGTTGGAATATAAATCTTACTTAAGCTAACCAACAATCTGAAATCCTGACGTTTATTAGGTATAATTGAATTAGGTGGTCATTGTAATTACATTGCTATAAATATGGTAAGTATTGTTCTACTATTATGATACCACTTCCTGACGTTCGATTGTGTTCATACCAGGTTCATATTGTATAATCGGGAAAAAACGGCGTTAGCGATAGCTATGAAATGAATATCACTGTCATTTTATATGTAAATTTATATGGGAAATGTCACGTTTTTTTTAGAAGCATATCAAGTGATACCATAATATAGTACTATATTACGATACATGGCGTTCGATTGGGCTTAAACTTGGTATACTATATCTTCAGTGACATTGTAATATCATGGTACCATGGAGCATATAAAGTGGTACCTTCTATAGTACTATATTTGATGACATAGCAATATTAGGTACATGGCGGCAATAGGGCTTAAACTTGGTATACTACGTATTTTCGGTGACATTGTAATATGATGGTACTATGATGCATATCATCTGGTACCATAATATAGTACCATATTATGTACATGGCGTTCGATTGGGCTTAAATTTGGGATACTACGTATCTTCGGTGATATTGTAATATTATGGTACCATGGAGCATAAAAGAGGTACCATATTACGATACCATTTCCTGGCGTTCGATTGGACTTAAACTTGTTATACTACGTATCTTCGGTTACATTGTAATATGATGGTACTATGATGCATATAAAGTGGTACCTTAATATAGTACCATATTTCAATACCATTTCGTGGCGTTCGATTGAGCTCATATTTGATATATACTTGCGTATTTTTGATGACATGCATTATGGTACCATGAAACATACCAACTGGTACCATAATATAGTACTATATTACGTACATGGCGTTCGATTGGGCTTAAACTTGAGATGCTACGTATTTTCGGTGACATTGTAATATGATGGTACTATGATGAGATGCTACTGTATTTTCGGTGACATTGTAATATGATGGTACTATGATATATAAAGTGGTACCTTAATATAGTACCATATTACGATACCATTTCCTGGCGTTCGATTGGGCTCAAACTTGGTATACTACGTATCTTCGGTTACATTGTAATATGATTGAACTATGATGTATATAAAGTGGTACCTTAATATAGTACCATATTACGATACCATTTCATGGCTGTTCGATTGTTCTTAAATTTGGTATACTACGGATCTTCGGTGACATTGCAATATTATGGTACCTTAAAGTATATATCGAGTGGTACCATAATATAGTACACTATTATGATATCATTTCCTAGAGTTCGATTGGGCCCAAATTTTGGTATACTTGCGTTTCTTTATAAAGATTTGTTTAATTAATAATAATTTTAATTTATTTTACGAATTTTAATTTATTGTTCGATGTCGTGACAGCAACTTTTATGCCGAACTAATATATTAATAATTGTACCTGTGTCACTTTTAAAATCTACCTAGGTCTATATAAATAACGTGGCAAACAGAAGAAATTTGTTATTATAGTATTTTTTTAGTCAGTTAACATTTTTTGTAAATTGCATTTTTAATAAATTATTTCCATTATTATTAAACTTATATTTCATTGCTAACGTTCCAGCATTTTATTATAGTATTTTTTAGTCAGTTAACATTTTTGTACTGCATTTTAATAAATTATTTCCATTATTATTAAACTTATATTTCATTACTAACGTTCCAGCATTAATAAATATCACTATCAATCGCCCTGTATATTATTAATTTTAAAGGTAATTAAAGGTATTTTCTTAGTTAACATTATAAGGTATAGTGTATATTAAAAATGTATATGTTTTGTAATAATATACTTAAAACTATTTTAATAGCCAAAGGAATAATTAATATAAGTGTATCTGACAAGAAAAGAAGAATAGAAAGAAACACGTACTGCATTATACACAATAAAAAGAATGGGATGCCAATTCAAGTCTTTTTGAATCTGGCAACTGTGCATATTTAGCCGAGCTATAAGGCTGTCGACGAGCCGTCGATCCAAAACCGAAAGTTCAAAATTTCTAATTATATTCTGATTATGATATTGTCGCGCCATCTAGTATTCTATTTTGTGCAAGTTTAGCTCTTTCATTTCCGAGTATTTTTCTGTTGCGTAGCTAGATATTCTGTGCCCAAAGTGTATGTACTAGGATGCATTTCAGGAAAATATTTTAACTTCTGTGCGAGAGTGGATCGGGATGATTTTTCAAATGGAACACAGCACAAATTTATAAGCTAGCTCAAATTTATTGCATTTTTGGTTTCCTTTTATATCATTTTGCATAATCCTGATAGGTAATAAATATATGAGTAAATGGGGTTTTGATCGTTTCAGTTTTAATGGAACACAGCACAAATTTATAGCTAGCTCAAATTTATTGCATTTTTGGTTTCCTTTTTATATCATTTTACATAATCCTGATAGGTAATAAATATATGAGTAAATAAGTTTTTTGATCGTTTCAGAGATATTAATAAATAAAAAATATAAATTTTTCAGCCTTTGTTAAAAAAAAATATCAAACATACAAGAAATGTGCTGAAATCAAAAGTATACTGGGTGTTTGCTTTAATATTAGTCTACTTAACCTAACCAACTGTCCTGAAATCAAACTATATTAGGTATTTACTTTAGATGGTCTGTACTTACTTTGCTATAAATATGGAAATCATAAATCATACAGGATGTTCAAAATTCTACGCCAAACTTTCTAAAATATACGAGGCATGTTTTTTAAGTAAGTACCGTTTTGGAATTAAAAAAAAACATGCAAAGATATCGCAATAATTTTATTTTTACATGAAAGCCTGTACCTTAATCTACTTTTCTACATAATTTCCGTGAATATTGAGGCACTTGTCATAATGTGGCACCAGTTTTCAATACCCTCCTCATAAAATTCTGCCGCCTGACTGGTTAACCACTGTATCACAACTGTTTTGACTTCGTTATCGTCTGAAGACGCTGACCCATGAGTGTTTCTTCAAGTGCAGGAATGAAATGGTAGTCACTGGGCGGCAGATCAGCTGTTATCGTCTTGAAGACGCTGACCGCCCAGGTGTTTCTTCAAGTGCAGGAATAAATGGTAGTCACTGGGCGGCAGATCAGAGCTGTATGGAGAGGATGATCTAGAGTTTCCCATTTAAAAGATTTGATGAGATCTTTGGTCCGATTAGCCACATGTGGACGGGCATTGTCATGCAGCAAAACAATATCCTTAGTCAACTTGCCACGTCTTTGTTTTGGATTGCATCGGCGCAGATTGTTCAATGTCTCACAATAAGATGCTGCATTGATTGTCTCATTACGAGGCAGAAACTTCACTAGCAATACCTTTTCTGTCCCCAAAAACTGTGCACATGATTTTCGGGCAGAAATTGTTTGCTTAAACTTCCCCTGTTTTGGGTGATGATGAATGTCGCCATTCCATGGACTGTTGTTTCGATTCTTGTGTGACGTAGGCCACCCATGTTTCGTCACCAGTAACAATTTTGTCTAAAAATCTTCACCTTCATTGTGGTACTGCTCAAAGGAAAGTCAATGCACTGCCACCCTAAACGTTGGGTTTTGTGCAAATCCGTCAACATTTTCGGAACCCAACGTGAACACAATTTCCGGTAATTCAAGTTCTCGGTCACAATGCGATACAAAAACACTACGAGAACATTGAGGAAAGTAGTCGCACAATGATGAAATTGTAAAGCGTCTGTTTTCTTTCACTTTCGTCCACTTTCGCACTTTCAAATCTTCATTAACGACCGAAGGACGCCCACTCCGTTCTTCATCATGCACATTTGTGCGGCCATCTTTAAATGCTCTCACCCATTTCCTTACCATTCCATCACTCATAATGTTTTGTCCGTAAACTTCACAGATCTCACGATGAATATCGATCGGTTATACGCCTTTAGCACTAAGAAATCGTATGACAGCCCGTACTTCATAATCGGCGGGGCTCACGATTGTCGGAGGCATCTTAAACACTCAATAAACAACGTATACAATGAAGAATCAGACTGTACTGGCGTCTGTGCATAGACAAGAAATGTAGGTAACCAGTGCGCATGCGCAGAACGCCGACCGTAGCGCTGCAGCGGCGGAATCGCAAAACGGTACTTACTTAAAAAACATGCCTCGTATTATTATTTAATGACGGAGAATATTAAAAAATGAAATTTTTTTGTATTTAGAGTATTTCAAAATTTTTAACGGTTAAAAAATAATATACATTAAAAAAAATATATTATTATATATTTATATACCGGGTGTTGCATCGTCGGACGGGACATAGGAAATCCCATGTAAATTTTAATGGGGGGTCAATTATTGGCTTCCCTAAATATTTTAGAGAATAATTCTATTTAGGTTTATTGAAGAGCACAAAAACCCACATTTCAAAAGAATAACTTTAGATATTTTTGATTAGCTCGTTTACGAGTTATCGCCGATTTCTTTTTAAATATTTCTCCTTTTTATGGCCACAAATCAGTTCTAACAGAAAAGCACGCCGTCCAAGCCTTTCCAAACTATTTGAGTTACTTCAGGGTACACTAACGAGATGGCGCTTCCTATGCGAATGGAAATATATTACGTTATAATGATTTTATCGACATTCGTCATTTTACCCGCTTCGTCAACTTACCCCACTTTCCCCTACAAATTAATATGAATTAAAGTAAAATAAAGTAATCAATTACTAGGTTAATTATAGTATTATTACAATATTCAATAACTTATTAATTTAGGTACTATTAAATGACAACTTCATTTGACAGTTATCTTTTACCTTGACACACTTTGACTGGTGCTAATAAGTAAATACAGGGCCATAAGAAAGGTGAAATATTTAAAAAGAAATCGGCAATAACTCGTAAACGGGCTAATCAAAAATATCTAAAGTTATTCTTTTGAATGTGGGTTTTAGTGCTCTTCAATAAACCTAAATAGAATTATTCTCTAAAATAATTAGGGAAGTCAATAGTTGACCCCATTAAAAGTTACTTGGGATTTCCTATGTCCCGCTCGACGATGCAACACCCGGTATACAAAGAAAAAATATTTTATATTTTAGAACGTTTGGCGTAGAATATTGGACATCCTGTAATGATCATGATCATTATCGCTCTAATAATAATAATAACTATAATCTACTAAAAGGAGTTATACATACAGGGTCAATAAAAAACTTGAGAATTTTGTTTAAGTGCAAACCTAAAGTATGTACCAGGATATATTTCAGGAAAATATTTTAACTTCTATAGGGTGGCTCAAAAAAGTGTGAGTGGACCAGGATGATATTTTTTTAAATGGAACACCCTGTATATTATTACATTTTTGGCTTTCTTTCAGATCACTTTACATAACCCTGTATATAAAAACTGATAACCAAGCAATGAATAATTATTCTTTTTTAATTTTAGATATTAGGATACATAACACTGAGTGTTTACGTTCTGGACGCCATCGAGAAATTTAACCTTGCCCGAACTCCTAGGTCAAGAATCGTCTGGACCGTTCCCAATATGCCAGAATTAACTTAAAGTAAAACATATGCACACTGTATTCTTGTTATTCTAATTATTAAGTCTATCTCGAAAGTAATTTATTGACACTATGTGATTCTGAGTTTTATCAGTTAAATAAACGTTTTTTATATGTAAAAAATACGCGTTTTATATTATGAGTGTGATAGTTATGACTGAGTGCAGTATATTGACAATGATAATATTCTTAATTATCCGGTATATACAGAGGTAACACCGTGCAAAGTCGACACTTTCTATTTTAATACGATCAATGTCAGTGTCACGGAAATGCAAAATTTTATTTTTTTATGTGAACCTTGGAACTTATAATAGTGAATATCACCGGCTGAACTGTACTAATGTAAGCGCAAAATTGTATAGTTAGGTTAGGTAAGTACTATATCATTGTTTATGTTTGATTTAAAGTCAAGTTTTGTATATCTGTATTGTTAACAATTTTCCAAATATGTTTTTAGATAAATTCGGGAGATAATGGCTGAAAATCAATCCAGATTTAAGTAAGATGCTTCCTTTTTTAATAAGATTTATGTAGATATAGTCCGGTCAATCTAGAAATTCGAAGGTACATAAATTTACAAGCTGAAATTGTTTAAAACATAATTAAAAATGACATTTTAAAATTCCGAATCATTCCGGTGCCTGGAAAAAACATTATTTGAGGTCAAACGTGAAAAATCTGGAAAAAAATTGTTTTTTTCGCTATTTTCAGCAGAACGGTAAGCTTTATCATAAAATCGCTTCAGACCGAAATTATAGACCATAAAATTCTCTATAAAAAATGTATCAATACTGTTGTTCCTTAGAGCCACTGTTTCTGAGATATAACGAGTTGTAACAAAGAGTTGTAATCGTCATAATATGCACACGTTTCCACGCCACCTATAAGGTTGTGAAAGTGTAGTTTTAGAATAAGGGTTTCCCCAATAGGCCTATTTCACATGTCTATTGTGATTCTGTTCAATTGAAAAGATATTAGTACGGATTGGAAATTATAAAAGCGATGGAAATAAAAAACTAAATAGATGTTTTTCTTTCATTTTCATTACATTAACACATAAAATGTAAAAATAATACCAAAACAATAATGCTGCAATAAAATGAGTTAAATTCAGAGAAGACAATTACTTAGATTACTAAAGGGAAAAATTTGCATCCCTTTTTCTTCACACTAAAGATATGTTCATATACAAACGAATTGCGAAATGCGAATATCGCAAAATAAGAGCGTCTTTTATTTACGTAGTTCATATAATAACGAAATTCGCAATGAATTCTAAGGATATTTGTGGTTTTAAACACATGTCGAAAATGTTTTGTCTCCAATTTGTCGTCGTCATTTTTATAAGTTTTTTTTGTATAATGGATGAAGCTAATTATTTTTGGCGTAGATGATAATTTATTGCTGTATATTTATTAATAAAGAACAACAAAAATAAAATACATATAACAATTGGAACATGTTATATATTTAAAAAGTGAAAACAAAATATATATATAACGCAATATAGTGTAATAAATATGAATTAATGATGAAAAAATTTAGAAACTACCATAGAATCAAAGATATTAGAGTAATTCATAGATGTCTATAACGGATTTCGATTCACGATGGTTTTGAAAATGTTCCAATAAAATTACCAGTTTGCAAAACATTGAACTTTGTACTACAAATTAAAAAAAAATAAATTAGACTGTAAAAAAATTAAGTACCTAATAATGATTATACAGGGTGCTACAAATACGAGGTACGAGCATTGGTATCTCGGTAACCGTAATAGATACAAACATGGTTAAATTGGGGGCAAAGTTGCGTATTGGGATATTCACCAAGATGCCATCAAAAAAGTTTTAAACATTTCAAGGATTGCTGAGTTTTTTGGAAAAAACTGATTTTTTTGAAAATTTATTTTATTTTGTCCTGTCGTTAGTTTTTAAAAAATCAAAAAACTAATTACACATTCTCATAGCCACTTTATTAGGGATATCTGATAGTATTTTTAGATTTTTAAATTAGCTGATAATTTGTGAGATACAGAGGCCAACTTAATTTGTTTAAATACGGACCTGCATTTTTTATTTTAAGTTTTGAAAGAACTCGGTCTCCTGAATACAATGATATGCTACACTTTATACTTTTTTTGTTTTGGGTACCTTAACAGCAACAAAACTATTTAATTACCTATTACATTGTATTTAAGATAATTTCAAGTCCGACTCTGGTTTCTAAAATTATTTAGTCTGATTATATTCATTGCAACAATATTGATCAGCGCTAATTAACATTGAATAAGGAATATCGAGCCAATTGGAAGATTGAAATAAATAATATCAAGGTCAGAAATATAAAGATATTATTTTTAACTTTTTTTATTGTGAATTTGAAATCTCAGTGTGCGATCTAATAATATGCATAATATTAAACGTAGTTATTATAAATTAATCAACTTCTACAAACTAGTTTCTAATGTTCTACGTGCTCGAAAGGGTTATCACCCTCCCTATTGCACAAACTTATTTTTCGTTCAATTTTATTTATAGCTCTTTGAACTTTCTTCTTATAGTTCCGAATGCATTTTGTACCTACTCTTTATCGTAAATGTTGAGATGAATTGATCTCACTTTTACAAATGACGTCAAGTAATGTGACCCCTTGGCGATAGACCCAGGAACCTCGCTGGTCATTAGAGTGCTCCACCATTTCCAATCCATCTTCCGGGAAAATGATGTGATTTTTTATATTATATTATATTTATATTAATTATTTTATATTACTTTATTGCATTTGATTTTCCGTATACAATGTTTTAGTCCACATTGTTAAGTTTGACAGCTTATCAATACTGTAACGATGAATAGATTAAATATTAAAAAAAAACAGAGCCGGACTTGAAATTAGTATAAATAAATTGTGTTCAAATATCAAAAAACAAATAAAATATTAATTATTATAGAATTATTTAATACTTTACTATCAGAATATAAACGAAAATAAAATAAAAAACTCTTTGACCTGACCCGGATTCGAACTCTGAATCATCGGTTCGTGGTCGGAAACTCTACGCACTGCTCTATGGAGACATGTTCGCTTTATATTCAATACTAGAATTTATAGGACTAAATTAATAAAACATATAGGATCATCTTTCGATGCGCAATAGTGAACGCAACGGGTATCGGCAGCCAGACGGGTCGCATGCTGTTCCAGAGAGCATAGTAAAAGATATATCAAAGAGCCAGACGTCTTAAAATACTGTCTCGAAAACGTTGCTAGCTCTTAGACTATAGGGTTCAGCTCGCTTTACTAAAATTTCTTCTTTGATAAATATTTATTAAAAACTTTCGACTTAACAACTTATTCGCTATAATTAAAGACTTGATTTGACTATATCAAATATTTTCTTTTAAGTTTATTACCAAAAGTTCTCAATGGAGGTATAGCTGGCATGATTGGAGTATCATGTACCTTTCCCTTGGATTTGGTTAAAACAAGGCTTCAAAAACAGAGTCCTGGACCGGATGGAAAGAAGATGTATAATAGTATGTAAGAAAATGTTATATTCATATAGTTAGTATTCATAGTCAAAAACATATAATAACTTTGGTTGCACATCATAATACCACCACCAGTTTTTTCCACTAGATCTCTAAATACATAATATGATGATAGTACATTAATATTAATAATAATATTAGCATACTTAGAAAATGAGCACACATTAATCTATACAAAAATTGACCATTAATTTCATATTCATCATGTGTATTTTTGTATTTGACTTAATAGAATGAATATCATGATGACATCTAATGGGACCGCAAAGATCTATTATATCTTAGTTATACAATTTATTCCCCAAAACCAACCTCTTGTTATTAGTGGTTATACATATACGAGGGCGATATGTTTGGAAGATCCGTTAAGGCAAACTTGTTTTGTTCAAGGTATTGCCTTTTACCGTCAAGTTTGCGACCTATTTTGCCTAAACATTTCCTTAATGATATGTAAGAAGTCAAATTCTAAGCTCCACCAGCTCCATGAGATTATTATCTACCTGTTCAGCTATTAGCCAGATTCGAATTGATTAGTATACAGCTTTTTCAGTACGCCAAATTCCCACTGAATCCCAGCTGAATAGCGCTGGAAACGCTGAACAATTTAGCCTGACTTGCAAAAACCACATGTCATGCACCGCACTGCTCCCACCAAGAGTGTGCCTGCACTTATTTTAGGGAAATAAAGACGTAATTGACCAAATAATAATAACATTGTCATACTAAGTTGGAACTAAGTACTGAATAGTTATGTTTAATTTTTTAGATTCGATGCATTTAGGAAAATTTACCGTGCAGAAGGTCTCAGAGGAATGTACCGCGGATCAGCTATACTCATTTGTTTGGTTACTCCAGAGAAGGCTATTAAACTGTCCGCAAATGACTTCTTTAGATATCACTTAAAAGACAAAAATAAGTATATATTTTTTGTCACATTTGGCGATATAAATGTTTTATTTGCATAAATATTTCAGCAAAATTTCGCCAAGTCGTCAAGCTTTAGCGGGAGCTCTTACTGGAGTCGTACAACTTATTGTAACCACACCTATGGAATTACTCAAGATTCAGTTACAAGACGCAGGGCGAGTGGCAGCAATGGACGCCAAGATTGGTAAATATCTAACAATCTAGCCACAAATATTTATAAATCCCGTATATTTAAAAGATATCTATACTAATATATAAAATCCTTAAGTGACTCACTGATTAATCATGATCCTGCGTAAACGTAAGAAGCTCAATTTTGGTATACAGGTTGATTCTAGGGTGTAGAGATTCGATAAGAAGGGATTTTTCGAAATTCCAGTTCCAAGGGGGTGAAACCACCCCTCAAATATTACAATATTTTTTATTTAAAAAACGGTCAAATTTTCAAAAAAACGCTTAAACACGTATATTTCATTTTGTTTTTTTTTTACATATTTTAAGATTTTTTTAAAATGTATACAGGGTGTTTCGAAAAATCTGGTCATTGATTAATCACGATCCTGCTTTAATGCGCTTGACGTAAAAAGCTGATTTTTGGAAAACGGATTGACTTTAGGGTGTAGAGGATAGATTACGATAAGAAGGGATTTTTTGAAACTCGAATTCTAAGGGGGTGAAACCACCCCTCAAATATTAGAATATTTTTTATTTAAAAACCGGTTTGGAAAAACTCGGAAACACGTATATTTTATTTTGTTGTTTTACATATTTTAAGATTTTTTAATATGGGGTGTTTCATAAAATATGACCATTGAGTAATCACGATTCTGCTTAAACTGCTTGACATTTGAAGCTGATTTTTGGCAAACGGATTGACTAAGGAGGGGTTTCTCGAATCTCAAATTCCGAGAGGGTGAAAACGCCCCTCAAATATTACAATATTTGTTATTTAAAAAACGGTTAGTTTTTCGGGAAAACGCTTGGACACGCATAATTTATTTACTTTTTTTACATATTTTGAAATTTTTTAAAAAATCATACATGGTGTTCCAAAAAGTTTTGTAATTGATTAACCCCGATTCTGCTTATACTGCTTGACGTAAAAGCTTATTTTTGGCAAACGGATTTTTCGAAAGTCAAATTCTAACGAGATGAAACTACCCCTCAAATGTTACCAAGTTATCTAATAATATCGCCATATTGTTTTTTCTCATGCTGACATAAATATGAGGAAATTTTATCCAGTTTGTATGTTAATGGAAATTCTTGCTTTGCTTTATCATCACCAATACAAATGATTAATTCGACGCGAACGAAGTCGCGGGTACACGGTAGTTTTTTTTATAAACATACTCGAAGTAAGATTTTTTGGCAAATCATTACTATACAGGGTGATTCACGGCCATGGCACGTTAGACGTTTATGGAGAACCGGTAATAGGATTTTTTGGAAAATTTGGATTTTTGCATAAAGGTACCTGCTCCATCTGTCTAAATTACTTTCAGCTTTACAGTTTTGCCGCTTCATACTAAAAGCGGTAGCATCTTTGTTATTTTAAATGGAACACCCGGTATATTATTATATTTTTCTAAACTACGTCCATATCTCAAAATTTTTCTAATATATACTAACCTATACAAGGATATCTCTAAGATATTTACTATATCCTTGGTGGATATCCTCAAAATATAATATATAGGATTGTGTTGTGTTATATGGGATATCCCTCATAATTATTTTCTTTTATCTTGTACTTATTAATGATTTTCACTATTTATTTTAGATCCTGTAACGGGTAAATCAATACTACCCAAAATTTCAGCCAGAGCCGTAGCCAAAGATCTTGTTCAGGACAGGGGGTTTCTTGGATTATACAAAGGACTATTTGCAACAATGGCAAGAGATGTCCCCTTTTGCGTAGTTTACTTTCCTCTTTTTGCATATTTGGATAAGTTTGGACCAAGAAAATTAGACGGATCAGGTAGGTATACAGGGTGGCGCCCCTCATACGACGCGGAGGCTCCAAGGAGCACGGTAGTTTATATCGAAATGAAGTTTGAGAGCATATGTAGGTTAATTGAAAGCATTTTACAAAAATATATGGAGTTATACAGGGCGTCCCCAAAAAAGTTACACATCAAAGTTGTGTTTTTTGTAATGGAACACCCAATATATTAAATGATTTTCGGATTATAGGAAAAAAAATACACGTGTGTTTTATTAAAGAAGCATATGCCGAAATTGTAAGGATTTTGACATATTTCAGATTTTGCGAAAATGAAGAGAAAATTTTAAATTTCAATAATAGCTGCTTATATTTTAATTTACCCTCTATAGTCTGATATTTAATTGCAATAAGTATTGTATGTTAAACCAAATTAAATTTGGCCAGAAAAGTTATACAACGGTGAGACCAAATTAATATGAAATATTCGTCACCTTTAAAAGGAAGTTACTCCTTTATTTTAAATGGAACACCCAGTATATTATTCCGTTGTTCATATATCTTCAAAATAATATCAAGGTTGCTTACCGCTCAGATAAAAATGTTTCTAGATATTTTAATCGGTGTACTTAAACAGCCGTTAAACGGTAGCCTACTAAAATGCCGTTAATAGATATTGTGACGTCGTTCATGTCGGCGGAAAGTAATGCCTGGCTATAAGCATTTTGCAAGAGCACCTGTGGCTCCATAGCTTGATCATGATCCACAAACATGATCACAAAAAACTCAAAGCACAATTTTTTGAATTATTACTACAACCAATAGCAGCCGCAGTTTGGCACTTATTTTTTGTCAATCCGTTTCTGTGCTGGGACGCAACGCTCGAACCTCGCAGGTCGACGGACGGAACTCAACTGAAACGCTCTGCAATCTGCCGATATTCGACAGATGGTAAATACTGGCAGAAAATATTTGGGAGAGTGCAACTACTGTTTTCCTTCTACTATGATTTCACTCAAATACGTTTAAATTACCTATACCGCGGCCTCCCCATAAGAGCAATGAGAGAATTTATGTCCCAGTATTGAAGGAGGACAGAAAATCGAGTCGAATGGTTTCAAGACATAGGTTCATCCTTGTTTAGTCAAACCTCCTACCGCACAAGGATAGACTTATGTAGGAAATGCATTGAAATTCTATAGCCATCCTTTAACATCGGGACAGGAATTTAAGCGGTACCCTCCGTATAGGTAATTTAAACGTATTTGATTTCACTCCACTAAACTTGCAACAACGCTGGTGTAAACATTTCTTGTATTTTCTTTCAGGTGACGCTGTATTTTATTGGTCGTTCATTTGTGGCCTCATGTCGGGATCGTTTAGCGCTTTAGTAGTTACTCCTTTTGACGTCATGAAAACTAGGATACAGACGGTTACAAAATCAGCCGCAGGAGATAAAAGTTATACAAGCATCAAATCTGCATTTTTGTAAGTCGTACATATATTATATTTTTAATACTGATGGTACACAGATATAATGAATAAGAGGGGGAGATAATCTGAATAAGCAGGGATCCCCCCTCTTGAGATATGATTAAAAAACGATTTGAGCATTGTCTAACTGGCCAAGACAAGACACTAAAAACATTAGATGATCAAATCTATTTTTCCAAGGCTCCTTGATTAAGAATTAGTGTTTTTAACATAGCCGTGGCACTCTAGATTGAATTTTAAAATACTATTTTTTATTAAACGAGAATGTCAAAAGTTGACATATGATATGTCATATTCTACTCAGAATGTCATTTTCTATCGAATAAAGTAAAAAAATTCCGAGGGTGCCATTTAAAAATCAAAAGTTGTAGCCATTTCCGGTGAAACAGGAAGTGACCACAAACAATTGAATATGTCAATTAATCCTTATTTATGTCATATACTAACATACCAAATCTTTATCTGGAAGAATAAAAAAAGTTACAGGGGTGAGCCACTTTTGAGACACACCCGGTATATCGTTTATCCCTTGTTTTTCAAATACAGGGTGATTAAATTCATAAATTGTTTTTGGACGTTTTTAGATGCAAAAAAAACACAACGGAGGAATTTTTGGATTTTTGGTCTAGTTTAAAATGTTATATTTTTTATTTTTAGCCCTATTTCCTTGAATTTTTTACCAACTTTTACCAAACTGCATATTAATATATCAACTTTAATTCCTAAACTTAGTTTATTATAAATTTAAATATTTGACTTATTATACAGGGTTAATCGAAGACTTGTTTTTTTACGAATATTCACAACTTCGACCATCTTCAACAAGATGAATGACTTTTGCACAATCTTCAACACTAAGAGCCATATTCAATTGTACATAAAAATAATCACCAAAAACCACCTCGTCATTATGAAGAATAACATCAAAAAGTAACGATAATTGAAAATGTTGCAAAATGTTTGTGGCAAGTTCATTTTTCTCTTAAAAACTAACCAAAGCATGTGTTGACATGAGTCGAAAAACAAAATATTCAGGAGACTTTCAGCAATCTTTCAGAGATATTCTGACCGAAAAATAATGTTTTAGGAAAATTTTCCAACGAAATTATTGCACAGGGTGTTTTAAAGTTAGCGTAAAATACAACCTCAATTAACCTTATAGAATAAGCCAAATACTAGAGTTTATAAAAAAGCTGAGTTTACGAATTAAAGTTGATAGATTTATACAGGTTGTTAATTTGTTTATTACTTGCGGCAAGAGCTTTATGGTTGAAATATGGCAACCTCGGCCCGCTCGTCGATAGACGACGCCGACGCGACGGCGCGGCGACGGGACGAGTCGGCAGAAAACCCTATAAGTGCATGCGTTCTCAATAGGCAATGTTGCCATTCTGTTCCCCTATAAGTAACTGTCCAGTTAACAACCTGCATACAGTTTGCTATAAAATTTATGAAAATGGGACTAAAAATAAAAAAAATTAACACTAAATTTGACGGAAAATATCTTGCGTTTTTTTTGCATCTAAGTGTATATTTTTATTATTAAATATTTATTTTATGAATTTTTGATTAATACCTTGATATTTTTAGTAATTACCTTGCCACAAAGTTATTGATATTTAGAAAAATTCGTGGGTATTAGGAAGGCTCAAAAGAAACAATTATATTTTGTGCGACGTTTCTCGACTTTATTGCTGCTTCTCCAGACACTAAACATTTAATTAAAAAATAAAAAAAAACAGTTAGTTTTATATTTAGTGCCTGTAAAAGCGACAATAAAGTCGCACAAAGATGTATAATAGTCCAGTAAATGAAGAAAATGTCTATACCTATGTGGCGGATTTATCTCTCCAAAAAATCCTTATATGGGTATTTCGCCACTGCAAGAAAATCTACAAAATAATACAGTTATTTTTTGTAAACACTTCTGCGTTAAACCCAAACGGAAACTACTTGTCAGAAGTTGGTTTACAGTTATACAAATTTGCCTAACAAAGAAAAAAAAATGCTTAACGTTTCGGAAAGTTTACCTCTTTCCGTCGTCGGAAGCAAAAAAAATACAAAGAATAAAGAAAAAAACTATTTAAAATATTTAAATTCAACTATTCGAGAACACTTTACTTTTTTAAAACATATACGTCTGCAAGAACCTTTCACGTTCTGTTGAAATGACATTATATCAAGTTAAGGGGTGCAAGGGGTATTGAAGCGATACATATAGCCTAGCTTACCCAAAAGTCAACCTCACCTTCACGTGGTGCACCCTGTTTACACAAACGAGGCTCTGACGTCCGAGTATAGGCGGTATAACCTTATACAACCCTCAGACCTACCATCTTCTGGGGAAAAGGAGTAATAAAATACACCAAATCAAAGAAGCGATTGCCATACATTACTAACATCTACAGATGCATGAGCAATACATTTATTTTTATTAGATTGTATTAAAAAAACCTCTTTTATTTTCCTTTTAGAGGCTATCGCTTCTTTCATTATAATTTTGGCGTCATTAAAATTTATTCTGTACCCTGCGTCCCATGAATGCTGACAAATCTTAGATTTGTCAAAACCTCCCTTTCATAAATAATCTTTATGTTTTTTAATTCTAATATTTAAGCGGATCGATCACGGTGGTACAATTTCAAAAAGTACACAATCCGCCTAAAAAGTTAAGATTGACGTATTTCGCCGAGACTTTTCGTGTCCTTATTTACTGGACTATAATAATTGTTTATTTTGAGCCTTTTCCCCAATACCCACGAATTTTTCTATTAATTACTGGAAACGATACCATTATATTATTGGTATTATTTAAGTATTCTTATTATGTTGTTGATATTATTTAAGTATTCTTATTTGTCTAGAGATATCCTGCAAACAGAGGGACCAACGGCATTCTTTAAAGGAGGCATATGTAGAATGACCGTTATAGCACCACTTTATGCCATTGTCCAAGGGGTATACTACTTGGGTGTTGCAGAAAAATTACTCGGCATCGAAAAGGATGTAAAACACATAAAAAAATAAAGATATTAAATTATTTTGTAGTTTTTTTTTCGAAAATGTTAAGTGTGCTCAAAATATTTATGTTTAACATTTAAATTATGGTGTGTTTTTTTTCTTTTCATGTTTTTGCTTATGGCGACGGAACAAGATTTAATAAATCATCATCATCATCATCATCATTTCCAGCTTATTCAACCATTTCGAATTATGGTGTAGTCTCCCTCACATAATTAGATACTCTCTTTGTAGTTGGGCCCATTGTTGTCTATTGTTGGCTATGTGGGCCCAAGATATCCCTGCCTGTTTACTAATATCATGGTCCCATCTCAGGTTCTGTCTTCTTCTATGCCTCTTAATTTCTCGTGGGTGCCAATGTAACGTTTGTGGTCCATCTATTGTCCGTCCTTCTTGCCAGGTGTCCTGTCCATTGGCACTTGAGGGATTTGACATTTATTACACTCTATTCTTTTACGGTCTCTCTTGGTTATTCCCAGCATATTTTGTTCCATTGAGCGTTGTGCGACTTGCAGTTTCGTTGTGATGTCCGTTTTAAGTGTCCAGGTTTCGCATGCATAGGTGATGACAGGTAGTACACATTGGTCGAATGTTCTCTTCTTTAGAGAAAGTGGTATTCTAGATTTGAATATGATTGAGTGTCTTCCATAAGTACTCCATGCCAACTTAATTCTTCTGTTGATTTCTGGTAGTATAGATCCTGATCTATTTTTAATCCTTTGTTGGTCCAATCCAGTTGCTCTAAACAGCTTTGGGGATATCGCGTCTTCCTGTCGCACTCCTTTGCCAGTTGGGAACTCTGGGGTTGTTTTGTATATCATTACTCTTGCTTTGGCTTCTTTGTATACCGGGTGGAAACATAAGAAATCCCATGCAAATTTTGAACTGTTCAAATATTGGCTCCCCTATTGATTTTACAGCAAAGTCGTAAATACATTTTTTAAAGGTTTATGATTTTGAGTAATTTAAAAAAGATCGCATCTATTTTTAAATTAAAATCCAACAGGTAAAAAACACCAGTCAAAATCTGACATACCTTAGGTTTGCAAACTATGATTTTGTTATTGTCAAAAGTAATTTAATATTCGGGAGAAACAAACCGAAACACGACGCAGACTAAGCTATTTCCTGCGTAGTATCATTTTATCATGCTCACTTTTTCTTTATGTGTATAACAATAAATTATTACTAGTACTGAATATTAAAAATTTTATTAAAATTAAGATACGTTTGAAAATGATGTTGAGAACTTAAGGTATGTCGGTTTTTGACTGGTATTTGATTGTTACCGATTCAGTTGTAATTTAAAAATCGTTTCAATTTTTTTTAAATTACTCAAAATCGGCTTGTGGTTCAAATTCGGCACGTGTGTTTATCAAACGTAGACCTTAAAGGCGGCCGCACATTTCCTACTATCGTTGGTAAAGATGTAGTTGGTAGGCCCTGAAACACTGGTATGACAGCTGGGCATCAGCGTCACAAAAAGGCAGTTGCATGTTGATAGAATTGGCGGGACCTCGTCCTATTACAAGAAGAAAAAGAAGGTATTTGTATTCAATTGACAATGTTTCTTAGTGGGAATAATCCTATTAGATCGGATAGATTGCAATAAATAAAAAAAAACATGTAAAATAAAGTAATATTATTACTCAAGAAGTTTATTTTATTAAAAACTAAATTTTACTTAATAATGTTTTACTTTTATTAAAAAATTAAACTTATAAATATAACAATGTTCGAGATATATTATAAATACAAGGTTTACTGAAATTAACGTACGACAAAGCAGAACTTCGTATGTTTAAATATGAGGTTACGCAAGTGGCACACACGGATGCTATTATTATAATACAGCATATTACAATTTCAAGCTTTCTGTTAAAAACACATTCAAAAAACTTGTCGCATTTTCCGGCATAAGCTTTGAATTCTTCCTTAAATTTCGTCTCGTAATATTTTGACAGATCTGCCGAGTACTCTTCGGAAAATTCACTCGATGGCCCGGCCCTGGGCATTAGGATATTTGTAATTGATTCTTCTTGCAGTTGCTCAATGTGCTTTTTTTGCAAGGACTGTAGTTTCATGTAAAAAAGGGGTGGTAATATAAACACTAGAGGTGCAGTGAGGCTACCTCCTATGAGAGACATAACTAGATCAAATCTAGGAACAGATTCGGCCAATACTATCGCCAATATAGTGAGAATAGTTCGTAAAATGCATCTTTTGCAGTTAAAATCTAAAACAATATAAAAATGCGTTAAAACATATTATATTAATAAATTTAATAATAAAAGAAGAATTTAAAATTATTATAAAAAAGAGTACACATTATTTTTAAGCTCCTTATATACGTAAACATTATTTAATTATGTTTAATTATAAGAAAATAATATATTAAAATTCCTTAATATCTCGTAAAACTATTGTGTTTAACTTTTTTCATAATTGGCGAGAATAAACTTTACCCTGTTGTTGTTGACCCACCCTGTAGATAAATAAATTACTTTCCTATATTAACTAATGGCCAACATGACCAAAATTATTGCATATATCGTTTAAAAATATACGGATAGGAATTTAAAGATTTTTACATAACTTTAATAATCTGTAATAAACATTTTTTTTGTTAAAATGGATATGGTAAACAATGTTTATCGTGCAGACCCAATATTATTACAAATTCTTGCACATTTCGATTTGTGGTCTCTTGGGTTTCAGTTTCAGAAGAAATTTGACCATTGATTTGGCCTTAAAATACCTAGGAACATTATTTCACAGTTTAATAGATTCAGAATAATAGCACTGTCTCAATTGGGCTACCAGGACGATAATGCTCCTGGAAGTGGTAGAAAGAGAGTTACTACTGCTGTGCAAGACCGTCAAATATCCCTAATTGCACGACGCAATCCCTTGCTGTCTAGTACTGCTAATAAAAATGAGTTAGCTCGCCTTGAAGAAGTAAATGTTTCAAGAAAGACCAGAGCAAGAAGACTCCATGATAGAAGATTACATTTAAGGAGGCCTCTACGTGTTCGGAAGCTGAATTTACAGCACAAAATTACGGGACTATACAATGGGCTGAGGATATGAGAGCAAATGGACCTAATTGGAATTTCGTCATGTTTAGTGATGAAACAAGAATAATAACTATGGTCTGAAAGCATCTGGAAGACGAGCACGCTTGAATGCAGCTCAACCCCGTGTCCCGTTTCAAGGGGGAAGCATTATGGTATGGGCAGGTATAAGGCACGGAGCTCGAACTTCTTTTGTTTTTATTAATGGCACAATGACAGGTGCCTCATATCTTAGAGACGTTTTAGAGCCTATTGTGCGTCCATTTCGAGAGGCAGTGAGGGATGAATTTGTTTACATGGACGATAATGCTCCTCCCTATTGCACTTTAGCGGTTCGCGAATTTTGTGAGGAACAGGGTATAAGAAAACTGTGGTGGCCACCGATATCTCCAGATATGAATGTGATCGAGCATACTTGGGACATGCCAAAACGCCATATTGCCAAAGGGAATGATCCCCCCCGGACCTTAAATGAATTGAAAATTTCTGCGCGCGAAACATGGGAAGCCATTCCTCAACATCTTCTGGACAACTTAATTGAGAGCATGCCACGTCGTCTCACAGCTTACATTGAGGCTCGAAGAGGCAATACAGACTATTAGTTGTGAGAAATAATTAAAATTGTTTTCAATATTTTCTGTTTAAAATGAAATTTCTTTTTGTTGATTTCTACTCATTATGAAATAAAATTATAATAACAGCCTAGTTGCACTTAGATTTTTAATTTTATATTAGTTAGTCGTGTAGTAAGCCAATATGTCCAAAAATATAAAAAGAATCATATTAGGTCTAAAATAAAATAAAAATATCATTATATGGCAATAATTTTGGCCGTGTGTGTATAGTTGTATATTAGTATAAGCTAAAAATGCATTATTTCAATACCTCTAGATATATTTAAACAATTCTCCATATGCTGATAGAGAGCATTATTGCTAACTACTGAAGTTAGACACAACTGCAATGCTACTAAAACAGCTGCAAAATGTAGTGGAATTGAAGTTGGCAATGTTTCCAGTAAGCTTGGACGAATAAAAGTTCCATATTTGTATGCACTTATAATAGTTATAACGGCAAACATTAACAGAGAAACTAAAAAATAAGTTTTAATTTAACAAATTTTCTTAATAGTCTTAAAGAATTATACCAAAAAATCCACAAAGTACTGCCAAAGGTAATTTAGATTTTTTCTTCATATCCATTTGTATTGTTAACACTACTGGATGGACATCAAATTGAAACGCAATTATTCCATAAGCAGTCATAATATATTTCCAAATTTCAACGGTAGAATTGTCTGTGACAGTTGAACTTTCTGGTGTAGTTCCAAACAGTATACACCAGCATATTAAGAGAAATACTAAAATTACTAAAACTACTGAGATGCTGCACAAGATCCTACAAGTAATATATTTTTAATACCTACTGCTTTTTATTAAAAAATAAATGATTACTTCATATCTTTTGGACTTCCCAACCATAACATAGGACATAGTAATACTCCTAAAATTATTATCCAATAGCAGAAGGATATGTCTGTATTTTGATTGCTTATTCTCAAACCCAAAAGTTCCAAGTTCTGTGATGCTGTAAGTATTAAATATAAATATTTATGAATTATTTTAGTTTGTTAATCATACCAACAATTAGGTTTGGAATTCCACCACTAAAAACAGTCAAGTCAACCAAAAAGTTAACAAAACGAGATAGATACTTTCCATAAGTAATTTCTGCTAAAGCAGAATAAGGATATCGGCTTTTCAATTTTATGTTTGGATTGATTTCTTGAGCTATATTCCAGGAACGGCCTAACAGGGAGGCTGTGTAAATTTGAACAGTACAAATAAGTAGAATTGTTGCAATTCCATAATATCCTTAAATATTTTCGATTATATATAAATTTAGATATAATGCAAGATAGACTTTACTTACCGCAGTCAATAATTGCCTTAGGTAAAGCGACTATGGGAAAGACTCCAAATATATCAACAATACATATTATAGCGAAAAATACAGACAATTTATTTGATGAATTATTATTGCTTTGTAATAAAAGTGTTCTTTCACTAAATTCCATTGTGTAGAATAAATATAAAACAAAATATAATATGTAAATGACGCATAGTATTTGAATCTGTTGAATGGTTTCTTGGTATTTTGTTTCAGATATTGAGTAACAGATCAAGTTTAACATTACAAAGGGTATGTTAAAAGTAGTTTAAAGGCTCGTTTGTTACAAAATATATTTTTTTCCATAGCAACTGTTAAAATTGCCTTAAATCTATCTAAAATAGTAGATAAAATAGTACTTTAACCGCAAGGGTAGATTAAATGATACTTTAACCGCGAGGATAGGTTAAAAACTTTATTTCTCCTCGCACGTTTTTTAATTGCTCCCATTTTTGAAAAATGTTTATTCCTTTTCATAAGTTATTCGGGATTTAAATGGAAGTAGTTTGGATATGGCGTTTGTCGCCTCAGCCTAAATATCTGTTGGTGATTTACTTATTTCGTTTTGAGCCATTTCTGGCTCCAATTCAATCAACAATCGACAAAAAGAGAATTAAAAAATATTGACTCAAAACTGACAACTAAAGAGACAGCTTTATTTATTTGTCAAATTACATAGAAACCAACGCCAACCCAGCACAATATTTTTTCTACTCGTAATAAATTCCTTGAAATAATAATTTCTGTATATTTTTTAAAACGTAAATAGCTATGCAAAAAATATAATTTTATGCACGACGATAAAATTGCATTATCGTCTCCCGAAATCACTCGCGATTTCATCGCTCGTGAATAAATACCATTTTATCGTCTTGATTGAAACCTTTCTGTTACCGTTGATTGAAAGAATTGGGAAGATACGGAACTTAATGGAAAAATTCGTGAACAAGGCTGATTTTATTTCCCCTTACGTCTGAATTGCTGTACGGTGGAGCCTCTACTCGTTCTGAGGCCAAAACATAAAATACTCGTTTTCTCTAATTCGGCTAGCGAAGGCATATCCAAGACGGTGTGGAACTGAAAGTGACAATGTTGCCATATGAATGTGTAATTATCTGTAATATGTTTGACGAAACTATTTTTGGATGTAAAATCCGCGTTTATGTATTGAAAATTTATTCGTGTTAAACACAAAATAAACAATAAAAAATAAAATTGCTTTTATATGCACTGAATAACTGTATAATTGAAAAAACTCGTTCAGTTGGCTTGGAAATGACGACTATTGACATTTGCCATAATATTTTACGTATGAAATAACAGCGATCTTCATTTCCAAGCCAACTCTGACGCCTTTCTTAGTTTAATCATATAATATTATATTTAATTATTGTTTAATGATAGAAAATCCGTAAATCTATAGATTAATCCGTAGTTCTAGCAACACTGCCTCCGGCAACCACCCACTCTGTCGACTGAAAGCAGAACTGCGGTACATTATTTCGTTATTATTTACCCGCTGCGCTGTAAACGGCTATCAACGCGCAGCAGCGCAGAGCTATACTAAATCTCGGACAGGTATGTCGCGGCCGCGCAGTGGTTATTTTTACAACAGACATAATAATTTTAGAATAACTGTTAGTGGAAAATAAAACACAAACATATCTTAATTAAATTTATTTAGTAAAACCTAAAACTCATAAAAATAAAATAAATATTATAGATTATTATTAATAATATCTTAAATTAAAAATACCTCTAGCATTTGTAACAAACACAATAAAAAAGTACAACAATTCAGTCACGAAAGCTATAAAATATATCACTGACCATCATGATCATTCTCATCTTTTCAGTCCTGATTAGATTCTTTTAGTTCGATCATTATTACATGTATACTTCAAAAATCACTTTTTTACAAATCAAACAAGAAGAATCCACCGCCGATGGTAGCAACGGCTGGTTTCTTGGGTGCTAGAACTTTGTTAATAGTGTGCAAAACGCCGTTGGTTGCTAGATTGTCGCAGCTGGTCACCACAGCCCTGTTTACTCTGACTTGACTTCCGGTTCTGCCAACTTCAACACGCTGACTGCCTAAGGTTGGAACGAAGCTGTTGAAGCCCCATGTATGTGGACCAACTCCAGAACAGCATAACACCTCTGTAAAAGCAATACAAATCTTAAAATATAGAAGAAACTCAATAAAATAAGATATCATCACAATAAAACACTAATTCACCACAATACACCAAAACACTTTACTTTTGCACTAGACGCGCGTTTTGCTATAACTATGTTAGTATCATCAGCAGATGATTAAAACACAATAAAGTGATAAAGTTTTAATCATCTGCTGATGGCTGCTGAAAAAAAAAGTGTTTCGGTATGTTGTGTTGAATTAGTGTTTTATCTTGCTGTTGTAAAACCAAGGTTCCAACCCCCAACTGTAATAAAGTATCAAACTTTTGCTTCTTTTGATTTTTTTTCTACTGGTCTTTTCCCTTGCACTTTGCCCTCTATTATGAGACGCAGTATTTCGTAACTACCACCTCTCATCACATGACCCAGGTATTGCATTTTTCTTTCATTGATAATGTTCAATATCTCTTTTTGTTTCTGCATGCGCTGGAGTACTTCATCGTTGGTGATCCTTTATACCCATGAGATTCGCAGCATCCGTCTGTACACATACATTTCAAAGGCTTCTATTCTCTTTTCGGTCTGTGAATCCAGTGTCCAGCTCTCACATCCATAGAGTAACACAGAGAAGACGTAGCATCTGGCCATTCGAGCTCTGAGTTCCGCACTGAGGTCTCGTATTGTAAAAAATGATTTTATACTCACGAAGATTTTTCTCGCTTGCTCAATTCTTGAAAATATTTCTCTTTTCGGGTCGCACTGACTATTGATGTTAGCTCCTAAATACTTTATTTAGGTCACTTGTTCGATTGTTTGTCCCTTGACACGCAGGTGTGCATTTATTGGAGTCTTAGAAAAGACCAATAGTTTGTTCTTGGAGATAGTGAGATGCAGTCCAAACATCTCACTATAGTGGACTACGGAATCTATAATGCTTTGCAGTTCTTGTGTATCGTTGGCTATTATAACCGTATCATCGGCATATCTGATATTGTTTATTGGGATTCCATTAAACTTGATTCCGACCTGGATTCGATCCAGTGCTTCTCTAAATATAGTCTCCGAGTACAGATTAAACAGGAGCGGAAACAAGACGCAACCCTGCCGAACACCCCGTCTGATTTGTATATCTTCCGATGTTCACTGCTTCGTCTCAACTACCGCCGTATGATGCCAATAAAGTTCTGATATGAAACGTAGGTCTTGTTCGTCAACTTCGGTTGTTCTTAGAAGTTTGATCATCTTTTGATGATTAATACAGTCGAACGCCTTACGATAGTCTATGAAGCAAGGTCTGTCATTATTAAAGAGTGTTTCGATATATTCTTTCCAACAAATTCTATAAACGAAAGAAAAAAAAGAAACATATTTCGTTACCTGTTAAGACATGCATTTTCAACACTTCCTCAGCTTTTTCTTTGTTTTCCAAAAGCATTTTTCTGTCGACCTCTTCCAAGGTGGCAAAAGTTTCGTCAGTAGGAGCTAGGAATGTGATCGATCTGTTATTTTCCTGCAACACCTTTTCAACTTCGGTATCTTTAAGCAGTTGCTTCAAAGTCGAGTAACGTTCGTCTTCGTTAATCAGGTCCAAAATCGTTTTAGTTGGCGGTACTAGAAGTCTATTGACTTCGTGTACGACAGATCCACAAGTCTTCTCATCAAAACCAATTAGTCTTGCGCAGTTGATCGTAGCTCTGTTTATAACGTTGGTAAATAATGGAAGCTGTAAAAATATAAATTAAAATTCTCAAAACACACAACAAAATTGTTTTTCTTACAGTTGAATACAAATTAACTCTAAGTTCCTTTCCTTCATCTTTGGTAGCGATTTTCATGTTGTTGCTCATATCGTTCGATTCAATTTCTCCATCGATTATGTGATATTTTATTAATTCCTTAAGTTTTTCCTTGTCGTCTCCAATCTTTTCCAAGTATTTCTGAGCGTGGGGATTTTCGAATGCTTTGTCAGTGGGAACAAAGACAGTAGCATTGTCGAAGTTGTTCAATTCGCTGGTCATTCCAGCTTTCTCAACCAGTTCTTGAAATTTGTCGAAGTGGTGTGATTTTAATACATTACCAATGTATTGACCTAGAAATTAAGATATAACATTGTATAACACAGAGTTTTTGAGCTTTAATATTCTAAAAATTATTTAAAAATATACGTTTTCAATGACATCACATTTACAGAATTATTCACCACATACGACACGGAGTATTGTAGCTTTAAGTTTTGGATTCGTTGAAGGACTATTAGAGCTACAAAACAAAGTATGTATCTAAATAATAAATGTTATAGTTGTAATTTTTTAAATAGAACACCCTGTATTTTATGTTATTTTTAGATTCTACGATTGAAATAAAGATAAATTTGATTATTTGGTTTATCACACTTAAACCACAGCTTAAACCCTACCGTTTTTGAAGTATATTCCATTTTGTGAAATTGTAATAAAAATTTTAATACTTCATTTCTCCAATGGTATAAAATGGTGTTTGATGCTAAATATTTTCTGAAGTTTTTTTGATCGGATATTGTGTTGCAATAATAAAAATAATACAACTTTATAAAGAGAGTCTAAAAATAACACTTTAAATATATAAATGACTAGCTTTAAACAGCAATTACTTATTTAATTTAAATGGAACATCCTGTATATTTTACGAGAATCAGATACACAATTTAATTGTCTATCAAATTGTATCCAAAACATTTTTTACCAATCTCTTCAAGTTTTCATAAGAAAATGCATTTTCTACGAAACTTAGATCTCATTTATCAATATACCCATGGAATATTAACATTTTAGATTTTTTTAAACCAACAAACGTAAAAAATGTACAGGTGCTAAAAACGATAATAATTCAAGCCCATTTGTTTACAAAAAAAATATATTTAATATTCTGAATAAATGTGGATTTGAACCAGAAATCAATATAATAATAAGTTATGAAAATGAACGTCTCTGTTTTTATAAATAATAAGCATTTTATTTCAAAAAATTTATAAGGTGTTACTTTTTACCACACTGTCTAATACATATACAAAATTCAGGTATTTAGTATTTGGAGAAATTATTATTAATCAACGCAAACAGTCAAAATTAATGTTGTTTGAATACTCGAATCATATTAATTCCTCGTTAACAAATATTAAAACAGTTTTTTTTTATTTTTTAATAAAAAAGCGAATTATATCGACAATATTAATATCTGTACTCTTTAACAATTTGTTACATCTTTAAAAATAATCTAAAATGTCAATATTCCATGGGTATATTCATAAATGAAGTCTAAATTATAAGAAAATGCATTTTGTACGAAAACTTGAAGAGATAGGTAAAAAATGGTATGATACAATTTGATACACAATTAAATTGTGCATCTGATCCTCGTAAAATATACAGGGTGTTCCATTTTAATTAAACCAGTAATTGCCGTTTCAAGCTAGTAATTAATATTTAATATAACTTTTTAGACACTCTGTATAAGGTAGTATTATTTTTATTACTGCAATACAAAATTTAGTAAATAGAAAAACCTCAGTACAATATTTGGTTTTATAAACGTAAATACGCCTAGAGAAATGAAGCATTAAAATTGTTGCTGTATTTTGACAAAAACGTAAATATTTCAAAAACAGTAAGATTAAAATGCGGTAAACCTTAAAAAATGTATCTTTTTTAAATCTTAGAAACAAAATGTAATAATATACAGTGTGTTCCGTTTAAAAAAATACAACTTTATTATTTTTTATTTATTTGGGACACTGCAACTGTATCTTGTAAACATGTTTTTAAATTGTAGCTCTAATAGTCCTTCAACGAATCCAAAACTTATAATTTGTAAAAAAGTGTTTATTTAATAATAATGTATTTTTTAATCGTTTAGCTACACTACTCCGTATCGCATAGTATGTGGTGAATAACAATATATATCTAAAAAATAATATATTCAATATATTCTTTTACCTGAATCAGGAATAATCAAAGTGTCGATCAAATGGATAACGCCGTTAGTTCCAATAACATCGGATTCAACAATCTTAGCTTTTTCTTCAAAGATCAGTTCATCATCCAATGTTCTTTCCATATTCAGATTGATTCCTTCAACATTATGTGTAGTAGCATTTCCGATAATCGCTGATGAGCATACGGTGTGAGCCACAATATGGTGCTTCAGGATATCTATATTAAACAAACATTTATAGAAAAACTAATTTGCATTATTCTGTATTCAACATCTTACTTGATGCACATCCTCCACCATTTAAAAGTTTCTGTCTTTGGATTTCGTCAAGTTTATTGAAAGCCTCATCGGTAGGAGCAAAAATGGTGTAGTGGCCTTCAGGTTTGAAATGTTTAGGAATATCCGTATTTCCTACCACTAAAATGTAATATTTATATTAATTTAGATAATAATGTTTTAAATTAACAATAAACAAACCTCTTTTAAATGTGGTTAGTTTGGGATGATTGTCAATAATTTGTTGAATGGAGTCGGTAGCTGGAGTTACCACTTTGTCCAAGATATGGACTATGCCGTTATCTGCTAGAATATTGCCTTTCTTAACTCTGGCGCAATTGGCCGTGAGCATCTTTTCATAAGTGTGAGTTGGATAGATGTTGATCCTAATTGGTGATTTCTTGTCATCCTCACTAAAAATAATTTTTAATATTAAAACATAATAGAAATTTAAAAAAATGTTAAGAGAATGCCATAATCATATGAACAAGGCTATTAATAAGATATAGAGTCTCTTCATTTTCTCAAAGTGGTGGCTCGTGATCAAAAATTAAATGTGATTAATGAAAACCAATCTCAAATCACTATAAATTGTTTATTAGTGATGGTGGCTGAATAGCCGAAACCGGTCACTAATAAACAATTTATAGTGGTTTGACATTGGTTCTCATTAATCAGATTTAAACTTATTAATATTTTAGTAATCAAATATACAGGGTCGATGATATACCGGGTGCGTCTCAAAAGTGGCTCATCCCTATAACTTTTTTATTTTTTCAGATAAAAAAACGAGATTTGGTATGTTAGTATATGACATAAATTAGGATTGATTGGTGTATTCAATTGTTTTTGGTCACTTCCTGTTTCACCGGAAAAAAATGTCTATTAGTTAGTAGTTTTTAAATGTCTATTAGCTAGTAGTAAATTTAAGTATACAGAGTCGCCATAAACTTGCGGCACATTAAAATTTATTTTTATTATATGCAACCCCCTGTATATTATTGCATATTTAAATTCTTTCTTAAATTTTAAGCATTAATGGTAATACACATAATGTACCTAAATTCAACCATTTCTGAATTATGAAGTTATGATTTTGAAATGTTATACAAAAATTTTGCAATTTCCAGACCTGATATAATCTTATTTTATACATCTATAAATGCTAACCTGAAAACTAATGTCAAATATGATTAAGCATCACAGTTTCTGCAGAATGGCATCGTTAAATGAAACCGATCACATCAAAATGAATTAAATCAAATTGTTTAAATGATATTTTCAAAAGTCAATAACTCGGAAATAGTTGGTTTGAGGTACATTGTGTGTATTTCAATTTCAGCTTAGAATTGAGAGGAGAATTGAAATATGCAATAATATACAGGGGGTTCCATTTAAAAAATGAAACTTTGATGTGCTACGACTTTATGACTAACCTTGTATATTTAAATTTATTACTTACTAATAGATATATCAAAACCCTATAACTTTTATATTTAACTTATTTGCGGTACCTCATAGGTTTTACCAAATAATCAACCGTTCCCGTACATGTCAGCAACCCTGTATAATCCAAGCTTGCTTCACCTACGTAATTAGCGTAAACGTAAATTAGCACACTTGTAGAGGTTAGGACCTTTTTACGCTTCAGTATACTAAATATACAATTCTAAACAAAAATAGTGGATTTCAAGATTTAATAGTCAAACTACTAACCTAGGCAACTTTGCTTCATTCTGAAGATCTCCCAATTCAACAAAGCCATCTGTTAAATGACTTAAAACAAAATCTTTTGAGCTTAATGGACTGACAGCACGTCTTCTTCTCGCCAGGTCCACTTTATTCTATCAAAAAATAGAAAAATAAGTACATATAGATATTATATTTAGTTAAAACTATGAAATATTTCAATACCAGAAAACCTTCATTATATATCACAGTTATTAAATATTCTTTTCTTACCATATCATTGATTTTATCGTTGTAATCATGAATAGCATCATCCGAAGGTACAAACAAGGTATAGTTTCCATCCTTAACAGTATCATCCAATCCACTGGACTTGATCAGAGTCCTAAACTCGCCCAATTTAAGGTCATCTAAGGTTTGCAAAATGGGTTTTAGTTCACCCTGAAGGAGATATTTAAAAAAAGAAAGGTTAAATTAATTAATTCTCTTAGTTAGTTTGAACGTTATTTTTACTTGTTTTACGCATCCGCCAGATTGTGGTGTCCTTTTGTAGCCGTAGCAGCACTTGTAGCGTACCGTGAAGGTCTTCACCACGCCGTGGTTGTTGATCCTGCAAGATAAGAGAGGTTAAAATGCTGAGGCTACGCTATAAAATGCATTTAATTGCTTTAATAATTTTCTAATTACTAAAATTACTGCGGACAATAATGTTGTTTTCGGTATAACACGATGATAAGGTAGAAAACTAGCGCATTGGTACAGTATTTGATTAATTAGTTTCAAAAATTCTAATATTTTATTTGCATTAAAATCATTTTTTTTTCAATTTATTTTGTGCAATTATTCATACATTAGATGAACCAAACACAGAGACTTTATTAACCACTGGACAATAGAGTCATCAGATGTATGTAGGTATGTCGTGTATCTACAGGGTGGTCCAAACTGTATTCCGGAAACGTTGGCAGCATATTCTGAGTAAAAAATATACAATTACGACGTTTTTTACGTAAAAAAGATCTCTTGGTAAAAATCTATACGAGTAATGGTTCTCGAGATATTTTGAATCGAAATTATCAATACCTGTCGTCATTGACATAAATTAAACATCTGACTAAATAGTTATTAAACTGAAATCATAAATTTGAAATGGTTTTGTGTCAAAAGTTCAACAGAAACTTTTTTATCATCACTTTTTCAAAGAAAAATTTATGATTAATTTAAAAAAATAAAAAGTTCCAAACTTACTCTTTCAGTCAAATAGCTATCTGCTCAACGCACATATGTTTATTTTTTGTCAATAATGACATGTGTTAACTATTTCCATTCTAAATATCTCGAGAACGGTTGCTCGTAGCCATTTTTACCAAGATATATTTTTTACGTAAAAAATTACGGAAATGTATATCTTTTCACCCAGTAGTTTTATACAGGTACGGACGAAAAGTTTTTACTCTTAAAAACAGTTAAAACACATGTAGGTGGCGCCCTCTACAAATAAGAGTCATATTGACATAAAAATCAAATTTCTCATGTCAAAAAACTTCCAGACACAAATTTGCATCCAAATATTGACGTTACTTCAGAAGTTATTTGGAAAAAATCGAAATAAAAATGAAAATTCTACACCTTCTATCTCCGAAACAATGCATTTTAGGACATTATTTATACGAACTTTTTTACTTATTTTTATCTGCAGAATATGCTGCCGATGTTTCCGGAATACAGTTCGGACCACCCTGTATATAGAACATCCTGTATTCATAAAGTCATTTTTATTTCATATAACAACAAAGAGAATGTGTAATTAATAATATTTTGAAACTAGAAAAGTAGGTACAGAATAACTGTATTGGGCAATTAAACTCGTCATCATTTTTTTAATACTATTGTACAAACAAAACTGCAAGTTAACAAAAACTATTCAAGTAGGCCATGCCATCAAGTAGAAAATAAAATATTCTTGAATTAGAAATTTTATCAAATCAGCTATTATTTTTAGAAAATTGACATTAATAATTTATAATTTACTATTTTTAAGTAGATTAACGGATAGCCTTTGTGATGACCTAAATTATTGTGTCTATTTATCCATTTTTATTTGCGAATTATTACAAGCAATTTTTTGTGATTACATTGACTAATACTTTTCTTTTTTGCTTTCATCGATAATGTAATTTAAAATTTGTTATAAATCTCGTTTTGCCAAAGCCAAATAAAAAGTAAGTGTAAAAATTTGATTTAAAGTCAAAAAAGTTGCTTGACAAATAAGAATAATACGCAAATATTTTATTAAATAATTATGCAGGCTTAAATAATTTGACAAGAAGTGCGAAAATCAGATGGATAACACCCAGTTTGGCTTCAGAAAAGGACTCGGAACGCGTGAAGCACTCTTCTCCCTAAATGTAATGACACAGAGGTGTAGAGACATGAATGTGAATGTATTTGCATGCTTCATAGACTATCGTAAGGCGTTCGACTGTGTTAATCATCAGAAGATGATCAAAATTCTAAGAACAATCGGAGTTGTCGAACAAGACCTACGTTTCATATCAGAACTTTATTGGCATCAAACGGCGGTAGTTGAGATGAAGCAGTCAACATCGAAAGATATACAAATTAGACGGGGTGTTCGGCAGGGTTGCGTCTTGTCTCCGCTCCTGTTTAACCTGTACTCGGAGACTATATTTAGAGAAGCACTGGATCGAATTCAGGGCGGAATCAAGTTCAATGGAATTCCAATAAACAATATCAGATATGCCGATGATACGGTTATAATAGCCAACGATATACAAGAACTGCAAAGCATTATAGATTCCGTAGTCCACTATAGTGAGATGTTTGAACTGCATCTCAATGTCTCCAAGACCAAACTATTGGTCTTTTCTAAGACTCCAATAAATGCACACCTGCGTGTCAAGGGACAAACAATCGAACAAGTGACCTCAATAAAGTATTTAGTCAATAGTCAGTGCGACCCGAAAAGAGAAATATTTTCAAGAATTGAGCAAGCGAGAAAAATCTTCGTGAGAATGAAATAATTTTTTACAAGAAGAGACCTCAGTGCGGATCTCAGAACTCGAATGGCCAGATGCTACGTCTTCTCTGTGTTACTCTATGGATGTGAGAGCTGGACACTGGATTCACAGACCGAGAAGAGAATAGAAGCCTTCGAAATGTATATATACAGACGGATGCTGCGAATCTCATGGGTACAAAGGATCACCAACAATGAAGTACTCCAGCGCATGCAGAAACAAAAAGAGATACTGAACACCATCAAGGAAAGAAAAATGCAATACCTGGGTCATGTGATGAGAGGTGGTAGATACGAAATACTGCGCCCTCATAATAGAGGGCAAAGTGCAAGGAAAAAGATCAGTAGGAAGACGCCAGAACTCATGGCTAAAAGATTTGAGGAGATGGTTTGAACGCTCGTCTGCGGAAATCTTCCGGGCTGCAGTTTCCAGAGCCACAAATGCCATTTGGATCGCCAACCTTCGGCAGGAGAGGGCGTGATAAGAAGAAGAAGAAGAAAATAATTTGAAGTTCGAATATTTTAAAGCATTTCATTTTTTAAGATGTTATCGTTATGATAATTGTTTTAAGTTATTTGTTAATCTGTATAAGCGACTGGCAAAACTGGCAATTGGCAGCACTTAAAACGGAGATCATAAGGAAACTGCAGATCGCACAACGCTCAATGGAACGAAATATGCTGGGAATAACCAAGAGAGACCGTAAAAGAATAGAGTGGATACGACAAATGACCCAGGTAATACAGGTCATCTACAGAGTCAAACCCCTCAAATAGCAATGGGCAGGACACCTGGCAAGAAGAACAGACATGGGCAACAAAAATCACAACATGGTACCCACGAGGAATTAAGAGACCTAGAAGAAGACCGAACCTGAGATGGGACCGAACCCTTGGGCCCGCATAGCCAACAATAGACAACAATGGGCCCAACTACAAAGAGAGATGTTACATCGTAATTCGAAATGGTTGTTAAGCTGAAAATAATGATAATGATGATGATGATAAGCGACTGGATAAAAAATATCATATACAGGAAGTTTCTGGTTAAACTTGGACAACTCATAAGATACAACGATGTTTTTCATGAAACCTTAAAGGGGATAAGTATGCAGCATAAGTGGGAGGAAGCAGCGCACAATAGAATGAAATGGAGGAGAATTGTAAATTCTGTTAATAACGATAACCAAAAAGTAAAGAGGCAACAAAAGTAATGAGATTTTTGAATGTTCGGAGTGCGGAAGAGAGATAACATTACGTATCGGGCTTTTCAGTCACAGAAAAGCTCATGACAGGAAATGCCTTGCGTAACCATCTTCTGATGCGTGTCAAATACTCGTCAGCGAGTAATGGCAGTAAGTAAGTAAGTAAGTGGCTAAACTTGATTTAGATGTTAAGAACTACAAGTTTTTAAAAATGTAACCTATACAGATCAGAAGAGGGCCACAGTAGATCTATAATCTAATGGCAATCTATGATATTTTATAGGAAAATAGATATATTTGTCATCTATATAGTCATTTCTAACAGAAATTGAAGCCCTTTTTATCGCTCAATTGAAACGAGACTTTTTAATAGGTAACTATGGGAAATAACATGCACGATCTTCTATAGTCTATATATAAACTAAACAGTCTTATTCTTCTCTGAAGGTTGAAATAATTCAAGTATTATTGAGGATAATGAAATGACTTAAATAATACCAAAGAAACGGCAATTTCTAATATTGAATACTGTCAGAAATTTCACATTTTTCTGTTAATGTATTCATGTTTTCGGAAAAAATAAATACTATTCCTACTTTATTCAAAAATGTTTTTGCTTACTTGGTGATGCATTCGTATTTATTCTCTGTCTCGAAACAGTTGGACAAACGAATCGAAGTAGAGAAAATGTTCGGTTCTTCAACTTTTTCTGTTTTATTCTTCTTTTCTAAGTCGTCCTCTTGGTCATCGTCATCGTCGGTACTCTCCTCGCGTTCAATGCATACATTTTTTCTGTAAAAAAATAAGATTTAATCTAAGTATTTATTACTGTGATAAACCTAAGTAAACAAAGATCGAATCATTTAATTGATGATCAAGTTTTAATGCTAATTGTTTTTATTTTAACGATATTATAATAATGACTACGTTTCTGGAATATAAAGATATCAATTAAAAAATCTTCCATTGTATATTTGAATAAATATGAGAAGAGCGTAAATTACACCTATATGCATAAAGATGAGATCATGATTACTATTCATTTGCTAATTAGTGTAAGATTTCAACAACAAACTGAAAATTATTTATACCTGACTTAAAGCTATTTGCGTCATTTGTTCCTCGATAAAATTTTATCTTAATAAAAAATTACATAAATATAATAATTGATGATTATGTATTAAAAATCTACATTTCGCATAAATTTTAAAAATAAAAATTCAATGTATAGGTATAATCTTGGTATAATATTGATCCATATCTATTACAAGCTGTGTGGGAGAGGATAATCAAATATCTATCTATAGGTCTAATTTCTTAGTTAAATCAGCATGCTATACTCGTAGAAAAGAATGAATACATTCAATTATCATACTTAATTTTAAAGAATACGTGGGCAATTGACTCAAATTATCTCCTCTAAGTACTCCTAAGACTGTGATCCTTATTTGACATTATTTTTAGATTATTTTATAGTAGTTATATATGTAGTTATAGAAAATGTAGCAATAGTGGCAATAGTGCGTCGGGCATCTGTAACTCCTAGAATAACAAACTTGGAAATTTTGTTTAAGTGCAAACCTAAATTATGTACCGGGTGTCCCACTAAGAATAGCTATCGGCTGTATCTCGGAAAGTATTAGCCGTAGGGCTTACGGAAAAAAATATTTATAACTAAAGGGGCTATGAGAGTTTGTAAAACGGCCGCTAGGGGACGCAACTGCGATGGAAAATAAGAAAATAGAATTTTTACAGAATTTTGCCTAGATGATGGGTACTATAAATAATAGCTTCATAATCTTCAGTAAATTTTGGATTTTCTTTTTTAGAACCATTTTCCCCTATCTGCTAAAAAAAGTGGTGGGGGAAGGTTAGATCTATCTTTATATAAATGTTAATAACTCCGGACTGGATGATCAGAATCCAACAAACGAGGGCTCGTTTAAAAGAGCGTTTCTTACTCTATATTTCACCATAAAAATAATAATAATAAGGTTTTGAACGTAGTGTTAGGTTTTGAACCTGATCGTTCAACCTTGTGGCAAGTGAAAAAATGCGTAAACATCTAGAAATAATAAGAAAAAACAGCAAATTGGTCGAAGGAATTTATCCTTATTATTTACTCTGATAAATGTTTAAATAAACTTTTCAAATTTCAATCCTTCATATTTTCTCAATGACTCGACCGATTTTCAAAAACAAAGCGGGAAAGTATAGAGAATAAAAAGCCCTTTTCATTGCGGTACCACATGACACCCTTCCCATTTGAAAAAAGTTGGGGGATGACACCCCCGCTTAGAGGGTTGAAGATTCTGCAATCATTTTTGGGGCAAAAGTTGTCCCCCTCACAAACAAAATTGACGTGTTTCTGGATTTTTTGAAAAAAAAAATATCCTGGCCGTTATGCCTTGCGGAACGTTTTCGATGGGCCACCCTGTATATTTTCCAGCCTTTCTTAAAAAATATTAATAATACAAGAACTGTCCTGAAGTCAAAACTATATTAGATATTTACTTTAGATGATATGTACTTACTTTGCTATAAATATGGAAATCGTAAATCATACAGGATGTTCAAAATTCTACGCCAAACTTTCTAAAATATAAAATAATTTTTCTTCGTTTTTTTAAATGGAACACCCTGCATATTATTTTTTCAATAGATGGAGAATTAAAAAATTAACATTTTTTAATTCAAAAATAAATAATTTTAAATACAAAAAATGTTCATTTTTTAATTCTTCATCTAATAAAATAATAATATACAGAGTGTTCTATTTAAAAAAAACGAAGAAAAATTATTTTATATTTTTGAAAGTTTGGCGTAAAATATTGAACATCCTGTATGATTTACGATTACCATATTTATAGATAGATAGATAGATAGATATTCATTTATTTGTTCCGATTAACAAAAGTTACAATAAGTGCCCGCAGGCATGGAACATTGTAAAAATAGCAAAAAAACAAAACTTAAGACTTAATATAAAACACACATAAATACACTTAAATAAGGAAAAAAATAGAATAACACTCGACAACAAAAAAAATATAAAATGTATGTTTAGGTTTCAGAACAGTTCTTGTATTTTTAATATTTCTTTTAAGAAGGGTTGAAAAATATATATTTTTGATTTATTTTTTAATATCTCTGAAACTACCGAAATAGATGAACTCATATCTTAGGATTATGTAAAGAGATCTGAAAGGAAGCCAAAAATGCAATAATATACAGGGTGTTTCATTTAAAAAAATCATCCACATTCACTCACACTTTTTTGGGCCATCCTAAAGAAGTTAAAATATTTTCCTGCAATACATCCTAGTACATACTTTAGGTTTGTACTTAAACAAAATTCCCAATTTTTTATTCTAGGAGCTACAGATGTCCGACGCACTATTGCCGGTCCCTCTAGACATTTTCTATAAATTAAATTTATAAAAAGATAATGCTATTCTTATAAGGGGCAAATCTTGAAAGGTTTGTCACAGCGACATACCCAGATTTTCCAGTACAGAGCTAAAAAATTACAGATATATCGTATTCAAAACTAATGTCAATAAAATGTTCTTTGTCAGGTGACCATTGTTCCATCCACAATTTAATCCAATTTATTTTACATTGCTATAAAATGTTTCGAATTAACAATACTAATTACACCTTATTACCTACGACCTTAATTATAAAGCCTGATAATCGCTGGCCACTTGTTAGTAGTAGGACATCTGATGGTGTTAATAATTATTTATTCTTTATGTATTTTTACTTCGTAACATTATAATTGTAAATTGCAAACATCAGCCGTATTTAATGATTAAGAAACCGCATTTATAATTGGAAGATTTTCCTTAACGATTTAATAATTCCGTCTATTTATATCAACAACGTAAACTTAATCGTATATGAATAACAACGGATTAAAATAAATAGATATTACAAGAAAATTATACAAGAGAAGCAAAATAAAACAGTATTCCATCACAAAACACCAAAACACTTAACCTTTGCACTGGTAGTGGTGGATTAGTGTTCGATTTTGCTGTTGTAACACCAAAGGTTGCAACCCTTAACTGTAATAATTATTTAAGTATTCGATAAACTTTCTTTAAATGTTATTTTCTTTAACTTAAAACAACCAAAAAGTTCATTATAAAAATACCTAACCTTCTAACAGCCTGAAGGGTCTGGGAGTCCTGTTTAGCTCACAACTTTCTTTTGCAAGACGCACAGAGCACAAATCGCAGCACTACTGCAAATTTCCTGTGTTTTGAATGCGGATTTTTTAGAAACCGTTTTTTTTGTCCTATTAACGAGAAGATTTAATAAAAATATAATAATTAATTAATAATAAAACAAAAAACAAAGCGATCCTAACAAAAAATGCAATAATGTTTATTGTTCTCCTACAAATTATAAATAATGAAATACATATGTTAATTACCAGTAACAAATATTGTTTTAACGCATAGAAAACAAAATGTTGCACAAACAAATATTTTGTTTTAGTAGAACAGAAAAACATAACTTTTAAAAAATAAAATGATTCTAAATATGTCTTAGTTTTCTACTGACCACTTTTATAACCATTCCCTATACCGGGTGCATCTCAAAAATAGCTCACCCCTATAACTTTTTATTTTTCGAGATAAAAAATCGAAATTTGGTATGTTAGTATATGACATAAATTAGGATTGATTGGCGCATTAATTTGTTTTCGGTCACGTCCGGTTTTACCGGCCTAAATGACTACAACTTTTGATTTTTAAATGGCACGCTCGGTATATTTTTACTTTATTCGATAGAAAATGACATACTGAATAGAACAACATCATATGTCAACTTTTGACATTTTTGCTTAAAAAAATCGTTTTTTAAATTCCAATACAGAGTGCCATGGCTGTGTTAAAAACACTAATTTTTAATTAAGGAGCCTTGGAAAAAATATATTTGATCGTCTAATGGTTTTCTTCTCTTGTTCTGGCCGGTTAAAAGATGCCCAAATCGTATTTTTAATCATATTTAATTTTTTCAAATGGAACAAGGGTGACTCATTAGCATATTTGAAAAAACATTTTTTTACGAATAAGTCGGTACCACACACTTGGTATTTCAATTCAAATTGTCGTTATGAACCGCATGTTACAATTTCAAATATACCATTTGCGAAAATATCAAAACTTGAAAAAAAATGTCTATACCTTTTTTTGGAGAGATCAAAACTTGACATATGATATGTCATTCTATTCAGAGTGTCATTTTCTAACGAATAAAGTAACAAAATACCGGTTGCCATTTAAAAATAGGAATAAGTTCTAGTCATTTCCGGTGAAACAGGAAGTGACCAAAAACAATTTAATACGTCAATCAATTCTAATTTTTGACATATACTAACATACCAAATCTCGTTTTATTATCTAAAAAAATAAAAAAGTTATAGGGGTGAACCACTTTTGAGACGCACTCGGTATACAATAAAATACTCATAAAAAGTTTATTTAGAATTTTAACTGGAATTATGAATTATATATAGGGTGTGCTTTTTAGGATATTACATTAATGTTTAGTTTAGATATATCATGAAGTAGGTACCCCTTGATTTTAATTTTTGGCTATTTCATATAAACTTTTTTGTCTACTTATCTTAACATAATTATCACACTGTATATACTACGTTCGAGGATTTCCAATTGTTTAGATAATCTAAAGACAATATTTAACTACACTATATAATTATAGGCAATGTATAAAGTATATAAACAAACATGAATGTGCAAGAAGCGTCCGTTTATTGGTGTCACACAATGATTTGCAGTCAATTCGAAATGTGTGAAACACGATTAGCACAGTTAGAAGTGACGAACGACAATGTTTCCGGTTAATGAACTTAGAAAAAGCACTATTTACAGTTCTCCTCTGGGGTTTCTGTATTTTTGAAGTCACCTACATTTATTGTCTCTAATACATTGAGTACCTATATTATATTGGTTACCTATATTTTGCACCTATATTTGGATGTATAAAAATGTACGTCATAGAGAAAAATCAATTTCTAAAATACCATTATAGGAAATGGTATTTTTAGACGTTAAGGTATTATAGCACAAAATTAGATATGTATAGAAAGTTTTTTTCATATATATTTCTAATCCCATTAGTGAGTTCTAAATTTATATTGGCGAAGGTCAGTTCCAGGTAAATATCAACCAAAATATTCCATTCTTAGTTAAAGGTTCTTCTTTGTTTGAAAAATAATTTACAACATACATTTAAAAATGATATACCAGGAAAGTCTACTATACTAACAATTTTATTTTTTATTTCATTATTATTTCGGTATTATTGGCTATGCCCCATATACATTAAATATATGATCCATATTACAGGGAATCTACAATACTTTTCAATATAATATTTGTCTTATTAGATAATGTTAATAGTTACAATTTTTTTTCAAAAATTTCAATAAAAATGATTTTCTATAAAAAATGCATGTGTAAAAGAATACTTCATGCCTCAATTCATCCAATTATGTAAAGCCTACCGAAATTCCGAGGCTAGAATGGTATGAAACGATAGGAACAAAAAATTCAAAATCAATGTTTTTGTAAGTTTCACGTTTTGTGGAACAAAGCCTAAATAGTGTAATATTATTTCTTAATTGTCTTTAATTTTAACATAACACTTTTCGTTAACTAGCTTGAGAAGCAAATTAACTGATTAATTAAAATATTAAGACACTAGCATTTATTTTGGAAGTAAATGAGATAGAAATCGAAATTGGCGGTAAAAAAATATTTAATAGCTATTTTTAAACATTAGAATTAATCAAATAAGAAGGAAATTCGTGCATCAAAATAAAAAATTAAAAATTGTTGACATTAAATTTTCTTTACGAAAGTCAACAAGCATTGTTCATAATTCCTAGCATTAATGTAAAATTAATTTTATGTTACTTTATACAGGGTGTTCCAAAATAATAACCATTTTTTTTCTAAAAAAATATTCTAATTCTAAACAAATACCTAACCTAACCTAACTAAACAACCTTAAGCCTATTGGAACGTAATAAAATCAAAAAAAAACTTCCATATAATCTCAATGAGTTTTTCCATTCAATGGAACTGCATAAGAATTAATCGCAAACCACAGAAACCATTCAAGACCAAAGTTCAGTCTACATATTAATCAGGTTTGTGAAATTCAAGTTCAAAGACCCAAGGGACCTACTTTTCCATTTATTATTGTTTATTTCTCTAATTGTTTATTATAACAGGACGAGCAAAATGTCGTTTTTCTTTTTAGAAACTGGTGAAAGTTTGACTTTTGCACGTGGGAAGTTTCCTATATAATTTTGAAAAAGGAGAGTCTGTTTAATTTTGCCTTTGGCTAAATAAATATAATATTATATTCGATGATCAATAATAGTGGAACGGCAATTATAGAGGGTGCAGATATTACAGAGTGTCCCATTTTGGATTTTAGTTACCAATGAGGATAATCTCGCTTATTCATAAAGATAGACCATTGCAATTTTCAGGAATCTAATAGGAAACTTTTTAAAATTGTTATAGTTTCTTTACTTTCCATGAAACATGCTTATTTTTGGTAAAAACGTTTAATTCATGTTAATTTCAGTTCGTATCTCAGCTGCCTGTTAATAATTCATTCTCGTGTCTTAGTAGTCTAACAACTTATCTAAGAGGCAATAGTAGATTCCTAGGTAGAACTTTTTCGAAAAAAATATTTTTTTTATGGAATACTGAATAATTTTAGAGGTGTAATATGAAAATTATGTTTTTGTCGTTTTTATTAAAATAGATCCATACTGTTATACCGAGTGCGTCTCAAAAGTGGCTCACCCCTATAACTTTCTTATTTTTTTAGATAAAAAAACGAGATTTTGTATGTTAGTGCATGACATAAATTAGGATTGATTGACGTATTCAATTGTTTTCGGTCTCTTCCTGTTGAAATGACTACAACTTTTGATTTTTAAATGGCACTCTCGATATTTTTTTACTTTATTCGATAGAAAACGACACTCTCTGAATAGAATGACATATCAAATGTCAACTTTTGACATTTTCGCTTAAAAAACTAATATTTTAAATTTCAATCTAGTGTGCCATGGCTGTATTTAAAACACCAATTTTTAATCCAGAAGCCTTGAAAAAATATATTTGATCGTCTAATGTTTTTACTGTCTTTTCCTGGTCGGTTAAAAGATGCCCAAATCGTATTCTTAATGATATCTCAATTTTTTCAAATGAAACAAGGGTGTCTCATTAGCATATTTAGTAAAAAAAAAATTACGAATAATTTGTAGTTATGGACAGTATATTATAATTTTAAATATAAACCATATGCGAAAATGTCAAAACTTGACATATAATACACCATTATATTCAGAGTGTCATTTTCTATCCAATAAAGTAAAAAAATAACGTTGCCATTTTCGATGAAAAAGTTGCCATTTCCGATTGAATACGTCAATCAATCCTAATTTATGTCATATACTAACATACCAAATCTCCTATTTTTATCTGAAAAAGTATAAAAAGCTATAGGGGTGAGCCACTTTTGAGACGCACCCGGTATACCGTATGATCAAAAAAAAAACAGCGTCAGCGGTGGCTATGAAATGAAGATCGCTGGCATTTTTTATATGTAAAATTATATGGGGAATGTCAACGAACGTTTTTTTCGATCATACGGTATTTTTGAGAACCTTGTAAGAAGACAAACTAATATCTTGGCAAATATACAGGACGTCCCATTTAAAAAAGAACTTAAAATTTGCCAATATTTCAAAAATAAAATATTTAGAAAAAACTAACTTCAACCGAACCCGCATTAAATGTATAAGAATCGGCTTTTGCTTTTTGATAAGTTTAATCTTATTTTGACGTAACTTGTCATAGCTAATAATATAAATGGTACAAACTATTGAATATCTTTCTCTATTTTACGAGCCTAAAGCCGGGTTGTCACTGCGCGAAACTGTTTCGCGAAACGGTTTCGCGAAACTAGCCTCGATTCGTGTATACTTCGTGCTCACCCCGAAACTCGTTTCGCGAATATGTTTCGAAGCGAGCTAGCGTCAGTCGGTTTTCGTTTTCGCATCAAAAGAGATTCGTCTTCCGTGTTGCTCAGAGTGTAAACGTGCATCGTGTGTTTCGCGCCAGAAATGGACCAAGTATCATTGTCTCGCGCAAACTGGCGGCTCACCACTTGTTTCTGCTTGGAGCATGAAACGTATATTCGTTGTCCGAAACACACCCGCGAAACATTTTTTCGCGAAACAGTTTCGCGCAGTGACAACCCGGCTTAAAAAGTAGAGAAAAAAGTAGTAAAATGTAGTCTTACCCTTTCCACCATCTTTGTCCATCACCGATTCCAAACAATCCTCCAAAACCAAATCCGCTACCGGGTTTTTCCAAACCTGGCAAAGCGGGAAAATCAAACTCAGGCCCGAATGGACTGGAAAACGATGGGAAGCTTCCAGCCTGGACATCAATAACTCCGCCAGGAAGTATTGGGTTTATTGGATGTTTTGGACCTTGATTTTCTTTCTTGGGATTCAAGACCGGTGTGTCTTTGTTGGTCTTTGATCCATCTGTAACGTGAAGAACGTTTAAACAGCGACCTTGGAAGAAAAAAAAGAAAAGTTGAATTATTTTACCTGTGACAACAGGTTTATCTTCTGAACCGGCTGCGACAGGATCTCTGTAATCTGGACCAAGAGGTTCACGATCTTTTTCAAGGGGTGATGATTCTACGCTGCGTTGTTTTCCAACCACTATTCCTACTGCAGGTCTTTCCCAGGGGAATGGTTGCAGTGGAGGTTCCAAATTATGGAATAGAGTTAAGTCGCTGAGAAAAGAAAAAGAAATGGCTCATAACTCTGATTTATTGATAACTCTGATTTATTGATATTTAATAGATCAAATTATACTTTAAATAATCAAAAATATAATTCCCTGTTTGTATGATCTAAAATAGTATTTCCTCTTTATTTAATATTACTTTTATGTAGTATGCAAGGAATTTAGAATTTTAGATTATACAGAATGTCTTAAATTAGTGCAAATATTTGGGCTGTAATGTGGCTTGTAATCCGATTCAGTCGATTGGCTTGAAACACTTTTTGTTCAATTCCGTGTCTATCGCCATTTTTCTAGTACATCTTAAGGTTTGTTCTTTCAATTTTTAAATATCAGATAAGGATCAGATAAGGAGATTTTTAGTATTTTTTGATATAGGTATGAGTGTGACTGTGGTCCATTGTAAATAAGAAAATGACAAAATAAAACTAGATTTGTGGTCAACATATAAATCAAAACAAACTACAATGAAATTAAGGTTAGAATGGTTTCTAAATGTCATTCTAAGTCGATCCTATCCTCTGTATATCAAATGATATAATCTTTGCATCCACGGGCATATCATTATTTTTGATGGATTGAAGTGAGTCCGATCTGCTCAATCGGATTGAATCTAGCCAATATACACGTAGTCTGGCACGTAGTAATATTTTATCTTTACCGTTTTTCAAATAAAATCAAAATAACCGAGATATTTTACTTTAAAAATTTCAAAAAAATACATTGTTCGCTTAAATTTTGAGAACCACTGGATCTTTTTTGGGTTTTCTTTCTTGTAAATTTAATCTACTATCTATGATGCCATATTATGAGGATATTATGTTTTTTAACTTTTTTCCCGAAAAAAACATCGGAGACGTATTTCTGGGGTCGAAATAATATAGTACCCCTAAAAATATTTGTACTTTGTACTTATTTAAGAGTCACCCTGTATAGTTAAACTAATTAACAGAGTCCTTTGTATGTAATTCAATAATAATTTGTAACTTAAAAGTATCTTCATATTTACATTCACAATACAGATACAATAGAACAGTACAGATACAATAGAATGTAGAAACTTATTATAAATAAATTAGGAAAGACTTTTAAAAAATTAACCCCCTGAATGTATTGGTATTCTTTATTTATGAAATTAAAAAGAACTAAAAAACATAAATAAATATCTACTGATGATTGAAGCTATCAAACAACTTTAATCATCACTTCTTGAAACGAAATTAATATACAGTATATTTGATGATTCTAATAAATATATTTTAGTCATTCAATTTCAAATTCAAACGATTAAAAAACAGAACACTCTGTCACTTTGTCCTTCCTTTCAGCATATAAAATATACTTGTTTTGTATGCTAAACAGGTACGTTCTTGATCTTGATCTTACTCTGATCGAAATATACAGAATAACGAGATAGTTATGATGATGAGGATTTCGGAGGTCAAGGATTATTCGGTCACTTTTTGTCACTGTGACCTTGAATTTAACATGTAGAAACTTTTATTTGAATGTTATAAATATTTAGACGTATCAAAATCAAAATAATAACCGCGATCTTTACTTTCAAGCCACCTCTGAGACCATTTTTTTTCGATCTTATTATTATTGTATTGCAGCAGTAGTATACGTAACTGAGTGTGTCATATAGCATATAGATAGAATATGTTAAAAAAATATTTCTTAGCGTATTACAGTCAATTTAGAAACTTTTTTGTCTCAACTTATATTTTTCATAATCAGAGCAGTTTACAAAAAGAAAGAGTAAAATTCAGTATCCAATTAGATCAACATATATTACCACACATATTTTGTATCATCAAAAAGCGTGCATTATCCTCGATCATACGGTATAGCATTACATTCATTGCTTGGTGAACATGTTTGTGCAAATTGAGATTGGCAATGGAGAAAGGACCTCATAGACTTTTAACAAAAAAAAAATGCTCTTTGTCGAGCTTTTTGCGTAAAAAATAAATATGCAAAACGGGTTTTTGCAATGTCGATTTCAGTTACAATATTGTCAAAAAATTTAGATAATGAAGACTTTTATACAAGTAGATATCTTTCAATTATTCTTCCTACTTACATTTAATTCAAGATCACGAAATAATTTCAAGAGATTTTTTACGACAAAAATCTACTTTTTCGACTTGTATACCGGGTGTTTTTCAAAACTTTGATATTCAGACAAAAAACGAGATTTGGTATGTTAGTATATGACATAAATCAGGATTGACTGACGTTTTCAGTTATTTCCGGTCACTTCCTGTATCACCGGAAATTATAACAACTTTTGATTTTAAAATGATACCCTCGGTATTTTTTACAATTTATTGGATAGAGAATCTGAATAAAATTCTGAATAGAATGACATCTCATATCGATTTTTGATATTTTCGCTTAAAAAAAGTATTTTAAATTTCAATCTAGAGTGCCATGAGTGCCGAGCTGCATTCATAACGACAATTTGACTCAAAACACCAAGTATGTGGACTAAATTAGTCCGAAGAAAATGCTCTATCCAAATATGCTAACGAGCCAACCTTGTTCCATTTGATAAAAATGAGTTATGATTTAATTATATTTATACAGGGTAAGTCTTAAATAAGTGCAAATATTTTCAGAAAATTTTTTTGAAAATTTAAAAAAATATTTTTTCCCCTAAATTTGAGGACCACTGGATCTTTTCTGGGATTTCTTTCTTGTAATTTTAATCTACTATATATGTTGCCATATTATGAAGATATTATGTTTTTTTAACTAAAAATTAAAAACATTTCAAAAAAGTTTTTCAAAAAATTCCAAATTTTCAATTCTTTTTTCGCGAAATAAACCCCATGGACGTGTATCTGGGATCAACTATACTACCCCTAAAATATTTGCACTTATTTAAGACTCACCCTGTATATCAGTTAAGATCATACCGATTTGGGCATCTTTTAACCGGCACGGACTTAAGTCACGAAAAACATTAGAGGATCAAATATATTTTTCGAAGGCTCATTGATTAAAAATTAGTAGTTTTTAATGTTTAATGTAATGTTTTAAAATCTCAAAGTTGACATATGATATATCAGCCAACGTTATTTTCTATCAAATTAATTATAAAAAAGGTGGGGTGAAACAGGAAGTGACCGAAACTAATTGAATATGTCAGTATATATATTCAATTAGTTTCGGTCACATTATAGTTATATTTCCAGTTGTATGTCATAGCTAATACCAAATCTAGTTTTTTATCTGAAAAAATAAAATAGTTATAGCGGGCTATGAGTCTTAAATAAGTGCAAATATTTTCAGGGCTGGTAGATCTCTTTTCGTTTTTCTCTTTACCATTTTTCAAATAAATCCAAAATAACCGAGTTATTTAAGTTTTTTCTGTATTTGCGGTGAACAGGCAGTTCTAAAAAGTTTTCGAAGAATATACAGGGAAATTTAAAAGAAAATGCACGGTTTTCAACATCTTTTTTTTGCGAAAAAAACCTCATAGACGTGTTCCTGGGGTCGAAATATATCACCCCTGAAAATATTTGCGCTTATTTAAGACTCTGTAGATGCAAACTTTTGAAAAACACCCGGTAGATTACGCCTCAAATAATACTTCGACGTTTATAACAAAACAATAGTATTTAATAATAAATTTACATAAAAATCCAACAAACTCAAATAAGGCACGGTTTATTATTATAAAAAAACTGATTATGCAGCCAGTGGTTTGTAAAATTGCTTTTATTTTCCATCAGCCTGGTGCAGTCATCAACGGAATGCTGGACCGCAGTTCAAGTTCGATTCTTTCAATTTATACAAATTCTGTCATTTGTTTATTTATATTTTTCTATCCAGAGTTGAAGGACGGTCTTACAGATAATTCCGATTTTTTATTGGTAAAACAATTAAGGTTGTCATTCAACCGATTTTTATTGGAGTGTGACGTTGAGGGAAGCTTGTCTTTGACACCAATCTAGTAGATACTTTTTTTATTCTAGCGTAAAATCTACATGCTTTGACAGTTTGCTTCTTTTAAAAAGAATTGAATTTGTAAATAACGGATATTAATTTCCTTTGGCATTAAGTGAGTAAAAACAGATACTTCGCAAATATATAGTTGTTTAAAAATAAAACCAATTTTGTAAGAACAAGCCTCTAAAACATATGAACAAAAAATCAAGATCTAACACATTTTGGTGCTCTGATAACGTATATCCAATAAAAGAAAAAAAAACTTCTGGGGCGGATTTTAAATGATAGAAAAGGTTGAATTAACAACAGACCTGGAGCCTCCACAGATAAAACTTCAAAATAAAGTTTCATATTAATTGGTTTAACAGAAGTATTTTTAAAAGACTTTAAACTTTCAAACTGGATTCTTTCATAAAACACTTATTCTTATTATATATGTAAAATAGCAGGTTTTAAAATGAAAAAAGAGCTTTTATAATAAAATTAAAATATTCAATGATGAAAAAGGTACACTTTTTGTTGAGGGTGTTTATATTGATATACAGGGTGAGTCTTAATCTTTTATTTACTACTTTACTTTATTAATTACGTTTTTTCAAAAAATTCCAAATTTGCAAAACAAACATTCCCGAAAAAAATCTCATATGCATGTCTTCAAATATATAGTTATTTAAAAAGAAAACCAATTAAAGTGAAACTTAAAAACTTAAAGAATTACTACTACTATCCTCAAAAATATTTGCACTTATTTAAGACTCACCCTGTATAGAGTATACAGAGTAGCGTCTCCGTACACCACGGAAGCTCCAAGAGGAACAACATTTTTTTGGGAGCATATGTATAGGTTAATTTTAGTATTTTTAAAAATATATAGAGTTATACAGGGTGTCCCCCCAAAAAATTACACATTAAAGTTGTGTCTGTAACACCCTATATATTAATTGATTTTTAGATTCTAGAAAAATAAAATAGGGGTGACTTTTCTTGTAGAAACATGACTAAAATGTAGGGTTTTCCACATATTTAACATTTCTTAGAAATTAAGATTTTTAAATTTCAGTAAAACCTATCTAAAATGTAATTTACCATGTAGCCTGATATGTAGTTAAACCAAAATAAAATTTAACCCTAGTAGTTATACAGGGCGAGATAAAAAGAATATTGAACTGGCACTGGTCACATTTAAAACCAAATTACTCTTTTATTTTAAATGGAACACCCAGTATATTATTCTGATATCCAATGGAGAATTGTTGCTTCAAAATACTAATCTTTCAATACTATATTCGTTTAAAATAAAGAATCTATTTCGATATAAGTATAATTCGGATATAATCTAAAATATTATATTTTATAACACAAACTATGCACAAAATTTAAACAAAATAATTGAATTAACGGAGAAACAGAAAAATTTCAAAAAAAAGTTTCGTAGAATCAACTATTTGTAGTAAAAATAATGTTTTGAAAACATATATTATGAAAAATAATAAAGGCTAAAATGAATTCTAGAAAATTCTTATATCATGCAAATATTCTAAGTCTAAAAGTGATAAATGAATGAGAAGCCTTTTAGTGAAAAATATACCGTGTGTAACATCGCGGACCTTAACATAGAAAAGCTTTATGTAAGTTGTAAAAAATGATGAATAAAAGTTATTAATCATTTTTTACACTTCAACACTATTCACAAATTGTTTATTTTCAATAGTTTCCAGCAATTCTTCTTTTAGTTAACAGTTTTTTCTTCACCATGGTTTAAATTTTAAGGGTGATTCCCTATGCCCAGGCCGACAGTACCAAAAAAAACACACGGTATAAATAAAACTTTTCACAAACTTACTTGAAAAAGTCTCCATGGACACCCCAAACGACGAGAATCCCCAGCAAAAATGTTTGTCGAAACATTTCCGACTGTAACTTGATGAAAAATAGCTTCTTCGTTTATCGACACAATTCACGCACGGTTGGTTGAATCTGTTCTAGAAGCGTTTCTGTGCCGGTCCCCTATTTATAAATGCACGGCACTGGGCGCCGAGTAGGGGCGTTTAATCAGTGCCGTGCGGAGTCTATTACTAGAAGTGTAAAGCCTATAAATAACAAAACAAGATTTACGACTATGTAGAAAGATTTATGTGTATTTGTTGCACTTAGTTTTATCACTGTATAAGAAAATATATGCGATAGTTTTATTACTCATACAAAGATACACTCAGTGTAATATATTCTAAGAAGATACCAATCACTAGACAAAGTGTTCTTTTTAAAAGTAAGTCAATCTACTTAGTTATACGAGGGTACTCTAAAAAGTTTTCGACCGCACAATGATACAAAGCATTTATTGGAAAATTCTTTTTTATATTTCTTTGCGAAGCCAGACGCATCTTTCAATGATTTGCTTACCTCTTTGTCAGAAAAATAGTTATTTATACAAAAAATCTTTTTCTAACTGATTTTCCAAACCATTTTCTTTTTTCGCTAATAAACAGTTCTCGAGATTTGCTCGTTTTTATACGTCCATTCTCGTTTGTTATCGGGGAACATTTTCCTAAATTAAATTCTCGAGCATTTTATAATATTACTTACAGCTTCTTTAAAATTTACTTATTCATTTATTTACCATTATTTCCTTACATTTCGACATTTATTTTCTTGTAGTTATTGCTGCACCAGGTATGTATAAGTAAAATCATAATCCATATCTACAATATCTCTTACATTATTGTAGACCAATAGTATATGGGCATTATATTATTATACTAGTGCCTGTAATGCATACAAAATATTATTTTTTAAGTACTTTTGGGTAATTTTTAATCGCCGCCAGCTGATGGCCTAGAGGGAGCAAGTTGATATAATTGATAGGTGGAGAAAGTATAAATTGAGGATATGACAAACACAATTTGTAAATGTAATTAAATTAAATTAATACAATAAAATAATTTACTTAAATTATTGATACCTATTAAAAAATAGAATAAATATCTAATATAGGTTCAGAAAAAAAATATTTTCTTGAATTTTTTGTAAATTTCTCGAATATTTGGACTTTGACTCAATTTTTGAATCTTTAGAGAGGGGCAACTGCCCCTCAGTGCCTCCACTTGGCAGCACCCTTGCTAAAGAATATTATGGTTCATAATGTCCCGTATATAATTTATTTATGTATAACCTCAATTTATGTAACCCTCAATTTCCAGGTATAACACATATATATTTACAGATCTGAAAATGTATCATAGGAGTAGGTGCTTCCAAATATTTACAATAAACATTATTTATTACATCCACTATATTTTGCGGTTCTTAAATTTGAATTTGTATACTTATGTATGCAATACAATATGATGCAGATGTAAACAATACAATAATTATATTTTTGTAAGTTTTTATATACCTTTTTGTCCTACTAGTATATAACTACTATTTTTAGTACAGCATATTTCGATTTCAAAGTTAATTTAGACAGGTATGCAAATTACTGGTATTTTCTGCCTGCTATGACGTTTTTATTGGATTATACAATAAGTATTTAATGTTACTCCATACAAATAAATTCACGTTATTTATTAATTTATTTTAAGATGAAATACATATTTGGTATTATTGACACTACCCATCTTCCTTTGGTCTGACATAAATTTTGGTGAGTATTCTCCTAAGAATTGTTTTGCTTCCTCGTTATTCTAGTGATTTATATATAGACCACCCAGTGTATTCTGGTTGTGCAGTAGATTGGATTAAATTAGATTCTTCAAGTTTGTGAGCAAGGCTATCAGCCTGATCCACTGCGACCTTTCCTGATCTATTGTAGTCCTCTGATACTTAGATTACATTCCGCAGTCCTATCCTTTCACGCAGTCTAGTAACTTGGAGACTGAACCATCCATGTAGCTCGCTGGCCATGGCCTACCATTACCTATTACCGAGAACCGCACATTTGACAAGCTGTCACACAGACATAAAAAAGTGTTCTGTCGTTTTTCTTCAGATTGACAGAACCTGCACATGGCTGCCTCCGTCAATCCTATTAGCTTTAAATGCTTATTCAGCTTACAATGCCCGGTTAGTAAACCCACTACAGCTTTGACTGTCTTTCTTTCTTTACTTATCAGGTCTGCCGTGGATTTTAGCGAATGTTCTACTATGGCTTCGCCTGTCTCTGCCCTGGTTAGTTTCTCCACCGATCTAGAGATTTGTTGGCCACCCATCGTTCCGTGGTCATTCTCGTGATTGCCTTTGCAATGCCGCAGAAGAGTTCTGAGTCTACGAATGACATTGCTATGCCTTTCTTGGCCATTTCATCTGCCTTTTCGTTACCCCTGTGACCCTCGTGCCTGGTACCCAGACTAACGGGACATTGCTAAGCTCACCAAAGTATTTAGAACACGCACACAATCTCAGAAATATAGAATTAACCTCCGTGGAACCGAGTGCTTTTAACGCTGCTTGGCTGTCGGTGAAGATGGCCACTAAACGATGTGTTCTGCTGCCTAATTATTTCTTCTATTACACTGTCATTATTTCTGCCTGGAAAATTGGGACAACCTCAGATAGGTTTACATAGAAATATATTCCTTGTTTCGGCCCTACTATTCCAGCTCCTACGCCTTCCAACGTTCAACGTTTATATACCAGGTTGCCTCAGCTTGATTGGGTACATCATTTCTTCAATCTTCTATTCCTAGTATGGTTATGTTAAATTTGTTGTTACAGCTAGGTATACCTTGTAGCTGTTGCATCTAGTTGCATCTGTTGCATGGCTCTGCATTAAGTAGAGAAAAGTCGCCTCTACTGTACCGGCTCTTAAATTGTACCTCTTTATATCTGGTTTATAATTACATTGGCGAGACACCTTGTAGTATATTTAGTAAGCCCAACAACACGTCCAGCAATATCTAATATATTTTTCAAGTAGAAAGAGCGCTTGAAGCAATAATAGAAATAAAACATTCTTTGTATCTGTGCTCTATGATTTATACTAAGTGATTTTGAATGACTGGGAATGTAACTAAAGAAGTGTATTTTTTCTCAAGCTAGAAAATATTACCTTACGTTTCACATAGTTCAACAGGTTCAATACCATCTTAATTCTTAAAAAATACCTAAATAATTTATATTGTTATTTTGCTTAAACCGTACCTCTCTATAGTTGCTTAATTTGTACTAGTACGATTAAGGAAAGTAGCAGGTTTAATAAAGGAATCTTATGATAGAGCTATCAAAGGTAGATGTTAAAATAATAAAAATCTGAAAAAATATATAAGATGTAGAAGACATTTCTTTTAACAACATCTTTTAAAAGAGAAGTTAAAAGAAGGCCTGAAGTGGTAATGGATCGAAATCAAACCAAACCAAAACAAAAAGTCATACTATGGAGACCAAGAGGAACTACAAGAAGTGTACGTCGACCAAAAAAGAGATGGGTCGATGAAGTTAGAATAATGGCAGGAAAACAATGGATGAAATTGGCTAGAGATCGCATAACATGGAGACATCTAGAAGAGGTCTATATCCAACAATGAATGGAACAAGGTTGAGAAAGAAGAACAAGAGATCAAACTAAATATTTGCAATAATCCCAAACACCCAGTCCAAAAAATTTGATATTTATTTTAGCTTTTGTGTAACGTAGTAAGGTTTAGAATACTCTTCTCTAACTTTTCACGCTATCTCAACATCAGCATCATCATTTTCGGCTTATTCAACCATTTCCAATTATGATTTAGCCTTCCTCACATATCTAGATACTCTATTTGTAGTTGAGATCATTGTTGTCTATTGTTGGCTATGCGGGCCCAAGTTATCCCTGCTAATTTCCTAATATCATTCTCTATTAGAATAGAGTAAGTATACAGTTTTATACTTATTTTCTTGTTGAATTAAATAATTAGTGGAATATTTTTTTCATTCTTCTTTATATTTTCCTCTCAATATATATGTCAAACGTGCCGTAAACGATTGTATACGATTTCCTCTCTGTACCACACCACTGGCCGCCATCAATGGTCACCGTTAACCGGACTTTTTCGTTTTGTTTACACTTATCTTTTGCTTTTATCACCTCCAGAGTAACAATCTTAAGTTCATCGATGGTACCAGGCCGTGGTGCGCTCGCTCGCCACCACGTCACACCTGTCCGGTTAGTAGCACAGCATCGCATCGTGAAAGTACCCGTTCTACGGCACCGCGTACCATCTCTTCGAGCGAGAGATCGCACGAGTATTTTTAGGAGCTTCCTTGTATTGTACAGTGACCGTCAAAAAGTTCCCAACAAATAGGAAAGAAAAATTATGGAGTTTTTTAAAGAAAGTTTATGCAGCATCAATACAAAATGTCCATTGGTGGTGGTTTTCCTCTCATTATACCAGAATTTTCAATAATAATAGATATTGTAGTAGAAAAACTAGGCAACCAAAATCCAAGATGGCCGCCGTTTGGCTTGTATTACTGTATCTATAAGGATAAAAGAAGTAGCACTAGTAGTACTCTCTACCCTAATAGAAAGTACATTTTCAGGGCTGTTACGGAATTTTACACGATCGTCTTTGGCACTAAAATTTGTGTAAGAGTACCAAATTTCAAAAAGATCGGTTACCAATGTTCTTAAGAATAAACAAAATATATTTTTTACCTTTCGAGAGCTGTAATTTCACCCTGTATAATAGTCTACGTTTTCAATGAAAACATTGTCTATGGTAATGTTGTAGCTATTGTTGCTCATTATCTTGGTCTTTCAAGTTCATTTTAATAATGCCTATAAATGCCTATTTTTCGGGATAATCATTTAGCTCCTCTAGCATGGTGATCAGTTCTTGAATGTCAATGTTCAGCAAGACTATATCGACTGCGAATATATGATGGCTAAGGTGTACTCCTGTACTCCATCAATGTTGACCTCTATTTTCCCATTCTAGTTTCTTAAAAGCATTTTCCAGTGCCAGGGTAAATTACTTGGGAGATATGGAATCCCCTTGCCTCACTAGGTACTCACACAAAAC